GAACATTAGGGCGGACGCTCTCTCACGCAAACCTGAATATTTGGAGGGGAGGAGCACCCGAAGAGAGACATGTCATTCCAGAGGACCGCTGGGTGTGTGGGGCGGCATTGGTGGGACAAAGAGAACTGGTAGAGGAAACAGAGAATGATGAATACGCCCAGAATAAGCTCAGAGGTCTTAGGGGTGAGGGAGGGAACCAGGGGTTTCGAGGAAAGAAATGGAGCTTTGTATTACAAAGGGGCACTGTATATCCCTGAAGGAGACTTAAGGGGAGGGTACTCAAGCAGTTGCACGACAGCCCTACGGCGGGGCATTTTGGACAACACAAAACCATGTGGTTGGTCACCAGGGAATTTTGGTGGCCTAAGGTGAGGGAAGATGTACGTGAGTATGTAAGAGGGTGCGAGCAATGCCAGCGAGCCAAAGGGGAAAGGCGGGCGCCGGCGGGGCTGTTAGAACCCTTACCAACCCCAGAACGACCTTGGGAGGCAGTGTCGATAGATTTTATGACTGATCTGCCGAAGTCCAAAGGGAAAACAGCCATCATGGTGGTGGTAGACCTACTAACAAAGATGTGCCACTTTGTAGCTTGCTCGCATGCAGTCACGGCGGAAGAGACAGCGAAGTTATTTGTAGAACACATTTTTAGGTTGCACGGGGTGCCATTGAGGGTGGTCTCAGACCGAGGAAAACAATTTACTTCCAGGTTCTGGAGGAAGCTCATGAGCTTACTGCAGGTGGAGGTCAATTTTTCGACTGCCCGGCACCCTGAAACCAACGGGCAGGCGGAAAGAGCAAACGGTGTCCTCCAGCAATACCTGAGGTGTTATGTCAATGACAGAGAGAATGACTGGGTAGAAAAGTTGGCGCTGGCGGAATTTGCCTACAACAATGCCGAGAATGTGTCCACAGGGATGAGCCCCTTCTTGGCTAATTATGGGTGTCATCCCAGGGCTTTCCCGGGGGAGATGGGGGAGAGATGGAGCGTCCCGGCAGCCGAGCATTTTGTGGAAGAAATGGAAGCAATCCATCGTCAGCTCCAACTCAACTTAGAAAGGGCGAAGGAAGAATACAAGAGGCAGGCAGACAAGAACCGAAGGGAAGGTGAAACCATAAGGGTGGGAGATAGGGTGTGGCTGTCAACCCAAGGGTTGCCGTTCAAAGGAGGTTGTAAGAAATTAAGACCCAGGAGGTTGGGTCCCTTTGAGGTCATTCAACAGGTCAACCCAGTGGCTTTCAGGCTCCGGTTACCCAACCACATGAAACTGCACCCAGTATTTCACAGGTCGTTACTGTCACCGTACGAAGGGGGACGAGAAGGGATGGCCACTCGGGGACCGGTCATAGAAGAAAGAGAATGCAGCAGCCATGTGGCAGAAATCCTCGACGCCAGGTGGAAGGGGGATCAGGTGGAGTATTTGGTAGCGTGGGAAGGAGAACCGGAGTCAGAAAACACTTGGGTAATGGCCGAAGATATCAATGACGAGGTATTGATAGAAACGTTCCATCAAAGGTTCCCAAGGAAACCTCAGCCTGTGGAGAGGTTCCGGAGGGAATACTTTGGGACCACTGATGAGGAGGAGGAGTTGGAAGGATTCCCGGACTCGGAAGGGGAAAGGAGATGGACTCTGAGGAGGAGGAGTACTTCGAGACCAGGAACCGCAACAGGTGGAGAGAAGTGTTCGAGACATCGGAAGATGAAGGAAGTTCATTCCGGGGTTTTGCCTCCTCACCGCCCGTAGAGGAGGGGGCGAGAGGGGGTGAAAGGGGCCCTGGGGGGAGGTGGATGTCAGGGAACTGCCATCGGAAGGAAGGGAGGTGAAAGGGCTCACACAGGTTGGGAGAGACTCAGCAGCTGAAGAGGGAACCAGTAGGGGAGAGGAGCTGAGCTGAGGGAAAGTGAGCTGGAGGGATGGCTCAGAGACACTTCCAGCGAAAACAGTGGGGAGGTTTCAGGACCTCCTGTAGGAACACCCACTCCTCGCCGGAAACTGTCACGCAGAGAGTCCAGAAGACGTGTTTCCGTTAAGGAGCTTTTATGTTGGAAGCGATTCCGAAAGCAACCACTGTCGGAATCTGCTAGTGACTAGAGGAGCCATGTCTGAGGGGCTCCGTCACAGACAGAGGTTGTGGACTTGAACAAACTCTGAGGGGATACTATTTTACGCACAAGCAGCTCCTCATCCCATCACACTTGTGTTGCACACTGGCACTAGAATCTAGCAATGTCCTTTGTATACACCTGGGACATATATTTTTCTTCTTCTAAGGGCTGACCGAAAGGTCACCTGGCTTCAGAATGAGACAGGTTTAACAGTGGTTAAGAAAGTAAAATACCTGGGGATTAACATGACAGCTAAAAATGGGAATCTATTTAAAGACAATTATGAAAAATGCTGGACTGAAGTGAAAAAAGATTTAGAAATTTGGTCAAATTTGAAGCTTTCACTGCTAGGCTGTATTGCTGCGATAAAAATGAATGTATTGCCTAGAATGTTATTTCTGTTTCAAACATTGCAAATTTTGGACAAAATGGATTGCTACAAGAAGTGGCAGAGAGATATCTCTAGATTTGTCTGGCAGGGCAAGAAGCCTAGAATAAAATTTAAAATATTAACGGATGCAAAGGAAAGAGGTGGATTTGCCCTGCTAGACCTTAAACTTTATTATGAATCAGCAGCTTTTTGCTGGCTGAAAGAATGGCTGCTTCTTGAAAACACAGACATTTTGGACTTAGAAGGTTTTAATAATGTATTTGGATGGCATGCATATTTGTGGTATGATAAGGTCAAAGCACATAAAGCATTTAAAAATCATATTGTCAGGAAAGCATTGTTTAATGTCTGGATAAGATACAAGGACTTACTTGAAAATAAAACCCCAAGGTGGTTGTCACCGATGGAAGCGAAGGCTCAGAAAAAGCTCAATATGGAGGCCAAATGGCGAAATATTGGGAAATTCTGGAACAAGAGGGAGATAGATTGAAACTGCAGAGTTTTGAGAAACTAAAAAACAAAGTGCGAGATTGGCTTCATTATTATCAGATAATGGAGGCATACAATTTGGACAAGAAAATTGGCTTCCAGGTGGAAAAATCAAAATTAGAAACAGAACTGCTAGAACCCAAAACTAAGATTTTGTCAAGGATGTATAACTTGCTGTTGAAATGGAATACTCAGGATGAAACGGTGAAATCTGCTATGATTAAATGGGCACAAGATGTTGGACATAACATAATGATGGCTGACTGGGAACAGTTATGGACCACAGGTATGAAGTTTACGGCATGTAATGCCTTAAGAGAGAATATTATGAAAATGATATACAGGTGGTACATGACACCATTCAAGCTTGCAAAAATTTATCATCTGCCCGATAATAAATGTTGGAAATGTAAAGAAACCGAAGGTACATTCTTTCACCTTTGGTGGACATGCCCAAGGATTAAGGCTTTCTGGGAGATGGTTTATAATGAAATGAAAAGGGTATTTAAATATACCTTTCTGAAGAAACCAGAGGCCTTTCTCCTGGGCATGGTCGGCCAAGTGGTGCCAAAGAAGGACAGAACTTTCTTTATGTATGCCACAACAGCAGCAAGAATACTTATTGCAAAGTATTGGAAGACACAAGATCTACCCACTCTGGAAGAATGGCAGATGAAGGTGATGGACTACATGGAATTGGCGGAAATGACTGGCAGAATCCGAGACCAGGGAGAAGAGTCGGTGGAAGAAGATTGGAAGAAATTTAAAGACTATTTACAGAAATATTGTAAAATTAATGAATGTTAGAATGATGTCAGAATGAAGTTAAGTGGTTCTAGCAGCAATGATATAAAGATGTATGTAAAAATGGATTGTTAACAGGTGAGAATCTAAACCTACAATATATTAAGTTAAAGGATTAAGATAAAAACAAAAAGGGAAAGGAATTGCTGAATTAATTAACTGAACTGGAATACAAAAAAGGGAGGCGTGAGGAGGTCAGGGAAACAAGTAAATGAAATGTAAGGCATGGAAAGAATGATTTGTTCTTTTAAGTCTTTTTTATTTTTTATTTTTTCTGTATTTTGTATTTTTTCCTTTTTCTATTTTTCTTTCTCTTATATATGTACCTTTTTTTTTTTTTGGAAACCTTAATAAATATCATTTAAAAAAAACAAAAAACGAAAGGTCACCTGGCATGGTTTCTAGCCTTCATCTACCAAGGGTGTTAATTTCTTTACATGGAAGCTAATACTCTAACATTTTGCTACCCCTTCATTTCATTGCCAGCTGGAAATGGGTGAGAACAGTACTCTACTTTTTTGGTGTCCATGGAATGTGATTACTGTAACCTGACCTTGCAAGGTATGAGAATTAAGCCAGTTAGCTCAGGAATCTGAACCCCGGGAGCAAAAAATAGTCCTTCACACCTTCCTTCCTGCTCCTTAGGATTCTGTCCTGCACCAGGCCATCACCCATACTCCACACTGACCTTGAATTCTTTGGCCTGACAAAAATATGTTATTGAACTGTGATGATGTCTTCTGTTTACCAGGTTGGAGAGATGTGTGTTGTAGAAACTACTGACTTTGTGTGGCTTGCGCTTTTCCTCAGCAATGCAAGTCACATGGTCACATGCATCGCTCTGCCCACTTTTGCATCTGGACCCACCCAGCACTGCCATGCAGTCCCTGTACAGTTGCCCATGAATGTGCGTCACTAGACTGGAATCTAGATAACTATAATTCACAAAATAATATGCCACTGAAAATTCTGATATGACGGACGGCCAAGATCAGTTTCCGCCCCATGTTCTAAATTCTTTCCTTTGATCCCATTAGGACTGCATAGCAGGCTTGTTAGTTCAGAATATATGCAAGAACAGGCTTGTTAGTTCAGAATATATATAGCTTTTGTATATTTTAATTGCTGTAAGACACAATTGGATTTTTTTTTATTCAAAAAAGCATCTAAGAAATTTAATAAACTAAACTAAGCTACTAACAAGGAGAAGGAGCCAGAAACAAAGAACTAAATTTGATTTGGAGGGCAGAGCAGGAAATATGGTAGACAAATATGCTGATGCCCTCTATGATATCATGAAAAATGCTCCGTGGGGATCAAAGGGCAGGAGGCTTTTTTATTTTTGAAGTCGTGATGCTGTGGGCTTGGAGTTGGCTGTTCCAAGCTCTGATTGGACAGACTGATGCCTGTCTTCGGAAATCAGAGTAATCCTAGCTGATTTTATCCCACTCCAGTTCCCTAAATCTGCTGCTGTTGCTGCTCTACGAGGGGATTAAAGGGCTGGCAGTGGATTACGTAGATACTGCTGCTTCTGCTGTTTCCAGAGTTCCCCTCAGTCTGCCATTCCTGCAGGGCACAGAAGTTGGATGTCCACTATTGCCCTTCGCAGCCATGGGGTGGTGGATCTCTCTGAGTCGCCCCATCTGACTTGAACCCAGCAGATTCAGGTGCCAGTCCCTTCAGGGAGCTGTAGCCTGTTTGGAGAGGGGTGGGGAAGAGAAGCGATGTCACAACACAAATACGATAGGATGAAGGCTTAGGTGTTCCCCGTTTTTCGCTCTCCCACCCTTACCCCAGCAGAACACCATGCTGGGGACTGCCTACCTGATGCCAGGAGGACCATCCTAAGGGAAGGAAACAAGGTCAAGGATCCCCTCGGTCTATGCAATTGATCTTGCTGCTGATAGTTTTGGTGTGGAGAATGCTGCCAGGTGGCCTCCTGTGGCTTTTTCTCTCACTCGCCTGCCTCCTGCCCTTCACCAGGTCCCAGACAAAGATCCCACTCGAAACGTAAGTGGCCTTCCCTTTTGCTTGTTTGTGTTACTTAGCCCTTTGCTGTCTCCCCAAGCTACCTCTGTTGCTGTTTAATGCACCATCTCATAGGTAGGCCTTCTCTTTCCTTTCAAGAACAAAAATACTCCCATCCTGCCATTTACTTCTTATGCTGCTTGATATGACTGTAATGTACAAGTGTAGTTCAGGTTAAATATGGTCATCCTGAATCTGGTGTTCGGCGTGACTGGCCTACCGGCATGCATCTTACTTTCTGTACCCTTCTCAAAAAAGTACTTTTCTTTTAGGAGTTTTTCAGTTTACTCACTTGAAATCACCAATTTCTTATTAAAAATGTTAGTCCGGTGCAAGAATATTCTAGAAATGAAGGAGTGTAGGGAACGTGTGCCAGCTTTGGATGTGCACACGTCCTGCACAACCTCCCTTTTGGGTATTATCACCCTGACTTGTCAACCTTACCCAGCAGTAACCAGGCATGTGCCTGGCTGTATAGGGCGGTAGCATCTATAACTGCTCTTAGTGTGCCAAAATAAGGAAGGGAGAGAGTTATGGGTGCTCTGTGTAAAGTCATCCTGCGTCAGGTTGCAGGACAAGCTGAGATGTTATTTTTAAAAAAATAAAAAAATCCCTGCTAAGAATCTCTGCTAAGAATCAGGTGTAGCTCAGAGAGTGCAGCATGGCAGATCAGGGGAAAGACTTTACAGGTCAGCTTGTGTGATGAACAGAAATAAATATAACCTCCCCTCCCCCCGCTGCCCCCAGTCACCATATTTGATTGAGGTAGAAATCCTAACCCCACATACCTGTGAGTAAGCACCACTGAAGTCAATGGGACTTACTTCTGAGTAGACATGGTGAGGCTTGCAGCCATTATTCAAGCAAATACTGAAGGGGTACAGTTAGGGTTCCCCCCAAAAAAACCCCTAAAAACTGTTTGTGAATTCCCCCCCAGCCAGGCCTCGCCTTAAGCATTTTAAAACTGCATTTTCCTCTAAGACAGAAAGCATTAGCTAAGGAGTCCTTTTCTGTAACGAAAACGCTGTAACTAAAAAAGATTGCAACAAGGTAGAGAACAGAGCCCATTGTCTTCTCAGGCCTTTCTCAGAGCCTTTGGCCTTGCTAAAGAACCACATTGCAACTTGCTTTCTGTCCGGGAACCATGCCAAAGCACAAGAATGAAACAACTGGAACACACTGAAACCCTCTCACCCCCTTTCTGGGAAGGGTCCAAAAAATGGTCCCATGACAGGAGCTTTCTGTTCATGCTCAGAGGAACTCATGGACAGGACTCTTGAAGAAGGGGGAGGGAACTAGAAAGGGGTATATATGCTTGTGCACATGACTGTGAACTTCATGCTTGTTTTGTGACTTATCACACTTGCTCCTCTGCCCACCCAGGTTGGCAGAATAAAAACTCTTTCTCTGGATTTAACCCCTTGGTGTTGTTTGGCTCCTTTCGTCCCAGCTTGGGTGCAACATTTTTCCTACCCATGGTTAAAGGGCCTAGAAAGGCTACAATACCTGATACTGAACCTGAGGGTACAGTGGGCAGGTAAAATATCTAACAGCTCCCAACCCTACTTGGTTTACTAGAGTATGCCTTAAACCCTCGTTTTCCTAAAGGCTTCCACAGTGCATTGTCAATTGTTGCTGTGCCTTTCTTTTCTTTCCTGAAATCTATAAAGCTAGAAAGGTGGCTGTGAATGCTGGAGCATAATGTCACAATGAAGCCGGCACCCCAAGGCCTAAGGCAAATAAAAATGATGCAGCCCTGCCTTAATTAGCGGGTTTAAAATGAGCACCACCGATCAGAGCTTCTCCCTTCCCACCGCCACTCCGGCCTAGTTATAGCTGTATGGCTGAAGGTGAGGGGGTTGGTGAGTGAGGTTGTCTGAAAGGGTCTTGAAGCAATTTCAGCCGTTTTGGGAAGCCCATACTGGAAAGCTCTTCACTTCTGTCTTTTTCTGGGCCTAGCCACACAACCCGAGCCTTCCCTCCCTTGTAGCAATGAGGAGAAAAAATGAAAAGCAGGTGGCATTACAGGACTCTAGAGGCACAGGGTGGACATGTGTCTTGCTTTACAAACAGCACCCCTATATTTCAAGGGCTGTTGAAGGGCTGTTTTCTATTTCAGGGTCTGGGAAACATTTTCAAGAGCCACTGGATGTTGCTTGTAGGCAAGGCCAGGTGTACAAAGTGTGTAGAGTGATTAATGCAACTCTTCTCTTTGTACAATAGGCTATATTCTAACCTCTCGCAAATCAGAAATTTCAACAAAATCTCTTCAGGCAAGAAACAGATTTTGTTGCTGTTGGAAGGCCACCTTCAGCCCCTTGGCCTGCGTTTCCCATCCCTTGCTTTATTTGAAGGAGTTTTCTGTTTGAAGGGCTGTCTGGTCAAAGGAGCACAAGTAGCTATCAAAGTTAGTGATTATACAATCTTTAGAAGACATCTGAAGGCAGCCCTGTACAGTGGTACCTCGTGTTAAGTACTTAATTCGTTCTGGAGGTCCGTACTTAACCTGAAACTGTTCTTAACCTGAAGCACCACTTTAGCTAATGGGACCTCCCACTGCTGCTGCGCCTCGGAGCACGATTTCTGTTCTTAACCCGAGGTACTATTTCTGGGTTCGTGGAGTCTGTAACCTGAAGCGTATATAACCTGAAGCATATGTAACCCAAGGTACCACTGTATAGGGAAGTTTTTAATGTTTGATGTTTTATGATGTTACTGTATATGCTGGAAGCCACCCAGTCAGGTGGGTGGGGTACAAATAATAAAATTATTATTATTATTATTCAGTTGTCCAGCAGCCGTTGACACCTGGACAGCAGAGTGAGCAGGCACCTAAGTTATGTTGTTGTAAGCCCACAACCACAATGTGACCACAGTCATCCACAGAAGATGACTGTATTTTTTACTCAGATCACAGTAATTAATTCTAAATTCGTATCTATACATATAAATTGGCATATGAAAATTTTATACCCTCTCTTTTTCCTGTTGACACACATTACCCAAAAAAGCGGAAATGCAAGTGGCACATAATGGGAAGGAGGTTGCATGATAGGAATACAGAGAAATAGATTGACGTGGGGAAGGGAATGGGAAGAATAGGGATTATAAGCAGGTGCTTCTTATCCTCCTACTCTGCCCATGGAATTTTACAAACAACTACCTATTTATTTATTTATAAGGCAGAAGTATTGGTACCCTCAGGTTGCTTCACAAGTGACATTTTTCGTACATGGTGGCAAAGGCTTCAGCCAGGTCAGAACAAGAAAGTGACTTCATTCATAGGCCTAGCTTGGAGAGCTGGCTCCTTATATCCCTTTCCTGCTTTGTTTCTTTCATACTCTCAAATAGTGGTGGCTAGTGCCCAATGGGAATGGTAGGGCAGAAGGCAGGGACGTCAACAGGAGGTAAAGTTAGAGCCAATAACAGGCAGAGCCGACTCATTAGTTTTTGGTTCCCACCCTCTAGTGCTATTTTTCTAGAAAAAGAGGTGCTGTAACTCACCGTGAACACCTTCCTTGTTCTCTTATAATCGCAATTGTGCCCACCTGAGAGTTCTGGCAAGTTCTGGCCGAAAAAAAACCTGCCCTACCATCCTCCTTGCTAAATTCTTCAAGGGGCAACACTTGAGACTACGGAGTAGGAAACTGATAAACACATACACTCCCAGGCTGATTATAAATAGGAAGGCTGGAAGGTGGGAGCTGACTGAGAGCAGACCAGGGTCAGTGGGCCAGTGCGCACCGGCCCATAGGGCGCACCTAGTTTTTTTGGGGGGGAAACAAAGAAAAAAAATTTATTTCCCCCCCAGGCGCAGGGCTGGGGCGAGGGAAGCCCGAGCTTCCTCCGACCCCAGCCCCCAGAACAGGCAGCTCTCCACAAGCCGTGGGAGAGCTGCACGACTTCGCGCAGCCCTCCCACGGCTTGCGGATAGCTTCCTGAAGCCTGGAGAGTGAGAGGGGTCGGTGCGCATTCGCCCCATAGGACGCACACACATTTCCCCTTCATTTTTGGAGGGGAAAAAGTGCGTCCTATAGGGCGAAAAATACGATATATGCGATCCTTGCAGAGTTGTGTTTTGAAATGTGATTGTGCCCCAATTATATCTAAAGCATATTTATGCGGTGTTAAAAGGGTGTTTGGTTTTGGCCCTCTTTATCTTTGCAATGCACACTTTGAGGTATAAATATGGAAGCCCCCTTGCTCTTTGATTTACATTACAAACACATCAGGAAGAAACCAAACCTTGCACTGTTCGCAGTAAGCTGTCCCAAGGACCTACAATAAATGTACAATTGATAACAATCTTGTAAGAAAATAAGCACTTTCCCCCCACATCTTATATGAGTGCTGGCATATGTTGCTGGAAGGAAATAAACAATTCACAGTACAGTGTCATGGGACTGTTTAAACAAAGAACAGCTTTATGCCTCCAAGGATAAATATCACACAGGAACACAACCTAGCCTCAGAAATGGAGGTTTCAAAATTTTTGGCTGCAATCCTACAGTAAGGCTGTTTAAAAACTACTGAAGTAAAGGGATTTAAGAAGCTTAACTGTGCACAGGATTGCAGCCATGGAACACAAGTCATACGCTGTGGGTTTCTCCTGTTTAAACTTCATTGATTTCATCCAGTTATTACTCAACAAAATGGAAATATGGCAAAGCGATTAAGTTTCATTGCTATCTCCCTTAACCGTTACCATGGTGGCTGGTGTGCATAGAACCTCTGGTCACCAACTCTTCTGAACTGCTGCTTTTTTGCCCCTTGTAATCCAACAACATGTGGAGGTTCCTCAACCCTGCTTTACACATCAGTAATCCAACTCCCTGTAGTCCAGCTAGGGCTAGCAGGAGTTGGAGTCCAATAACATCAAGAAAGCAACAGGCTGCCCATTCCTGGTGTGGAGACAACTTGACTTAATTAATCGAAGCAAGCCAGCAAAACCACCCTGCTTACTAGACATGTGGAACGTTAGTCCTATAGTCAGTTGCCTGTTAAATTATTCAAAATTATATATAAGAGAATACAGTTTGTTCTGAGCTGCTGCTTTGTATTGGCAGAAAGGCAGGGCTGGTATCAGGAGGGGCTGCCCGTATTGTTGGGTACCTAGCAAGATCCACACTGCATCAAGGCCCCCAGTGCTGAACCCTAGAACCCCCTGGTCATATTCCTCCAACTTGCTCCTGCTGCTTGGTCCACATGCCCCTCTCCAAGTAGTGACTAGAGCAAGAAGGAGAAGCAGCCTCCACCTAGGACTCACAAGGAGAGGGTAGGCAAATGGGTAGAGACGGCAATGGCAATTCCCAATGAGGGAATCTAGCCCAAGGGTCCCTCAAAATCTGAAGTCAACATTGGCAGAGGGAAATTGCAGCATTTGAAGTGACCAGATGCATCATAACTGCTCATCTGGCTGCCAAACATGGAAATAACTGACTCTCTTGTTTTCTTCCCCATCTGTAGAGTGAAGTCCTGGGCTGATGCCTTTGGTGGGGACTTATATTACATAGTCACAAAGTATTCTGGCTCTCTTTTATTACAAAAGGTAAGTGGTATATCAGCCACATATACTTTTCACTGATGTGCAAATATCCTTCATTAGAATCTTTTGTGCAAATATGATCTCTCCCCCCCCCTCTCTCTCTCTCAAAACATATTTCAGAAAAAGCAAGTATTAGGATACTTATTTAGTCTTCATAAGCTTTGATTCTTTTCAAAATTTTGTACCTTCTAAACTTGAGAGGTTCACAACATATCGCCAGCACCAAAGAGAATGTTTGTTCTGATATTTATTTTAAACATGCATACCTTATGTTATGTATTGAAGTTCTCACCCTGGCCACCAGGAGTATTTTGTATATAGTTTTCACTCAGGTCCACGTAAATTAATTTAGGCGGGAAACCCAGGGTTGTTGTTGTTACAGTGTTGACAGCCGGCTGCCTGTAAAAGCAGGCCGGCTGAGCTGTTCAGTTCAGTTCAGTTCCAGCTTACTATAAAGAACCACTTGGAGAAATCTGTGTGTCGTCTCCTATGTCCACTCACAACTTAATACCTTACATTTCTATGGGATATTCAAGATGGTGTACTGCAGCATCTTATAATACAGTAATCTCAAAGTTTCAAAAGCTTGTGAATATAAAAATGCTTTTTCTCCCTCCATCATAACATCACAACATGTGGACATCTAATGAAGTTGAATGCTGGAAGATTCAGGAAAGATAAATGAAGAAACTTCTTCATGCAGTGCATAGTTAAGCCATAGGAGGCAGTTATGGCCACCAATCTAGATGTCTTCTAAAAAGAATTAGACAAATTCATGGACGAGAGGGCTATCAATGGCTGTTAGCCATGATGGCTATGCTCTGCCTCCACAGTTGGAGACGACAATGTTTCTGAATACCAGTTGCTGGCAGGGGTGTAGGAAGGGAGGTGCGGGGGATGTGGTCCGCCCCGGGTGTCATCCCTGAGGGGGTGACAAAATGGCACACTTACCTGAGCCATGCGTCTCTCCTGGGAGTGATGAGGTGGCTCGGGGCCCCGTGCTGCCCAAAATGGCAGCGTGGGGCTTGCATCTGCCAGGCGGACTCTGTGGGCAGCTCGCTGCGGCGCCTCCCTGGGTGGATTGCCCTCCGTGTGCTGGAGCAGCTAGCTATGCCCCTCGTTGCTGGAAACCATAGAAGGAGAGAGTGCTCTTGTACTTAGGTCCTGCTTGCAGGTTTTCCACAGTATCTGGTTAGAACAGGACGCTGGACTAGATAGGCCACTGGCCTGATTCAGCAGGCTGTTCTTTTGTTCTAACTACACCTCCAAGAGAAGGGGGACACCTACGTTCCAGTGTTGACTAGCTCATCTCAGCAGTTTTGTACTATTTAGCCATGCAACATTTTCTTGGGGCCAGTTATTAAGATAGAGCAGTACCTGGGATAAGAAAAGTATGTGGAACAAGCACCTAGCAAAATTAAATAAACAAAAAGTTCCCAAAGCTGTAGTCTTTCCCCAATGAAGTATTGGTATTTGCCTTGTGCTCTTTCTTTGGCTTCTCTCAGTAACATTTGCTGTCATGCTGCTTGCATCAATATTACACATTTATCGCCTGCCCCCAAATCTCCGCTGTTGCCCCAATACACATAGCTTTCAGCAGAGTATAACCTGACAAATTATCATCCTGGCCTTTAGGCAGGCATGCTTTTGACCACATGCTCAGGGAAAGAGGTTTTATGGGCAGAGAAGCAACTCATTTCGCAAAACCTCTGAGAGTTGGAATGGGCTCCTTTAGTTACTATGGTAACTATACAAGATAGATAGCCTGATTCATTTGGGATTGTGCAGATTCCTTTAGATACAGGCATGGGGAATCTATGGCTGTGTAAAACTTGTTAGCCTAGAACTCTCATTATTCTTGACGGTGCTGGCTGATGTTGAGGAGACAAGTTCAACAACATATGAGAGGCCACAGGTTCTGTTTCACTATTTTAGGTGGTTTTCACATGTGACACTAAAAAATGTGTTGTCTCATGTGAAGCATATTTTAGAAAATCCTACCATGTTTTTCAGCAGTAGTCAGCTGTCTGTGTCAGTACCATGCTTGACAGTGTTACACTGCTGGGAGATGAAAATATTGTCCAATCTGTCTGTCATTGTCACTGTTCTGGAGGCATTTTGGCAGCAGGGTGGGGCAGTGCTATGCTTCTCTGAGAGTGTGCTGAGAAGTTAATATCCTGCTCAGCACTAGAATGGGAGCATACACACCAGCAGTGTATAATGGCACTAATGTCTGTTGTGTAGCATATGTGGTTTAAAAAAAGCAGTTGTGGTTTTTCTGAACAAACAAACAATGTTTTGGTTGGTCATATTTCATAGTACTTTGCAGTTTTGTAAAGGTTATCAAAGATCCTATGCATAGACTAATAAATATTTTTGTTGGTGTGGCATGATTTGGTATTTTTCCATCTCACACTTTCCTACACCTTCTATGGACTGTTTATTCTCCCCAACTCCAAGACAGAGAGTAGGCACCGGTAATTGCTATGGGGTGTGATGGTACAGGAAGAGAGGGCATAAGAACAAAAAATAAAGAGCAAAGAAGGATTGGGCAAGTGATTGGCACTTCCCTTCATGAAGGCCATATGCATTATTTTGCCTGTAAATGTAATTGCCTTTAATAATACAACATATGCCTGTTATATCTGCTTCAGTAGAAGTGTATCATTATTATAGTTTATTTTTCTGTAGACTGCATGTTTAATTGGTGAGCTGTTTTAATCCTTACTGGAATGTGTTCAGTTTTCATTTCCTGTAGTTAATCCTAATAATAATAATAATAATAATAATAATATCATGTGGTATTACACACACACACACACACACACACACACACACAGAGATATTGTTCCCAGTAGTAATACCATTTTTCATTTCAATGACATTGGTTAATTTCCTCATTAAGTAGAATAAAACACATCTATTGTACATTCCCTGTTATAGCTCAAGTTTTTAATTGCTTGGAAAAGGCTTTCTTAGCTACTACTAAGAGTTTAATAAGAGTAATCTATCTTTATGACGACCAATAAGCTTTACAGTAGGTTGTCTGAGGCTGCAATCCTAAACATGCTTACTAAGGAGAAAGTCCCATTGAGCTCTGTGGGACTTACTTCTGAGGAAACATGCATAAGATTGTAATGATAACTGAATCAAAATTTAATTTATGCCTAGTCAGGATGTTAATCTTAACCAGTACATCTGGGCAGCTCCACAGTGGCACCAGATACAAAAGTAATTAGCATCATGGCATTTCCAACATCAACACTAATTAATGTGGGCTGGAATGCAGAAGAGAAACCAAATACACAATCCAGGAAATGGATGGTTTGACAACCTTTGAAATCTGCTTTTTCTTTGCGCCCTTTTGCCATTTCTAATTTAGCTTCATGTCTCTTATCGTGCTTCTTTTGGTAGATTTTATGATGGCTGAACTGACTTTTTATTGGCAAGTTTTCAGGAGTACTTCAGCCAACAAGGTCAGAGTCACAGGGCTTCTGAGGGTGGTAGACAGAGTTTGGTGGGGAGCTGAAAGCATTCTTGGATGACATGGATTATTTAGATCCTTTCCAATCTGGGTTCAGACCTGGCCATGTGACTGAGTCACCCTTGGTCACCCTGATGGATGACCATTACAGGAAAGTGGAACAAGGAGGGTGCAACCTTGCTCCTGCTTCTCTTTCGATACCGCTGCCCATAGTAATCTTCTTTGTTTTTTTTAAATGATATTTATTAAAGTTTCACAAAAATACAGAAAACAAAGAAAAAAGTATAAATTACAGCAAAAAAGTAAAAAGTAAGAAAAAACATACAAAATAAAACAGTTAAAAACACAATAATGTTCCATAACCTATCTTCCTTACTCTTATTTCCCCAGACCTCCTCATACCTCCCTTCTTTGTATTCCAATTCAGTTTGTTGGTTCAGCAAATCCTTACCATTAATCTTTTACCCAATTGTTAACCTTTTTTTTCATGTCTCTTAAAGCATTACAGCTAAAAACCTCTTAATTTGTATCCAACATCCTTCTAAAGTTCCTTAATTTTACAATATTTCTGTAAATAGTCCTTAAATTTTTCCAGTCTTCTTTCACCGACTCTTCTCCCTGGTCTCGGATTCTGCCAGTCATTTCCGCCAATTCCATGTAGTCAATCACCTTCATCTGCCATTCTTCCAAAGTGGGTAGATCTTGTGTCTTCCAATACTTTGCGATAAGTATTCTTGCTGCTGTTGTAGCATACATGAAAAAGGTTCTGTCCTTCTTTGGCACCAGTTGGCCGACAATGCCCAAGAGAAAGGCCTCTGGTTTCTTCAGAAAGGTATATTTAAATACCTTTTTCAGTTCATTATATATCATTTCCCAGAAAGCCTTAATCTTTGGGCACGTCCACCAAAGGTGAAAGAATGTACCTTCAGTTTCTTTACATTTCCAACATTTATTATCGGGCAAATGATAAATTTTTGCAAGCTTGACTGGGGTCATGTACCACCTGTATATCATTTTCATAATATTCTCTCTTAAGGCATTACATGCCGTAAACTTCATACCTGTGGTCCATAACTGTTCCCAGTCAGCGAACATAATGTTATGTCCAACATCTTGTGCCCATTTAATCATAGCAGATTTCACCGTTTCATCCTGAGTATTCCATTTCAACAGCAAGTTATACATTCTTGACAAATTTTTAGTTTTGGGTTCTAACAATTCTGTTTCTAATTTTGACTTTTCCACTTGGAAGCCTATTTTCTTATCCAAGTTATATGCCTCCATTATCTGATAGTAGTGGAGCCAATCTCTCACTTTATTTTTTAATTTTTCAAAACTCTGCAGTCTCAATTTATCTCCTTCTTGCTCCAAAATTTCCCAATATGTCGGCCATTTGGCCTCCATATTCATAGTAATCTTCTTTGACTGGCTCTGTGGAATGGGAATTGGGAGCACTATTACAGTGGTTCTGATCCTCCCAACAGGACCGAGTCCAGAGACTAATGCTGGGAGAGTGTTTTTTGGCCTCCTGGCAGGTTTGGGGCAAGTACACTGATGACACTCAGTTCTGTTTATCCAGGTCTGTTTAGCATATAACACCTCTGCTAAGACATTTGCACTGGTTGCTCATTTGATATCAGGCCAAGTTCAAGGTGTTATCAGTGCCTTTCCCCCCCAGGGGGTACTCAAGGGTATGCAGTACCAGCACCTCTTTCTTTCTTTTTTGTTTTTGTTAAAAAGTGTAGTGCGTGTAATAATTTCATGGTGAGTACTGGCACCCATTTTTCTAGAAAAAAAAGCACTGGGTGTTATTATTAGTATCTAAAACCCTTAAGATCTTGGACTAGTTTACTTGCAGGATGACCTTATCCCATATATGTGCACTTGACTGCTTTGATCTGCGAAATTGACCCTATTATGGATGCCACATAACACTCATTCTGCACTCATAGTGTGGCAGCACCTGTACTTTGGAACTCCCTGCCTATTGACATCAGACAGGTGCCCTCACTGTATTATTTTTGGCACTTCTTTAAAACATTTTAATTTTAATGGGCAACCCTTTCCAGATATGGAGAAGTAACATGTGTTTTTATCTCTTTTTAGTTATTGTTGATTTAAATCATCTTTGGAATATTTTTAAATAACTGAGAATTTTTATATTTTATTTTACATTTTTGTAAAATGCTTCAGAGGTTTTCTGACAATCAAGCAGTATGTAAATCTTGTCCCCTCTTGGCAGCTGCTCTAGTGCTTGTTTTTAAAATAGAATTATTATTCTTGCTTGCCCTCTGATCCAGCTAATAAGAAATCGTACAGTAAAAACATAAGAGCCTCCCGGATCAGGCCCATGGCCCATCCTGTTCTCACAATGGCCAACCAGAAGCCTGTGGGAAACCTGCAAGTAGGTTTTCCACTTGTCCCATCCTGTGGTTTCTAGTACTTGGTAGTCAGTTTGATGACATCACAGTGCCTTATAGGCAAACAAGCTATACAGGCAACTCCTGGTTTGTGAAGGGGTCGCATTTTGGGTCATTGCACACTTGTGTGAAATTGCGTACAACCAGAACACCCAGTGAAAAAGCCTGCAAACACCCTGTTCTGCCCCCACCCTGCCCCTTTTTGTGTTTTTTAATGCCTTTTTAGGGTCACTTCTGGGTTTGCTGTGATGCAGTCGCTGCCTGTATGATGACACCACTAATCCAAATCAGAGTGAGGGTAATGTTTACTGGCTTCACCCTGAATGAGGGAACTTTTTCCCTCAATATTGCTGAAATGGGTAAGTGGGTTAATGGGTGTGATCAATTTAATGAAACACACCCACCCATTTCAGCTCAACCATAGATTTTATTGACTGGAGTTTTGGGGCACTGTTGATGTTACAGTGCTAACCAGTGCCAAAGGTGCTAACTTATCTTCATTGGAAGTGTACCTTTTTGCTATGAAGTGATAAATGAATTCTTCTTGCTTTCCTGTAGGACTCATCTGACAAATGGTTCTTGGTATTTCATTACTTACATAGATCATTAGTTTCCCCCATGAAATCCGCAGATGCCTGTTGGGATTTGTGTGGACTGGAAGTTCTATAGCTCTTATTCTATATCTGCTGTTCTCTCTCTCTCTCTTTTTTTCATAAGCAAAGAGCCATTCTAAGCATTTTTTAATTATGTGTTAAAAGTCAGTTTGTTTTGTTCTGTTTTGTTTGTTTGTTTACTGAATTTATATACTGCCCTATACCCAGAGGTCTCAGGGCAGTTCACAGAAAAAGATCACCATATATAAAATCAAAATAAAGACAGTAACCCAAATAACCCCCACCTACCCCCCACTATATCTGCTGTTCTCAATTAAACCTGGTGCACCCAAGGAGGCAGAACTTTATCCTTTTGCTGTGGCTTTTAAGGATGTTTCTTTTGCGTGTTTAGACCTTTTAACCTCCCCCTTAAATAAATTCAGACAAGACTCAAATTTTGGTTTGGTTTTTGGCAGAATTTAGGCCACAACTTTATTGATTACATCAAGTGAGTGGTTGCATAGGCTCTGGTTCGACTAGCTCCCTGCACCGTGGCAGGTAGCGCTGACCCAGGGCACCAGCATAGGTCAGCCTACGGTGAACGCCTGGAACAACGGAAAGCCAGGGTCAGGCTAGTCCACCATCCAGATGTCCCCCTGGACTCAGGCACAGGCACAACCCCTCTCAGGGTTGACCAAACCATTGAGTCCCTGGATTCCTTTAACAGAATACCCTTCTCATAGGGATGACGAGAGCGTTCCCCCATCCCTATCACCTGAACCAGAGCCTATCCACAACTTTACAAGTTGTGACGATTTGCTATGTGGCAGGCGAAACCCAAATGGCAACAGCCAATCAGCCAAGTGGGGAAAATTCCTGCCGTGCCCCTGTCCCAACGACAGACGACACACGACGGCATAGCAAGGTCAAGCGCAAGCCCTAAATATAGGGAGAAGTGGGCGGGTGTTCCGATGCACTGGCCCAAAGAGGAAGCTCAGGGTCACGTGCATGGGCATATATAGGTCCCTCGATCCATTTGGCTAGCATCCCATTGGCCTGATTAAACCCAGCATCGAGGGACCTACCAACAGGGTGTTGCGGCTATCCAATTGTACCCACCCACAACACAGGTTTTGGTTGCCAGGTCGCACCGCAACACCCTGTTTGAGGGAGGAAACAATTTCTCTTTGCTGCCTCTTCTATGAGTCTATAACACTGTTTAAAAATGGTTCTATTTTGACTCAGTGTTGTAATGGCTTTAAATGTCCCACAAGGGTTGTTTGCCCTTTGATGCAATATACTCTGGAGAAGGGATATGAGTGTGCAGCTTTCTGGAGGATGGCATACCACTTGTGTATGAATCAATGCTGCAGAGAACATGAGTCGTGTCAAAATCTTCCAGTGCTGCAGTTGTGTCTGTTATTGCTTGGAGGGGAAAGCTTTAGGTGGAAATATTGCTCTGTCAAACCACCTTTCCTAAGCTAATCACTCACTTTCTCTGCCATTGTCTTGCTACTAAATTTCATCATGGGAATGAGGCATCCCACTTAGGTGGTTTGGGGAAAGTAGCATATATCATTCTTTGCACTTGTCCTCATTTCTCTGTGAACATCAGAGTTGGATGCTGCAAGCAACAAATCATTTTTCTGTTTTATAACAAATCCATTTACTGCTATAACTATCAGAGGAGCTGACAGAGAAACCAATAAGATGTTTTGTGCAGCATCAACTCGTCTCTTTTCCCACGGAGCCCAGTGTGATGTTTCCATCCTCAAGAAATTGAATTTGACCCAAGAATGTGCAACAGAGTACTGAACCAGGTTCTCTGTTGCTAAGCTGTTTCTCAGGCCCAAACTAAATTTGATAGCAAACCAAGTTATTTAAATTATGTCTGAATTATATAATCACATATAAAGTGAAGGACAGCTAGTATAATGATGCATGGAACTTAAGTTAAAGAGAGTAGGGTTCCTGTGGGGATCGGAGGGAACTATTTCAATTTATGACACAACTTTCACTTGTAGTGAAACATTTGATGTAGACCTAGCTTCTGCTTTAGCTTCCCTCCGCTTGCGTCCACACTTTATAACTTAAACATGGAGATAGCAGATGAACTGTGACTTTTCCAAAATATAGTAGTAAGAAGCCAGAAGCTGTAAAATGTAGTCTGAGCCCACAGACAGCAATCTAGGTCGGCTATTAAAGGTATAATTGCTGTCACAAGCACATGATGCTCACAGGCGGTGCAGGGACAGCTGAAAGAATGGGCAGAGGAAACATACTGGGTTGAATTAGGCCACAACTTTATAGATTACAGGAAAGGGTAGGTTTGGCTAAGGCATTGGGCATGTATCCAGCATCAAGCACCCTGCATTCTTCTGATCGGAACTGAGAGGGGTTGACCCTGTGCTGGGGAGTCGACCCCGACATGGATTAGGTCCCACAACCCCACACAGATCACCATTGGGAGAGGTATATTGGCCCAACAGTCCCTTTGAGGACTCCTGGACAGTGTCACCAATCCTGGACCCTTTAACAGGGTACCCCCACAACTAAGGATCTGGTCCAAAATTGTGACGGTTGCTATGAGGTAAGTGAAAACTTGCAAGCTGGCCAGTTTGCTTGCAGAAAATTCCTCCCTGGCCCCGAATATGGTGAACAAGTAAACAATAGCAAGGCCCATTTATGTGTGGTATACATGGTTCTCCCACTTCCCATTGTATCTTCACAACAAGGTTTTCCCTTGTGGTCTCTTCCAGCTCTATGATTCTATGATTCTATAGGAGTGCTCTGATGGTGTTTCCTGCTTGGCAGGGGGTTGGACTCGATGGCCCTTGTGGTCTCTTCCAGCTCTATGATTCTATGATTCTATGATTCTAAGGTCATCCAGCAAGCCTCAGGTCTGAGTTTTTCTTTTTTCGTGTGTTTGCCTGAACAAAATGTGGTGGGCACTGTTCCATTGTGAGCCTACCACAGAATGTATTATATACATCTGGATGACACACCCTTATAGAAAAGAATGAAAGCTTGTAAGATGCAAAAGCCTTGCTGCTTATTTATCTTCATGCCTGTTCTACCCTGAAACACTCTGCTGTCATTGTTGTTAATGAATTCTGGGGTTGTTAATATTTGATCTAGAAAGACAGACAGAAAACATTTCTATGCAGAAGGCACACAAGAGATTCTCATCCGGCTGTGCGTTCCTAGGTGGGATTTCCTGATCTCACAGGGGAGGAGCACAATTAAAACTCTTAGAGTAGCAGAGCTGAGCATATTTGTCAGCAAAATTGTGTTGCTGAATCAAGTGGATTAGGCAGCAGATGATGTGTGATGATGAGTATCATGAACTTTCCCATTAACCCCTAGGCCTTCTGCCTCTGGTCCATGCACACCTCTCCTTTGCAGCATTACCAGGCTAACCTTTGTGATCACCCTCTCCTCTTCCCTGCTCCACTGGCATCAGCATGGATGCAGAGGTTGTATTTAATCCTGCAAAGCTCTTGCATTGCTAATCACACCAAGCAAAGCTGGCAGCTTCTATGCATGCCTACTAGGGGCTTGATATGATTCTATTTCTGTCTGGCTGCCTCCTCCCCTTTCCACCCTCAAGGCATTTCTTACCCCACATATGCTCTACAGTTTTCTCTAATGAATGAATGAGCCTTTATAATGGCAGGATCTTTGATTGCTCATCTTATTCCTCCAAATTATCATTACAGGTAATATAATTGTCCATATATAGAGAGCCTGCAAAATTCTTAAATATTCTTTAACATTAGAAGTGCTTCCAAATGAGAATTTATTTTGAAATTAGTGGTGCATGCAAGTTTTTCCTTACATCTGCCTGAAGATATCACCAAAGTGGCAACACCGCTTTTTTTTTTTTACATGTAATCTGGCTTTCCCCTTATCATGGAAAATCTGATAAGCAAAAATAACCTGGTGTACATCTGCAGTGCCCACTGGTGTGGAAGCCCATTAGAGCATTTTGTGTCTGGTTTTTCATGTGTGTGATGACATTGCAGTGGATAGATTCTATCAGCTAACCATGAGGAACACTTGGATGAAGCTGATTATCTGGACCCACTCCCATCTAGGTTCAGACCTGGTTTGAGACCAAATCACCCTGACAGTTATCTGGAGAAATGCAACCCTGTTAATTCTCCTTCGTCTTCCAGTGGTTTTTTGATCCCATGCATTGACTACAGTATATGTAGATTTGGAGTTGGAGCCACAGTAATATGATGGTTCCACTTCTACCTTCATGGCCTTTTCCAGAGAGTAGGATTGAGAAGCTCTTCCTCAGCACCATAACAGTTTTGCTGGATCATTCCATCCTGTCCTCAGCGCTGTTCAACACATATATAAAACTGTTAGGAATAATCATTAGGAGATTTGGAGTGAAGTACAACCAGTACGCTGATGACACCCAGCATTGAGAGCCAGTGTGGTGTAGTGGTTAAGAGCAGTAGTCTCGTAATCTGGTGAACCGGGTTCACTTCTCCGCTCCTCCGCATGCAGCTGCTGGGTGACCTTGAGCTAGTCTCTCAGCCTCACTCACCTCACAGAGTGTTTGTTGTGGGGGAGGAAGGGAAAGGAGAATGTTAGCCGCTTTGAGACTCCTTCATGTAGTGATAAAGCAGGGATATCAAATCCAAACTCTTCTTCTTCTCTTCATTCCATCTCTATTTCTCTGTGTCATCTGACTTGGGAATGGTTGTTCAGATTCTAGAGCGGTACCTGAGGCAGTGGTGAGATGATGCAGTAAGTGGCTGCATCCTGACAGATACAGACAGAGGCATTGTGGGTAGGCCATTCCTAGGTCTGGGAATTAGATGAGCTGCCTGTTCTGAGATGGGGTTGCATTTTCTTTGAAGAAGCAGTCATATAGTCTAGGGATGCTCCCATAACCAACAGTGATCCAGCACGTAGCCTCCATGGTGAGGAGCATCTCCTGCTAGCTTTTGTTGTTGTACTAGCTGTGGTCATCCTTAACAGGAATAGCCTGGCCATGGTGATCCATGTACTGGCAGTCTTGCGGAGCCGCTGCAGTGTAATCTATGTGAGGTGACCTTTGAAGTCATTCCAGTAGCTGGTGCAGAATGCAGCAGCTGGGCTGTTCTGTAGGGAGGCTTGCTTGGCATCTTTGTTACATATCTTTAGGCTTCAGGCTAAAACATCCATTTTCTGTCAGGCTTTTGGCTAATTAAGCAATCTATGCCTTTTAAACTGTGGGGGTGGAGGGGTTATTGTTTTTATTTGTTATTATAGCATGTATTTTTGTGTTTTTATATTGTAATCTGCCCTGTGATATTCAGATGCACCCAAGATCTAATTTTTGAAAATCTAAATTTTGCTTTTGAGCACATAATTTATGTCAGCAAGTACCGTAATTGCAATAAACATAAATTATTTGTGGCTTTCAAGTTACTTAGGCCATGCATTTACTTCAATAGGTCTGTTGTGGAGTTTGTTCTTGGGCACTTTGGCAGGTCTTTATTTTTTAGGTCATGTTTGCACCTCAGGTGAATTATTTTATTTAGAGCATTTTTAATTCTCTTGAGTCACAAGCTATTTTACTCAATCCAGACTATACTTTTTGGAAATCTCAACCACACACTAGCTGTGGTAACCAAGCTCAATGATAATCGACCCATCACATTCCTTGAGAAATTGAGTCCTTTGTTTTCATTTTGCTTTTAATAGAAGTATAAAGATGTGGAACCAACTCTGAAGATCAAAGAGGTGGATGGCTTGGAGCTGGTGAAGAAGTTCTCTGAAGAGATGCAAAGCATGTTGGGGAGAAAAGTAGAAGCTGTTGAGGTAAATATTCAAATTCCTCCCCAGGCAAGAGTGAAAAAGGAAAAGAAACCAAAGTAATAAAAACAGATCATCCTCCAATCCAGGGGTAGGCAGTATAGCATTTGCCAGATTTTGGTAGACTCCCATCGTGACTCATGGTCAGCGTGACTTATGGTCAGGGATGATGGGAAGTTGTAGTCCAACAACTTCTTGTCTAACCTGACCTATTCATATCTTTCATTTTTATAGTTTTCTCAGTTAAACTTGTTGCACACCTCAAAGCTGCAGGGTGTGGCGAGGAGATAGTGTACATGGTACTTAATAAAAAAGCATGTAGGAACAGATTTCTTTAGTTGCCTTCCAGAAGAAAGACACAGTAGCAAGCAGAGCATGTGTTTTGCATGTAGAAGGTCCCTGTTTCAGTTGTTGTAACCTGCTCTGGAATTTATGGTGAAGGGTGGGTAAGAAAGTGAATAAATAATAATAATAATAATTTTTTTAAAAGAAAACATAGCTCTCTCATGATATTTGTAGTTTTGCCCCACAGTTGTCTGTATTTATTTACTGAAGCACCCATTTTTGTGTGTCTATCTGTGTGTATAATTTCTTTTCAACTGAAATATGTGGATTACCTATGCAGTTACAAAATAAAAATACTGTGCTGGCTTAGTTGGTGCTGTTGGCAAATGGCTATTTGATCCTGCTTTAATAAACCCAGGCAGACTGTTCTTGGTTCATTGGTTTTGTGACCGTGGTAACAGCCCTCTTGTCTTCATCTTTGTAGACTTAGTAGATGAAGGACTGCATGGTTGTTTTTCCTCTGGGTTCTGTTCCAAAAAGAAATGTGCATCCCTCCCCCCCGCCCCGTTGCTTCTCTGCTACATTCCCCCCCCCCCCCATAAAGATTGCGCTTAATAGCCTGAAAGGCTGTCCGGGGAACTGTTGGAGCTGGCTAGGAAAGACTGTGAATATAACCAGCTAAATTTAACCTTGTAACAGGAAAGATGTCCATTGATCTTTAAAACACTCCTGCAAAAAAAAAATGTTACATGGGGGGAAAAATACGAGAGGGAGACATTGCACATACTTTTGTAAATCAAGAAAATCTTTAATAAAAATACATTAAAAACACACACTCCTTCAGCACTTTCTTTTGGGTTAGGCAAGATATGGAGACCAAGAGTAGGGTTACTATGGTTTCTCCCACTCCCGCCCTCTTCATCTGACAGGCATGCTATGTTTTTAGACACCTTATGACAGGCAGAAATTCAACAGGTGATAATTTTCTCACTACCACATCTCCACTTTGGATAAAGCTGAATGTGACATCCAACTGTGAAAGACATAGAAACCTCCCTTGGGGGAAAATGCGGTTCTCCTAAACTTCATTATTTTAGATTTGTTTTCCTCGCTTTGAGTAATACTTTGGAAAAGTCTTGAGCGTCACTTCACATTTTATTATTTATTTTACAGCGTTTGGTTGAGGCAGCAGAAGATGCAGATCTGTATCACGAGTTCAATTCCTCATTGGATGTAAGTCATGCATTTATTGCAAGTGTTTGTTCCAAATTCCTCCACACACAAAAACATAGATCTCGGAAGAAGGATAGGCCTTGAACTGTTCCTGACATTTACTTCTGTATGCAGAGAAAATTTCTTCGTATGGAGAAACATTCATTCACATGAGCGCCTCAGACAGGGGGAGCTGGACCTAGCACATTCCTAGACATGCTGAGAATTGCCTTGCCTCAACATCTGGAGGGCACCACGTTGGCTATCCTAGGAGTGCAGTTTTCTCCACTGGATGCCTGCTCCACTTGTTGTGAGCCTGCTAAAACTCTCTGGACTGAAATTCTAAACATCCTATTAATTTGTGGAAATCACTGGTGAAAGTGTTATGGCATTCAAAATGAGGTCTTAATTATAGTGCAGGTGAAAAAGGCGTTACCAACCAGCCATATATTGGTGGTTTTCTAGTATTGCCCCTTGTGGGAGAAGGCACTGAGTGAGGCACTTGTAGCATTTCTTCAGAGCCCCAAGCAAGCATAGCTTGTGTGCCACTGGATGCCTTGTCACATTTGCCAGAAATCACTAGCTAGCCTTTTCTGCAAAGGCACACAAAAGTGAATGTCATTGCCACACAGTGTGGATTGGTCTTAAATTGTCATGTGGAAGCCATGAATTTGATGGTCCTTCTACATAAAGATGCAATACTGTGCAAATCTACTTGTCATAGGTCCCATTTACTTTGGTAGGTCTTACTTTGCTGGGCTGGGCAAGGGTGACTTGTAAACATCCATATGCATACTATATAACATTCAGTGCCTCCTGCTCCCTTATTTACCTTTTTTTTTTCTTTGCCTGCAAACAACTTTCACCTGTAACATGCAGCTAGTATCGGGTCCTGAAATATTTTTGCCCTAAGCTCCTGCACCAGATGTATACAAGGCACTGCTTTGGTATTAATACTTTAATGAAAATTGACAGGAGATTAGCCCAACTTTCAGTAGTACAGAGAGAAAACAGTTTTGATATCTCCCAGTTTAGCAAGACTCCACATCCTCATTCCTTCACCCAGTCAGCATTTCCCAGTAGAATATGTTAGTTGGCTAATGGACAGATTTTTGATGAGGAAGTGATGAGGAAACATTAAAGGGAAGGGGAACCTTTTCCTCCAGCCAAATAATAATCAATTAGAGAATAATTCTCGTAATGATTGCCAAATTGCATTAAGTTTCTCCTGATTTATCTCTCCTGTAGAACATGATTCATTGTTTAATGGGCAGATCTAAAAGATATTCAACCCAGTCTTCCAATTATAGGCATAGAATATGATTTCCAGAACTGTAAAATAATGTGCTTTGCCACAAGCAATGCTGTAAACAATCCAGAGTGCAGCAGAAACCTACTACCTCACAGGGATGCATCTCAAAATAAGGTGATTAAATCAGCGTTGTAGCTTAATTAATTCCGCAAATCTTTTCCACAGGAGCTTAAGTAACAGAACATTTTCAAATCGCATAGGCCAGACTTGCTTGTGAACATTTCTGGCATTTATCATTATTCATATTTTTCCTGTATTAAACAGATTTATACAATATCAACCCAAGGTCTCTCTGTGCTCAGTTGTCAAGACAGCAGATTTATGTTTGTTTATTTTTTTTAAAAAAAGAGGGGCATTAAGCAGGCCTTTGAGTTTAGTTGCCTTGATGCAGACCTCACTCCCTAATTCAGCATTTAAGTCAATGCAATACAAATAGAGGATTCAGTTAGCTATCAAAGACTATCAAGGTGTATGTGGACTATATGGAGAGTCTAGGCAGGAAGCCAGAGCAGAGGTCACTTTTAAGAGGGCATACAAATGTATACAGTTCATCATTCATCCCAATTATCAATATCCTTGCTACGCAAACTTTGGCATCTAATGATCTCCCAGTATGCCACCTTGCATCTGCAGGCAGCCAGTTAGCAAAACTGCCAATTACTTAGACATTTTGTGTTGCCGAGGCAGTCTAGAGGATTGAAATTCAGCTGTATGTTTGACAAATTCATCAGTGTTAAACCCAGCAGAATATAAAGTGAGCCTGAGAATGTAGGTCAGTGGAAAATCCAGTGCCTGCATGGAATGTGCAGCACAGGCAGGAGATGTGCAGCTTATTCCCTTATCGTAAGTTCAAAGAAGGCGTAGGGTTTCTGTACCTTTAATGGTTTATATAGAAGGGGTTTATATTCAGCAGTCTAGCTTATCTCATCCTTGAATGACAACAAAGCATACCAGCCAAAAAATCCCAGAAGCGTACTTTTGAATCCATATGCAATATCCAGTCACTTCTGGGGAAAGACTGCTGAATGTTGTATATGGGTCTTTGTTTAATATCAATGAAACCTTAATTTTTTAACAGTAGAAAGTTATTCACATGGCCTTAGACGGGGGGGGGAGGGTAGGACTTTTTGTCAGCCTGAGGGCCACATTCCCTCTCTGGCCTAGTCTCTGGAGGCCACATGCCAATGTTGGGTGTGGCCACTCTAGATAAATGACACATATGCATATACAGCATACACTGCACTCACATTCTACGTTTACATACATACAACATACTGAATACGACATGTACACTGACATAACCAGAAGTAAAATCCAGAAGCTTAATTGGAATTAGGAATCTAGAATCTTGGAATTTGGTTGGGTTGGAATCCTTGGACTGGCTCGGGACTGTTGCAAGTTTGACTCAGGTGAACAGGTGTTTTGCGCATTTTTATTTTTTGGTTTTGCACCAGAAGATTGTGGATTAGTGTGATTTTGTGATGTAAAGCCTTGTTGGGGGGGGGGGTTATTAAGGTATAAATGAATGTGTGTCTGGGGTGACTGAGGTCATGCCATCGTGATATTTAGGTACTGAAATCTAATATACTGTCTCTCTATTTTTTCTTCATCCCCAGATTAATTATTACAATGCCGTTCTCATTAACGAAAAGGATGATAAAGATAATTATGTGGAGCTTGGTGATGAATTCATTCTGGAACCAAATGAGCACTTCAATAACCTGCTGGTGAACACAACATTAAGTGACATACAGCTTCCAACTAATGTTTACAACAAAGGTAGAGAATTTCTGTGTTAATTCTACTGGTAAGGCAGCAATAGAGCCAGAGATGAAGTATCAAAATTTAGCTGGCAACTCTAGGAAGAGAGGAAAAGACTGACCATAGACTTGCGTGTTATGTATGTTTTATGGGAGGAAAATATGAATCCTTGTGACCCATGTATGTGGGTGAGTAATAAAATAACCAGCTGGGTGCCTGGATTCAAAAACAGAAGGAAGGAAGGTGGGCGGGAGGGCAGACCTTTAACAGGCTCTTCGCCTTCCCTGAGCAAAAACTGCTTGAAGGGGTGATTTGGATTATGTAAATAATACAGGAAGGGAATCGTTAAGCATCCCCAATCAATGTGTTGAACACACATACACCTGAACTTGGCAAAAAAAACAAAAATAAAATTGAGTAAGAATGGGGAGATCAATTATAGTTCTCTCAGAGTAACCTGCAATTTGTCCCTAGTTAGCTGGGTTTCATCAGTACCATCTCTTTGGTTAGATTTTGTCCGGAAGCTGGGCAAGGAAAGACCTACAGCTAAGCCCGAGGAAAACAGGTGCCACTCATTGAAAATATTGGAGCAGTTAGTTTAATGTTAGATGTACTTAGAATAAGGCATCTTGATACATTGATATTTGTTAGGCTTCTAGTCCTCATGAAAGAAGAGGGGAGTTTGGCTAGATATTGTTGGTGGAGGACGCTGGTGCATCTGTATCCTCTATAGGTTTGTTTGTTTTTATTCCTTCTCATTCTTTCTTTCCCTTTCTTACTATTGTTCCCTTATTGCCTCTTTTTGTCACAGACCCTGATATTTTGAATGGGGTTTATATGTCTGAAGCATTGAATGCTGTTTTTGTGGACAATTTTGAAAGAGATCCAACTCTCACTTGGCAATATTTTGGCAGCTCTACAGGATTCTTCAGACTCTATCCAGGTAAAGGTCTTCATGCCTATCTGGCCTTTTCTTAGAAAGGTTTCAGGCTTAACTGCACATGGATTGAATGTAGCTTTACCCCCATGAAAATAAAAGGTGAGCTCACAGCCCCAGATTTGGATTGCAACCACAATAAGGAGCAAGGGCTAAAGCCTTCCTACCCTCCACACCAGGTTCTGATCTTGCTGAAAGGCTGTGTACTTGCAATAGGGATTTGGAGGGTGTTCAGTTCAGTTTGCTTTTAAAGGTGAACCTACCTAGTTCACATTTTCCAAAACAATACATGAACCCTTCCATTACAGCCAAGTAATATGTACAAAAATGTATGTATTAGGGGAAAGTATGCATTAAAATGCATGTATTAGGGAAAATAACATATTTTAAAATGTTATATTTTGGGAAATCACTCTGTAAAATTGTGTGTATTAGGCAAAATTGCAGAGAAATAGGTGTATATTAGGAGAAAATTACATTAAAATTCTAATGGATTCATAATGATTCATAAACATATGGAAATGTGAAATGCTAAGCGTAAGATTGGGAAATTAGAAACTGGAGAAACAAAAACTGAAACATTTGCCCATACATAGCATGCAATTTCTGAAAGAAAACGTGTGCCCTCAAGGGGCAGACCATAACATACAGTTTGGTCCTTAATTATTCAAAGAAAAGGAGTACACTAAACCAAAATCAGTTCAGAGATGCTACAATATACCAGCCTGTGGGAATGTTCAGGGAGGCAAGAGAGGATATATTGTTTAATAATATCCTTCCCAACTTGCATTAGCAAGTCCCTTTACTTAACAGAGTGCATACCCCTTTTTAATACACAGCGGTTTGCTTGTTGCAAGCTTGTTTGAGTCCCTCTTAAAAAAAATAGACACGACAGGTCTTATTAAAGTCAATATAAAAGTAGTTTACTCACAATCATTCAGTTCATAGTTGGATCCCTGAAGGCAGACTTAGGTTACAAAACTATATACAGTGGTACCTTGGTTTACAACCATAATCCATTCTGGACATCCATTTGTAAACCAAAACAGGTTGTAACCCAAGGCGCGCTTTTGCCAATGGGGCTTAAAAAAAATAATGTTCATAATTGGGGGGAAGGGGGGGGGAAGGGTTGTAATCCAAAAAAAGGCTGCAAACCAGGACATACACTTCTGGGTTTGACGTGTTTGTAATCCAGAACGTATGCAAACTAAGATGTATGCAAACCAAGGTTCCACTGTACACATGTGGAACTATCCCATAAGGGAGTTAGTTCCTAAGTGACTGCAGACAGGCTGTTACATGGAAAAGCAAAAATGGAGAAGAGCAAAAGGAAGGAGCTGTGCTCCCTTGCCCAGATTAGGCCTCACACACTCACATGGCCTCAAGTCACGTGCAGAGGAAATTTGTCACAGCTCAGGAGAGCAAGTTAGACTCCTGGCTGGTACAAAGCATCCACTAGCATGTTCACTCTAGTGTACTTGAGTGCTATGTGTCTGAAATCCCACATAGCCAATGTTAAGCATCCTTAGGGTGTGATCCCCTATGCATATTGACTTGGAAGTTGGTCCCACCAAACTTGGAAAACACTCATAAAATGTAGATATTACATCTAAATCAGGGGTTTCCGAACTGTGTTCTTTGGACCACTGGTGATGTGCACGTTTTGTTTAGGTGGTCTGAAAAATTCAATTACAGCATCTAGCACAGCCTATTACAACTGCTACAACAGGCACAAAAGTCATCAACTGGTCTGCCAGCACCACCCACAATATTCCTGTTGTCCATGGGAGAAAACTATAAACTAGTCAAAATAAATGGGACAAAATAAATTGTCTTGTTTGTGCCCATTCCCTGCAGTTCAGGCAGGGTGAGTACACAGTAATAATGATGAATTTAATTAAATTAGGAGCCTGCCCATGACTGATGACCCTCTGCCTCATACATTTGTGTCAATGAGGCTCATTCCAAAGTAAATATGCACAGGATTGCAGCCTCAGAGTACAGTATTGGTTTGCTTTGCAATTGTGATCTCTGCACAACTGATAGAGAGTTCAAGGTTTTTGGATTGTGTTTTGCTTCACTGTGTAGAGAAATCCCAGAATAAGCAACTGTTATAATATTGTAATGCTGGGAAAGGGCCTAGTTAAGGTTCTGATGCTTACGTAATAGGGCTGCTTGTATTCCTGTGTGTGCCAGATCCACAGCAAAATTGTTTTGATGTCTCTACAGGAATAAAATGGACACCGGATGAAAATGGGGTCCTCTCCTTCGACTGCCGAAATCGAGGCTGGTGAGAGATTTTGAAAAGATTTCATACTCCTGTGTTTGATTTGGAGGGATCCAGAGTTTATTCTTCCTTCCAACTTTTGCTTCCTTCTGAGATTTGTTCTAGATACTATCAGTGGCACTTCCTCTATTCAGTTTTAGCTTCTCCTTCATGTCACTGTCTCCAAAGGGAATGCTAAAATTGCTCCCTAACAGTCAAGGCAAGTGTTTATGTGTACACATATGAAGATTTGCCTCTCCCTATATCATCTACCTGTGACTATTCCCTCTATTACGCCATTGAGTGGGGTACATTATGTGGTGATTACATAGAGCAAGGCTTTTCAGCAGTGGCACCCTCCCTGTGGAACACCCTCTCTTTAGAAGTGTGGTTGGCACGGTGAAAGAAACTGAGATACGAAAGCTAGGAGCTAAATGGCACCTTAAACCTAGGTTATGGGTGCAACAATGGAATGTCTAGGCATGCTTTTTTATAACAAGAATACAAAGCTGAATGAATGAACTGCAGCTAAAATAGTATGTTCATTTTTCACATGGTCTCGTCCTTCCCCTGCCAACCCCTAATATTCTTAATATTCTTCCCTTTTTAGGGAAGTTTTTGATGACTGATGTTTTAATGTATTTTTAACCTTCTGTTAGAAGCCACCCAGAGTGGCTGGGGAAACCCAGCCAGATGGGCAGGGTAGAAATAAATTATTATTATTATTATTATTATTATTATTATTATTATTATTATGTCTCTTCTCCAGTCTTCAGAGAGTGGCTGGAAATGAGGAGGCAGAAAAAGGTCCTCCTTTCCTTCCACTTTGCAGTTTTATTCTGAAATCTTAGATGCAGTACTGCACCCAGAGTTTAGAAACTGCTTGCACTAACAAAATTCCCTGTCACAAAATGCACCTAGAACAATGGGAGTTTTGAACACCGGGTTGCATCATCACTTTCACCATTTTGGCACCAAGTTAAGATCTGCCTGTTTGCTCAGGCATTTTTGTGGTTTAGGTGTGAAGTTGATCCTGCCCTGGGTTTTTCACTGCTCCTTTTTTATTGGAAGGGGTCTTATGGTTTTATTATAGTGCATTATGTAATTTTATGTGTTGTATTCCACACGGATATCATTACAGGTGAAGGGTGGTTTATAAATGTTTTTTAAAAAACAATACTTTAAAAATACGATCGATCAAAAGAACAAGAGCCCAAGCAGTCTAGCATCCTCTTTTCCACAATGGTTAAAGACAACCTTCCCAACCAAATGTCTTACAGATGTGTTGGAGTGTGATTGTCATCAGCACTAGCGAGCACAGCCATGCTGATGAGGGGTGATGGAAGTTAGTCCAAAATATCCAGAGAGTGCCAGATTGGGGAATGTGAGGTTAAGCAGATGCTACTGGAAAGCTCACAAACAGAGCTTGAAAGCAATAGCTGTTGCTTCCTAGTAACTGGCATACTGTCTGTGTAATGAGTGGCTGCTGATAGACCTACCCTGCATAAATTTGCCTAATCCTCCTTTAAAAACAGCTAAACTGGTGGCTGTCACCCCTTCTTGTTGCAGCGATGTCCATAAATTAAAGATGTGGGTTGTGAAGAAATATGTTCTTTCATTTATTCTGAATATAGCACAAGTTCTTATATTATGAGGGAGGGAGGAAAAGTTATGTCTGCCACTTCCTCCGCACCTTGCATAATCCTATCCTTCTTGGTCATTTCTCTAAATTAAGAAGCCCCAAATGCTTTAATCTGTTCTTTTAAAATTGTTGGGTTTGTTAGAATCTATGCACCACCTTTCCTAAGGCAGGGTGTTATTACTGTTGTTGTTTGGTTGTTGTTACTTGCCCTTCAGCAGGTCCCAGGATGACTACAACAATCGAAAAGTTCAGTACAGTACTAAAAACAGTTAAAACAAATTTCAGTGACAGAAATATGATGGGTCCTGAAGATACACGCAGCAGGTGTCAAAGGGCCATGTATTCAGAGGATGCATCCTTAGATCACCACGCTAAATAGGAAATGAATCAATACATTCTTCTGATTCTACCATGCATTGAGATCACTTCTTCCGGCTTGGATCATGTGTTCCCTGATATGGTCCAGGAACCTCCCACTAGTGCCACTCTTGCACACTTACATGATATTTACTGCTTCCCTTTCTTGTTCCTGTCAAGGTACATCCAGGCTGCTACATCACCCAAAGATATTGTCATTGTGGTGGACATCAGTGGGAGCATGAAGGGTTTGCTCCTGTCTATTGCCAAACACACCATTGTCACAATTTTGGACACGCTGGGAGAGAATGACTTTGTTAATATTATTGCCGTGAGTACAAACTCCTTCCTCATTTGTAAACACCCTCTCCCTCGGCGACAATGGAACTAGATTTTAGTTTGAGAAAGAGCTCTGGGTTGGCATTGGATGAGCAGATCAATCTATTTCTGGCCCATGTCCCTTTTGCTGCTGTTTGCTGCTATTTGCCTGCATTCGCCTGTTCCATCCTGCTTCTGCACTACTCTCCAGACTTTTAAGATGCACAAAACTTCATGTTTAAATCCATTTTTCTACATGTATTTTCTCTCAAAATATATATTTATAAATCTCTTTTTTTATTGAAACTGGCATTTCTAAATGCATTTTTTTTAAAAAACCAGTATCTATTTCAGGCTGTTAAGAAAGGGTAAAAACCACTTGATAAGTAAGACCGCAATACTGCCCCCTACTTACCTGACAGTAAGTTTAATTGAATTCAAGAGGACTTGCTTTTGAGTAAACATGGTTAGGGTTGCACATTATCCCAGGAGGTGTGGATCAGGTTAGTTCCTATAGGAATTCACAAAGATCAAAACATCTAGCTCCCAGCCATTTCAATTTGTGTTCCAACCGTCATTCACTGATTGGTTAGAAGAGGCTAGAGAAATTGCCCCCTGACCTTTCTCTCTGTTAGATATGAAGCATGACCTGCTCAGTCCAACCTGTGGACCACTCCTGTCTGTGGTATGCTCTAAGGAAGGCTATACCTAGATACTTTCACTTTCTTACAAAAATATAATCACATGAAATTTTAAGATTGCCCTCATGCTTCATGAAAGGGACTTTCTTGATTGTTTTGCTTGCTCCCCCCTTTTTTTGCAAAGAATGCTATGCCCAGATATGTCCCTAGTCTCAACAATTTTTTTTCAAGTCTTGCTTTTTTTGCAAGACAGAAATTGTTTAGAAGTATTTACTTAGAGTCATCTTTAGTCTCAGTTATCAGTACCAGAAACTGAAGACAGCTGTTAAAAATAGTCCTTGCTGCGATCAGATTAAGACTTTGAACTGGCTCGGGCCGAGTATTTATTCTCAAGAGCAGTTTTCATAGGATTAAAAGACAACAGAACAATCACATTCTCCGCTGTCCAAAAATAACTGACTAAATGGCTAACTGGTCATTTGGGTGAGCTCAGGGGTGGAGAGAGAGAGACAGACCTGGAATGGGAGAGGAAAGGATACCCACAATTGTGTCTGAAGGCCAGCCACACTCACCAGTTCATCTCTCTGCTCCTCCCTACCATGCCCCTGTGTAGTTTCTGGCCTCTCACTGTAATTTAGCCTGTAACTAAACCACCCACTGACAGTGCATCAGTCTTATTTAGATTGAGCTTTCATTTCTTGGCTCTCATCCAGTGCATTAGCAAGGGAAGACAACATGTATACATCCCCCCCCCCCCAATTTGTACCCTTTTGCAAGCGAATTTCTCTAATATAATGCATCTCCTGTGTTATTTTTCCACAAATGTATGCATACTTTCTCCTCACAGGAATGTTTTGTCCCCATTATATGGTTTGAAACCTGCATCACAAAATTTGGAGAAATGTGAATTTGGAAGGATAACTGTTTCAGTTCACATATTATTTCAGAAAGTACAAACCAGGCAGCTTTGTATTAAAATGTGAGCCAAAGTCAATTTCTCCCTATCCCCAACCAGGGCTGACTGTCTCTCCTTTTAGCTGCAGCAGTAAAAGGAGTCCCTTCTAAACACCACCACCTAGGGTTACTGCAGGACAGCTGAGGTATCTAGGGTGTCAAAGGCTGCAAACATAATCCCGATTTGCAGACTTTGTCAGGGAGTTAACACTGCCACTTGATCAGGTGCTCTGGCAAAATGCACCCATTCTGTGTACAGGAAAAAGCAAAGTGCCATGTCTTTAGAATGTAGCTGAAAGCCTGTGGGTTTTTATACCAGCTGGAGCATGTATTTAAACCCTTTGGGTAGTCAACCTCAGACTGATGGTCACGGCTGATGCAGTCCTTTGCCTACTTTTATTTTATTCTTTTTTGCTGAGGAAAAACACAAGAGAGGCTACAAATCTCTGTCCTTAAGTAAGCCACTTTGCAGAAATATCCTTATTTGTTACATAAGTAGCTTGCTTTGAGACAAAGCTATCTGCAGCAAATCGTCCCTGTGTCCACCCTGGGAAACTGACATGCCCTCTCTTCAGTTCAGACTTGTGTGTGGTTATTACAATATTGTGTTTGCCCTGTTCATAATATCTAATTTTCATTGTAAGCTGTTATTAATGAAGGGTGAGGTATTTAAATTTTAGTACAGTGGTACCTCGGGTTACATACGCTTCAGGTTACATACGCTTCAGGTTACACACTCCACTAGCCCAGAAATAGCGCTTCAGGTTAAGAACTTTGTTTCAGGATGAGAACAGAAATCGGGCTCCGGCAGCACGGCAGCAGCAGGAGGCCCCATTAGCTAAAGTGGTGCTTCAGGTTAAGAACAGTTTCAGGTTAAGTACGGACCTCCAGAACAAATTAAGTACTTAACCCGAGGTACCACTGTACTAAATACTGCCTAGAACACATATGCTGTCTTTATCATCTACTGTATATCTATATATCTCTATAAAGTATCAGGCATAGCCAAACTCAGCCCTCCAGATGTTTTGGGACTACAACTCCCACCATCCCTAGCTAACAGGACCAGTTGTCAGGGATGATGGGAATTGTAGTCTCAAAACATCTGGAGAACCGAGTTTGCCTATGCCTGCTCTATATCTATCTATGTTCTATGTTGCTTTTCATAGGAAACAAGATCCCAGTGGGCCATAGTAGATTGCACATGAAGTGGCAATTCGAGTCTCTCATTTGGCACTTTAAGGACTTAACACTTGTTATTATGGCAGAAGCTTTTGTGATGAACTGAGTTCAAGTGCCATAATGGCTTGTGCCATAATTAAATGCCTTGGCCTTTAAAGCAGGTGTGGGAGTTGCTGTCTAATAAGCAGTGAACAAAGGGAAACACTGAAGAAAATCAAGAAAGAGGACAGGAAATGTTGCCTGAATAATTCTGGCACCATATGGGCAACATCTTATTTTTACAGTCTCCAGAGGGATAGCCATAGTACTCTGTTATTGCAGCAAAACCAGCAGAGTTTGGTGTCACTTTAAAGCCGCGGTGCAGAACCTTTGGCCCTTCAGATGTTGCTGTACTACAACTCCCATCAGGCCTAGCAAGCGTTGCCTGCCAAAGCTTTGCTGGACTTGGCTCAGTCTTGTGAGGGTAGGGGATGGAGTAAGAGCAAACCAAGAACTTAAAAAGTTCAGGTAAAGATCTTACTTGTGGAACACAACAGGATATTGGCAACCAAGGCTATCCACTTTTTAAATTACACATATTGCTGGCATTTTAGTGAGGGAATGTCTAGTGTGAATCTATGCCTTGATTTGTTTCCAAAGAGCATGGGGAGGTATTTTGTGGAATCTTGCATTTTAAAATGTATGCTTTCAAAAGCCGTGATGGTTGTTCTTTATACATAACAATATCTCCTGAAACCTATGTAACTCTCTAAGGAAGATTCCTTTTCTTCTAGTCACTCTACCACCACCCCTTTTTGCCTTTACAGTACAATGATTATGTTCATTATGTTGAATCCTGTTTCAAGGGGATCCTGGTTCAAGCAGACAGAGATAACAGAGAGGTAAGTACTGGACTTCTAGGGACATATTTAGGCGCATTATTGAGTGTGAACTGGTGTGTGTGTGTGTGTGTGTGTGTGTGTGTGTGTAATAATTTTAAATTTTCTACTTTATAAACCACTTAGAGATTGTTTTAAATATTAAGCAGTATATAAATTTAATAATAAAAAATAATGATTGTGCATTATTCTTTATCTCAACCTGGTGGCAAAATCCAGATGTTTTGAACTGCAATAGGCATGGAAAAGAAATTCAATTCAGTACACATTTAAAGCTGAATTTATCAAATTTGCAGTGTCTGAAACAATACAAGAATCGAAACATAGCTATCCTTCATAATTTGCACTGAATTTTGCTACGCAGTTCTCAAACCAAACAATGTTTACAAAAATGCATATATGAGGGGAATATGTTGCTAAAAATGAACATATTGGTGAAAATAACACACACACATACACCATATACGTGTTAGGATTCTATATTTTGCAAAAATGTATGCATTAGTTGAAACTGCACACTAAAATGTGTCTATTAGGAGAAATTAACACTAAAATTTTCATAAGAATTTTAAAATATGGAATTCACAAATTGCTGCAAAAACACAGAGAACTGTATTTAAGATTGGAAAAATGAGAAACTGCAAGAACCAAATTAGGCAGATTTTCCATCCCAAGACTACAGTTCCCATCAGCCCCATCTAGTATGGCCTATGATCAAGGTGGTTGGGAGTTGTAGTCCAACAATATTTGGAGGGCACCAGGTTGAAGAAGACTAAACTGTCTAATGCTATGAAGAATACCTTTCTTGCTTCTTTGCTTAGCACTTCAAGCAGCTAGTGGATGAGTTGCAAGCAAAAGGAGTTGGGACAGTGAATAAAGCCTTGACAGAATCCTTCAGAATCCTGAGGGAGGTAAGAAATGTTGTGGGGATAAAGGTCTTTCCTCTCTCTCTCTCTCTCCATGCTGCCTTCATTCCATGATGTCCTGCAGCATTGTGGCAATTATGGCAATGCACTGGAGGAGAAGGAAGTTCTCCAGATAACAGTGACAAAAACCCTCTGTGACAGCACCAAAAGCTGCTGATGGGCATGTTGGCTAAAATTACAGCAAGAGAATATGATGTCAACATATTTGGACAGTGTTATTTTAGGAACGTAGGCGCACACACACACACATTTATTAAGTGTTTGACTCTAGACTGTAATGAAATTGTGATGTTGTTATGACAAAGAAGGATAGTAGAATTGTAGACCTGGAAGGGACCCTGAGGATCTTCTAGTCCAGGGGTCAGCAAATTTTTCAGCAGGGGGCTGGTCCACTGTCCCTCAGACCTTGTGGGAGGCTGGACTATATGTTGTCATGATTATGACCGACATTTTTGGCAAAAACCCTTATTTGGACCAACCCCAACATTGCACAAATGTGATTTTTTTGGGGGGGGGTGTTCCCTCATACACCCACGCTGCTTCCTTTGCGTTTTACGCTTTGACAGTTATTATTTCTCTAGTAAGGTGGGGTGGGGGCTGGGGGGCTGAGGTAAGCGCACCATTCCTGTCAGCCCTGGGGAGTGTGTGTGCATGCGTGGGTGAAGGGAAAAGCTGTTGCCCACGCTAAGTCAGGCCGGCGCCGCTCAAGCAAAAACGTTCTTTTCCCTGTGTGAGGGAATATGAGGCAGAGGCGGCTATTTACCTTTCCATGGCTCATACCCTGTAGCTAACAAGAGTGCAGAATTGTTTCAGAGTGCAGCCGCCCAGACACTCCCCACTTCCTCTGGTGGGGAGCACCGCCGCCACAGACACTGGCAGGTGTCGCTCCCGAGGCACCTCCGAGCCTCTGCCGCCGCAACTGCCCTTCCTGAGGTACGTTGCCGGCAGCTCCATGGTGGAAATCTGAACTGTGGCTCCTTTTCCCTCTTCCCCACCCCCCACCCCAGAAGAAAAGATTGCTGCGTGTGCGTAACGGACAGAGAAGGGGCTTGTCTCGAGCAGCCGCCTGCCTCACTTTTGACCCCCAAGCCTGGCTGAGTCACAAAAACCATCGTGCACACGCTATGCTGGCTGCCTGAATTCCTGGACTGTCTGCGGGCCAGATCTAGAAGGCAATTGGGCCTGATCCGGCCCACGGGCCGTAGTTTGCCGACCCATGTTCTAGTCCAACCCCCTGCAATGCAGGAATCTCAGCTAAAGCATCCATGACAGATGACCATCCAACCTCTACATAAAAAACCTCCAGTGAAGGGGAGTCCACACCTTCTGAGGAAGTCTGTTCCACTGTTAGGTTATAGCTGTGGTCTGTAGTATCAGAAAGTAAATCATGAGATTGTTAGCTCCCACGAGAACAGGTGACCCCAATCTGTTTCCTCGGCGATGATGCCATTGAGTTAGGTGTTGCATTTAATCAGAACTTTGTCCTTCATATTTCAGCATCATGCCAATTATTCAATGGTTTGAGAGTACAGAATGACTGATTGAGTCTGCTTTTCAAATGACAGAAGAGGTGGAAAGGGTTAGACTGGAGACATTTGAAGGAACGAGAATGAGATGCAATTGCTCTGCTTTGCACCAGAATAATAGGATTCATCCAAACCATAATATGTGTAACCCTACCAAGTGGTGCTTCAGCTAGAAATAGATATGCCATAATGATTAAATCTCATCAGTGCCAAGCAGCATAGTTGTACTACTGAGAAACTGTATCAGGGAATGGGCAAAAAACAGTCCAGTGTTGATAATGATGGTGGCACTCGTGAGCTGAAAATCCACTAAAAGCCACAAATTCTTCAAATTTAGGGTAGGTGAAATTTGGGGAGCTCCTGGATTTTCATAGGCACAAAATAATTGTGTTTCATTTTAAACTAAACCCTCCACCACCACCCAATAGAAGCACAACTTTGAGAAAAGGCATATGGATTATGCACAGCACAAAAATTAGTAACAATATGATACTCTGGACCAGAGTTTCATTCAAGCGAGGGTTTACCAATGCTGAGTTCCAGGATTTATTGTCCATGCTGGAGCATTATTCATATGAAATAACCACAAAGTGTGCCTCAGGGCATGTGCAAAGTGTGTTCCTTTCACCACAAGAAGATTGGATAAAAGGTTTTTAATACAAAGGCCTGACTTCTCATAAAACTTAAATAACAGCATTTCTTATTTTAGAAATTAAGATCTAGATCCATTGGAAATGCATTCTGAATAATGAGGATTCTTACTAAGGTTCTGCTTCTGAGCAGACTCTCGCTGTAATTGATCAGAGTTTCCCCTAGGTCATAATTAAGGGCTTTTAAATAAGGCCATAATTTAAATGACGTGGGGGGGCTATAACTCTTGCAAAAGGTCACATGCTCAATCCCCGGCATCTCCAGGTAGGGCTGGGGAGACGCTGTCATTTGCTGTCAGTAAACGATACTGAGTTAGATGGACCCGTATTCCTAACCCTGAACCTTTCAAGTAAACTCATTTAATCCCCATTTGTACCAGTCAGATAATTATTATCACTATTGTTTCCATTCTGTTTCCAGTTCAGAAATGCTGGTCAAGGAGGTCTTTGTAACCAAGCCATCATGCTGATCACTGATGGAGCTATGGAAGATTACGAATATGTCTTTGAAAAGTTCAACTGGCCCGATCGTAAGGTTTGTTTCCTAAGTGCTGAATGTTAAAGAGTAAAGAGGACAGATTGGTGTGGAATGAATCAGGAGCTGCTAACCAGGTACTGAGTAGCACATGGTGTTAACCAGCAATGCAATTCTATACATGTAGGCCCCACTGAATTTGATGGGAGTTATTCCTGGGTAAGTGATAATAAATCAAGGGTGGGGAAGCTTTTTCATCCCGAGGGCTGCATTTTTCTGGGCAACCTTCCAAGAGCCACATGCCAATGATGGGTGGCACTAGAGGCTAAAATGGGTGGAGCACCAAATGTAAATTTTACCTTTGTGCAGGGAGCTAGTTTCTATACACATCCACACACTGTTCCGTATTCTCCATCCAGGCAGTCAAGAGTTCAAGGACACATTCCAGCCAGGTGAAAGTGCTCAGGGTGTAAAGTAGGACCAGTGAGGGGAATGGCATGAGAAGAGTTCTAAGAACATGGCAAAAGGCGCTTTCCCAGAGCCTGAGGTTTCAGGCCCCTGTAGTAAACAATAGTAACAATATTATTACAACTACTGCTTATAAAAATTAGAGTAGTAAAGTAGAAAGTGCTCAGTGTCTATGAACAGTATCCAAGTAACATGTCCCATCAGCTCAAGGATTTCTGCTGGTGCAGAGGAACTTCCTTGCCCTCTTCTCCACCGACTTTTCCTCCCTAAACCTGTTCCAGAGCGTCCAATATTATTATATTTTGGGGGGGTGCGCCGGAGTAGATTAGGGTGGAGTTCCATTGTGCAAGTGGAAATCTTTGCACTGGCAAGATGTGTTAGTTGGATAACATCCTATAACTGGGGGGGGGGGGCGGGATTCATTACTTTAACATTTCAAAATAGTCTGAGCATTGGGTTTGTCCAGGGGTCAGCAAACTTTTTCAGCAGGGGGCCGGTCCACTGTCCCTCAGACCTTGTAGGGGGCCAGACAAATTCCTATGCCCCACAAATAATCCAGAGATGCATTTTAAATAAAAGCACACATTCTACTCATGTAAAAACACCAGGCAGGCCTCACAAATAACTCAGAGATGCATTTTAAATAAAAGCACACATTCTACGCATGTAAAAACATGCTGATTCCCGAACCATCCACAGGCCAGATTTAGAAGGCAATTGGGCTGGATCCGGCCCCTGGCCCTTAGTGTGCCTACCCATGGGTTTGTCACTTGTGACATCACTTACAACTGTTTTCTAAATAGCAAACTCTAGTATGTGGGTATAATAGCATTTCACAGCAAGGCTGCATTATTGTTTGGTGGGAAAATATGATACTCCTTCAACTGATGTATTTGTTGGTAGAAGGATGTTAAGATCTCCCATAAGTACTGCTTACCTTTGCTTTTTACCCTTGATCTTTCCAAAATAGGTCTAAAATGATATTTTTACTAGCAGGAACTCTTTTTCACATACTTTTACCAAGAGAACTCTATTGCATAATGTCAGTATACAAAACGTACAATACTGCATATCTTTCCCATTCCACCTTACAGCTGTGAGATCTAGAAAAGGTATTTCTACTGAATGTCAGACAAATAGGCTATTTTACATTTAATTCCAATGTCTGCATTTTTGCTTCACAGGTACGGGTTTTTACATATCTTATCGGGAGGGAAGTCAGCTTTGCACAGAATGTGAAATGGATAGCATGTAACAACAAAGGTAAATAACATCCTTTGCTGCAAGTCATTTATCATAAGCAAACTGCAGCCATCCATTCTTAGACCTTGGCCTTTGTATAACCTACAAGCCTAGTTTGAGTCTGAAAAGCTCCAAAGCTGCTGCAGTAGACAGAATGGATTCCTAGATATGTCTGCTACTTAGCCTGTGTTGCCAAGTGCCTTAGAATTGTGAGAAGGATTGAGTCGGATATAAAGGGGGGGCTGGGATTTTTTGCTTCTTAAATTGTACTCAACTTAGATACTGTATAGAGTTTGGCTAGGATATATGGGATGAAGGACCTTAGGAGGCATGGGGTAAAGCAAGAATGGAGGACCTGTGACCCTCCAGATTATGTTGGATTTGAACTTTTACCAGCCTGAACCAGCATGGTCCAAGATCAGGGGTGCTGGGAATTGTAAGTCCAACAACAGCTGAAGGATCACAAATTCCCCATTACTAGGATTAAGAATGATAGAGGTAAGAACACAAAGGGGCATCTTCAGATTGGTAACTTTTGATGCAATCAAACATGAAGTTGTACCTATTTCAATTTATTCTAAAAATGCATGTCCTTCCCTTCATTGGATTTTCTGGAATGTCCTCCAGCTTGTGCTAGACTTCAGTGCACGCATGCAAATAGGATTTTGCCATGTTTTTACATAGTAAAACCTGTTTTGGAGTCTGAAGCAATGACTCCAAACTCCAATCAGTAGAATACAGATTCAGAAATGGAATTCAAGGAAGCTAACTCTCTTATTGGGGGCGGGAATACTTATTATTTGTGTTAGGGTACTACACACAGATATCAACTTTGGCTGACGTCCAGGAGAATGTAATGGAATACTTGCATGTACTCAGTCGACCAATGGTTATCAACCACGATCATGACATCATATGGACTGAAGCCTACATGGACAGTGCGGTAAGTGTTTTGAGAAAAGCTTTAAGGTGGGTGAGAGACAAAGGTCACTTAGAGTTGTTTTCTGAATTATTATTATTATTTATTAAATTTATATACCACCCTTCATCCAAAGATCACAGGGCAGTTTACAACATAAAATACATATATAAGTTGGAAGTAGTTAGCAGCAGCAGCTGATTATTATCAGTACTGCCTTTTGAAAAGGTTCTACAGATGTCATTTAGCTGCTTTTTGCTTCTATGTGATATCCTTGGAATTCCATGGTGATCCAGGCATAGCATGACTTACATCAGGAATGGAGAACTGAATCTGGTGAATGGGTCAGATCCCAATGTCCCTCACCCTGCATGGGCCAGGTTTGACAAGTGAGCAGAGCTGTACATCTGCCGATCAACTGATTTCACAATTTTTTGCCTTCTCAGTTCATTCTTTGCAAGCTTTGATTATCAGGTTGGGGCTTGCAAAGCACTGTGCATGGTGTTTTGTAGGCACTGCTGACCTGTGGTGGCTGCAAACCCCCTTTTGGCTCAGAAAGGATCCAGTAGTCTGCTATAATTAATCTTTTAACACATATTTACCTGCCCCACAACTGACATCATATGAGATCAGGTGGAGGGTAGCTAGGCATTACTTGTGTGAAGCTAGGCTTCACAGGCCACATGGGGCTAATTAAGTCTGTGGGCTGGAGGTCCCCCACCCCTGACTTAAGTGGTATCTCTGTCCTCTGTGAACTCTGCAGAGACACTTTATAAAAGATTATCAACAGGAAAAGAGATTAGCTTTTCAGCTCAGGAAATGGGTCACTCAGCCTCCAGCCCAGTGGGGCTTCAGTGCTGTAGTCTGTTATCTGTCACACAGAGGAGCTGACATACATTAAGGTGTCAAGTATTGTCCTTAATGACTTAGTCCAAGATCCAAAGCAAGGCTAAGTTTGAGGAGTAGAGGAACAACACATAGAAACAGAGATTCGTTTTTTGCTTTGCTGCAAGTTTCTGCTACCAAAGAGACAATCTGGCCCTGTAATTGAATAGTACCTTGTCTCTTTGGCAGTGGGGACTTCTGTGACCAAAAAGTAGAGTTCCCACTCAAATTTTGCACAAAAAGAAATTCAGGATGCATTTAGAGGTTTCTCCTCAGGAGTGAGGCCCTTGAGCTGTAAAGGATTCCCCATCACTGATATATTTGTGCTGCTTGGCCATAAGGATATGCCTGCTGATGCAAAGTGTGTGCCATAACACTTTAGTGTGAACCCCACTAAGAGATCAGAGTTGATGTTCTTCTTGGTGGCCACTGGAAAACAAAAAAGATGATGTGGCCACGTTTATGTGCTTTGTACATGTTGCCTCAATTCCTATATAAGGCATCTGCTTACAGTGTCCTTGAACAGTTGCCAGGTCCCCAGTGCCACACTAGGCCTCAATATAGATCCTCTACTTTTTCCTCCCCAGCCCACTGCTCAGAGCTGTACCACCTTGCTCATGTATTACAATCCCATGGAGTAGTGCTATAGTGGAAGCATTGTGGGGAATGAAGGGCTAAAGTAGATGTGATATTAAATGCATTTAGCATGCTAGCTTTCAGAAAAGAACATATCTTCTTGGAACAGGGTGATATCTATCAGGATCACAGCAGCTGGGAATGGAACACTTAACCCCTTCCTCCCCTGCTGCAGTCAGAATCACTCCTCTGAAGGCAATTCTCCCCCGCCCAGTGCGAAAAGCAAGGGAGGAAAGGGTGAAACTCCTCCTTCCTGCCCACTGTGATCCTGATAATTATCTGACCCCTCAGTAGCTGATTCTTGAATTAAATACTTAAAATGCACATTAAATACAAAAATGCATATACTATCAGGTCTAGATTGGCCCAGAAATTATGACTAAAGACAGGTGTCTGACACTAGTTGGAGCACATCTTCATGTGCTGCTGCTGTCCACACATGCCCACAATTGCCAGATGGGCCCACCACTGGAGGAGGGGAGGAGGCCAACTAGAGGGCACAGGGTCCCTGTTAAACACAGAGCTGTCACTAAAAAGGTGCATAGCTATTTATTCTCTAATGTGAGATTGGACATGAAGTTTTCGTAGTAGTTTGTTTTGCCAAGCCTACTGTATGCTGGAAGTTGTCAGCTGTGCAACTTGCATTGTGTTTTATCAGTCTTTGCTTTGGACTGTTTCAGAATGGTTTTGCTCCTGGGTTATTAGTTTGCTCCTCTTACATTTCTTGCTTGCATTTGTCTCTGCTGCTTACTGTATGTATCATTAGTTTGTGTGTTCATTTGTTTGTCCATTCATTAATGTGTACATTCATTTGTCACCCACATCTCTTGCTAGCTGCCACAATCTGAGGAGGTAACAATCTGCCTTGTGTTCTGTGAACACCAACTATTTCTCTGGGTGTCATTAGTACATGTTCTGTACTAGTTTATCTAGCTGTAACTAAACCATACATCCACGGTGGGGAAAAGTTGGCTGTACAGCAGCGATAGAGCTGTACAGCATGGGAAGGATAGCTCTGGATGTATTTGTGAGGTTGTGATGTGCTGTTGTAGAGTAGAACTTCAGAGCATGGCCCATGGGCTGGAAGTCTCTGGTACAAATCTCCACTCAACTACAAGCTCACCGGACAGCCTTGCACAAGTCATCTATATTAAGACTGTCCCACCTTAAAATAGCAGAGTCAGGATTACACGGATAATGTATGTGAGGTGATGTGAATACTTAAAAAAGGCTCTCCATAGGTCTGAGAAACATTGATTGTTTGAGATTATGTACAGGAAGTCTCTTTATTTCATTTCATTCATTTCATTTCATTTCTGATATATACTATACATGCACACACTATATCTATCTATCATCTATCTATCTATAGTGTGTATGTATATATATAGATAGTTTGTGTCTATATATATACACACACCTACACACACACACATATATACATATACCATCTACTGCAGCATGTTTAAACTATGCTTATTTCTGCTGCATAATTTTTCCAAAATAGATGTCAGCCAACTGATTAAAAAATTCCAGCATTTGGTTTATCTGGCTGCTGTTTTGATTGGTTGGCTCTCAAGGACCCCCATGCTGTGAAATGGTGATAATAGACCACTTCTTGACTTTGCTAAAGGGGAACAGCTGTACCAGGCCAAATGGGTTGCTTCACCTGAGAATAGATACTACATGTGTGTCTGTGTTTTATTTGTGATGTCTGTGTTTAGTGTTTTATACTGTAATCATTTCATGCGCACGCACCCTACATTATCTGTTTCAACCTTCCAATTATCCAAATTCACTGTCTTCTCTATAGTGCCATGTCAGTCTATCCTTATGCGATCGCCATTCTGAGGTTCTGGTATTCCAAATGTAAATGGGTAGGCCCTCTGTGCTCTGCTTCTCTCCCCTGGTTTCCATGTATCCCCATGGTATCCCCTGCATTCATTTATCTATGTCTTTTTAGAATACATTGTATATATTGTTCATGCACCTATGATTATGATTATCATGTGCTTTGGCTATGTTTTTGTGCCTCAGGCGATGCCATGTTAACCTGGACATGCATAAGCGTCGTCACTAGTAAATATTATATTCCACTGTTTTGGATACTCCCTGCCATCTTTGATAAGGCACCTTTTTCACCCTCCTCTAAATGGACCATTTTTCTAGCATCCTTTAGGCTTTTTTTTTTTTTTTAAGGGTGCTTTTCAGTACACTTTTTCTGCTGCATTTCCATTGGTGGCTGATTCCCCTTATGCTCTTACTGCTGTTCCACTTGCTAATATGCTGCTTGTTTTCTATCTGATAGCTCTTTGCATCTCAAGCTCAAAGCCTCTTGCTTATGACAACGGTAGCCATGCCAGTTTTCAGCAAGAAGAATGAAACGGTAAGCATGATGCTCTCAGGAAGATACTTCTCAGTGTGAAAGCAGAGAGAAGGCTAATGCAATGGCAGATCTTCATAATATGCAGTCCTGTGTGAGGCTTTTTGTCACCCTCCCTGCAGCCCTCGTGGCAATGGCTTAAGCTGAGCTTTGGGAAGGAGGCATGAGGCTCTGGTGGGGTGCTGGAGCCCTCCTATCCCCTTCCAAAAGCTCAGTAAGTTCTTGCCTGGCTTTGGGAAGGAGGTAGGAGGACCCCCTTACTGAAGCCAGGCAAGCACTTACTAGGCTTCGAGAAGACACCCTCCTTGGGTGTGTGTGCACCTGGTGCGACTGAACAGCTCGCACTACCCTGAATCCACCTTTGGCTAATGTTGTGATTTGCAAAAGTGAAACTATATAAAGGATAAGTAAGTCTTCTGACTCCCTTGGACCAGTGGGCACATTCTGAATTTTGAGAAAGTACAAGGAGCACCAGTCACAATATGGCTGCCACAGGGTATGTGTTGGTAGGTAGATCTTGGACTTATTGTGTAAAAAAAAAAGTGGAACCAACAAACCTGAAGTTTGCTGTTCCGTGCTCTAGATGACTTTCGTTATCCAGGGCAGATGGTGCAATGCGGAGAGCAATGTCCTCCTCCTCACCTTAGCAGAATAGGATTTTCTTACAGTGTATGTGGGACTTACATGTGGGTAAGTGGGCCCAAGATTATACTGCAATGCTGCAATTCTATGTACGCTTACCTAGGACTATGCCACATTGAACAGTGGAACTTAAGTCTAACTAAACAAGCACAGGGCTTGTGCTGTCAGTAAAATAAATAAGTATCTGTTCTAATATGGGGACCAGAAAGATATTTGCTACGAGATGTTTCAGTGGTTGCTACCATGACTTTTTAAATTGAAAGAATGAAATCTCATTGTTCAGAGGCAGTATAACTCTGACTAGTTGATCAACAATGAGATGGCTATTCCCTTTTTTGCTTGTTCTCAGGGGTATTGCACTGGTGCACTAAACTCTGTCCATTGACCAGCAGTCTTGTTGGTTAAGAGAACAGAAATCTAAAAATCAAAACAAATGAGAAGTTGGATGGAAACAAATTTTCTTTGGTGGAAATGGGCAAGAGAGGAAGCAGCAAAGCTATATAGGTAACTTAGGAGGTTGCCATATACCTTGTCAGACTATTTGCCCATCTAGTATTGTCTACTTTGACTGGTTGCAACTGTCCAGGGTCTTGGACAGAGAGGTATTTCCCATTACCTGATGCCTGATCTTTCTGAGTGAAGATGCCAAGTATTGAACCTGAGACCTTCTGCAAGTGTGGTACCACTGAGCTGTTGTTCCTGCTGCATTTGCAACTCTCATCCACCTGGTCTTCTGCATTATACCATAGGGAGTTTACTGGTTAATCCAGTCTGCCCTTCATTGTTTCATCACCACGGTCTGTATGCTTTGTCACACAAATGAACAGCAACTCTGCAAGACCAGATGGTGGGGATGGGGGAAATGATAATTAACCCAAGGAGAATGGAGTAGCATGTTGTCAATTTTAATTTCTTCTTATTTTACAGAGATCTCATGGCATTCTCCTGGGTGTGGTAGGCTCAGATGTTCCTTTGAGAGAACTCCTTAAGCTGGCTCCACGATACAAGGTAAGAATCAAGCTAATACAGTCCAGCTGTTGTCACACAGTTTTGGCAGTCTCAGAAGAATGTCCTGATATTGATAACAAAGCCACCCTACGGAGTACTGCATCTGTTCACAGGCAGCGCTGCCACAAGTTGTTGAGACGGTCACTAGTTTAGATAGATTAGGAAAATTCATGGAGATTAACTCTGTCAAAAGCTATTAGCTGTTACAAGTAGGACCTGCAACAAAATGTTTTAGTTGGAGTGTTCCTTTTTGCTGTTCCTGTCAGTTAGTGATGATTTGATAATTCACCATTCCATACTCTCTCCCACCCATTTCTCTCTTTCCCACCCCAACAATCAGTCAACATTCCAGGCCACTGAGTACATTCAGTCTTCACTAGATTGCATTTGTTGTTTTGCGGGAATAGAATCAATGTTATTTTCTAAAAAATTTTTTACTTCTGCAGACCTTGGAGTTATCCTAATCCTTTTGAAACCTCCCTCTTATGCATGGACTATTCCATTTTTGCTACATAAGGACCAACACTTGGAGAACTGAAAGTGCTGTTGGTATTGTTATGAAATTGGGGTGGTCAAGATGGCCTCTTGGAGTCCCTTCCAACTTAGTGATTCTAAGTTGTAGATTCCCTGAGGCATATCTGGATGGAGATTTGGACTTATGAATAGTTATGGAAAAACTGCTGAGCACCCAGCAACTATTCTGGGTCCCTTCTCCCCTAAAGAATGCAGTGATCCAGGTCTGTATTGGAAAAAAGAGCAGACAGTGTCAGGCTGAGAGCAAGTCACACTCTTTTCACTCCCCTGCTTCCCTGAAATCTAATTGCAGAGCAGTGAGCTTTTGGAACATCAGTTGGGGTGTTTAAGTTTTGAATCTCCATCGTTGCTTGACATGTATATTTGTAAATAAATGCAGAAAGTACAGAATGCCATATGTCCCCTGTAACCTCCGTCCAAAAGAAGCCCAAACTAGATACATGGTAGAACTTGTGGAAATTCTTAACTAAGAACTAAGAACTGGGGTGCACATAATTTGTTGTTGGCATCTGGCTGTCTCGAGAGGCAATAGAGTGCACCTCCAGGGGTTAAGTCAAATTGCTGCATTATCAGCACTGAAGTGACCTCCCTAGGAGGGCATAATAGTACATAAATGGAACCTCTGTGCACAGAGACAATATAACCCTGAACCCAAGGACCAAGAGCTAGCAATGGATAGTTCATGCCTTGCTTAAAGGTAAAGGGACCCCTGACCATTAGGTCCAGTCGTGGCCGACTCAGGTTGCGGCGCTCATCTCGCTTTATTGGCCGAGGGAGCCAGCGTACAGCTTCTGGGTCATGTGGCCAGCATGACTAAGCTGCTTCTGGTGAACCAGAGCAATGCACGGAAACGCCGTTTACCTTCCCACCGGAGCGGTACCTATTTATCTACTTGCACTTTGAAGTGCTTTTGAACTGCTAGGTTGGCAGGAGCAGGGACCAAGCAACGGAAGCTCACCCCGTCGCGGGGATTTGAACCGCCAACCTTCTGATTGGCAAGTCCTAGGCTCTGTGGTTTAACCCACAGCACCACCCGTGTCCCTGTATGCCTTGCTTAAGAGCTCCTTACTGATATCTGACTGGTCATTGTTGGAAACAGACTGCTGGGCTACATGGACTTTCACCTGATTCTTAAAGGCAGTTCTTCCATTCTTGGGTTACACTATTCTGGGAACACTAAATAACTGAATGAGGGACCTGGTAGGAAATGAAGGTAGTTACTAACTTAAATCCTTTTCAGTAAAATAAGGATAAGTAGCGACCTTTTTTCCTGCTCCCTGCCACCATTTATAGCAGGGGTGTGAAACCTGTGGTCTTTGGTCTAATATTATGTAGCAAGGAAGGGGGGAAAGAGATGGCAGAGGCAAAGAGAGAAGAAAGGGAATGCCTGTCCCTGTCTGGCCCCACCCACTACTGGTATCTGGCCCCTAACAGATTACTTCTTAGGGAATGTGGCCCTCTACAGAGAAAATGTTCCCTGCTCCTACAGTATTTTATAGTACAGAAGGTCTTCAACTATCAGATGAAAATATCAGTTCTGTATCTAAAGACATTTTTTAAGGGCTTGGTTTGTGTGTCAGTCTAAATGTGTGCAACTCCTGTGTAATTGAAGTAGAAAATATGGTGCAACCCCAGAGATTCATTTGTGCATGAATATGTGAGTGAGTGCATACTTGCATGTACCTGATACTTCATCACACTCTTTTGACATATTGTAAGAACATTAAAGTATTTGGGGACTGAAACAGGATATGATTGAATTGCCAGGTGAAATTTAATGCATTCAGTTCTGTTTATGGTTCCCTGGAGGACCATAGCTTAGCAGCAGAGCACATGTTTTGCATGCAGATTCAGTTCCTGGCACCCTCCAGTTTCTTTGAAAAACAAAAACAAAAGCAGGTTGTGCGTGATGGGGAACACACCTGCCTGAGACTGCAGAGAGCCACTGCCAGTAAACCTAGATAACACTGGGCTACATGAACAGATAACCTGACCGGGTGTAAGGCAGCTTCCCATGTTCCTAATCGATGCATTTCCAAATTTTGCCTGGTTCCATTACTTTCACTGTCAGTTCATCAATATTATCCATGCATTTCTTCAGTTAAAGGCCTTGGATGTTGTCATGCATAAGTACTTCACTCATGCCGACACTGCATCAGGGGCTTGGATGTTAATGAAGTTAATTGTTATCATACTTTTGGTTTAAAGCTGGGTGTCCATGGATATGCCTTTCTGAACACGAACAATGGCTACATTTTGTCTCACCCAGACCTCCGGCCATTGGTAAGTGACCCAGAAACACCAAGACCTGGTTCACGTGATCCAGTGCAAAGTGATATCATCCCAAACGCACCATTTTTAGCTTTGGGACTACTGTGCTACAACTATAATTCCTTGCTATCTCGGAGTTCACGTTTGGAACGTGAGAGTGGTGGCTGTCTATTCAAATAAAAGTAACTGCACAAAATGGCATGTTTACAATGGGGAGGAAAAAAAATCTTATCTCCCATCATTAGTGATGTCATGAGTACCAGCCAGTGGGTACCCATGAACATATAGCCACATTCCACACTGCATTCATAATTGATTTATTTTATTTTGAAGCTCTGTACCCTGCCTTTCATTCCAATGGTTCTCGAGGCATCTTGCAACAGGTTGTAATAATAATAATAATAATAATAATAATAATAATACTCTGGGCAGCTCCAACAAGAATATTAAACAGAATAAAACTTCAGACATTAAAAATGTCCCTAAACGGGGCTGCCTTGAGATGACTTCTAAAAGTCAGATAGTTGTTTATTTCCTTGACATCTGGTGGGAGGGCATTCCACAGGGTGGGCACCACCACCAAGAAGGCCCTCTGCCTGGTTCCCTGTAACCTCACTTCTCACAGTGAGAGGACTGCCAGAAGGTGGTTAATAATAATAATAATAATAATAATAATAATAATAATAATAATAATTTAATAGGACAACCTCAAACTCATACACACAAACACCAAAGCTCAGTCCTCTGACTGATCAATGAGACCAAATTATGCTTCCTTCCTGCTCTGAAACCTCAGGGCAACTAGCATTTTGAGTCAAGTGTTCTTTTTGTCAAGGAGGGGAGGAAGCAATCTTCCTGCAACTGCTCCTTCTCTGGACAGTAAATGGGGCCAGATAGGGATGGACAGGTCAGTCTATTTCTGGCCCATGTCAGTTTTACATGTGTTCATTTGCAGTAAGCCCACAATTTAAACAGGGCTTACATTCCGGAGATTGTGCCTAAAGTCAAAATTGTGTATAGTCAAAATACATAGTGTTCAATCCCACATAGGGTGGGGTTGCCAAAGTCATTTTCCCCAGAACCTTGCCCTCCCCCCACAACCAGTGTAAAGCTGAATGTGCACAAGTTAAATGTGCATAAATTGTGGGCTTACTGTATAAGTCTGTTTGAACATCTTCTTCTTCTCCTCCTTATTATTATTACTGCAGAAAGTTTCACATTTTTTGATAATTTAGCTCAAAATATACATCTGTATATGCATTTCAACCTAAAACAGTCCATATTTTAATATGCATTTTGGAGAGGGGAGGGGAGACAAAAGTTATATTGCAAAATTTGTAGATGTGCAAAAACTGAAGTGCTGTTGTCTGTATTAGTCTGGGAACTGCAAAGCAGGCTAGTTCATTACAAATGTGAAACAAATGAAGTCCTTCAAGTCCTTGAACTTCTTACCTGGCAAGAAGGTGCTTCCTTTCTGCTGTTTAGCTTTAAGGGTAATGGCTGCATTCTATTGGATGAGAGTTGCAGCTTAGGGTTGTGGGGTTGTTGTGTTGTGGTTTGAATGATGGGCAAACTTTCCCAAAAGATACGGGCTAGATGGAAGAAAAATGCCTGGGTCCTTCACACCACATAATTATCTAATCATCTCGCAAAAATACACCTTTTCTCTAAAACTGAAAAGAGTATATTTCAGGGTTGTTAAGCAGCAGAGCAATTCAGGAATGTTTTCTGTCTCACTTCTCAACTGCAGTATAAAGAAGGGAAGAAGCTAAAGCCCAAACCAAACTACAACAGTGTTGATCTTTCTGAGGTGGAATGGGAAGATGTGGATGAAACTGTAAGTGTCTAAACTGGGATTTCAGAGCATGCTCCCCCAGCTCCCACCAAAGTGGGTTCTTAGCAGGTCACAGTAAAACTACTGGGGAAGGCTGTAGCTGAGTGGTAGGGCATCTGAATTGCATGCAGAAGGTTCAATACCTGACATCTCCAGGTAGGCCTGGGAATCGTCTCCGTAGGACCACTGAAGAGCTGCTTGCAGTCAATGTAGACAATACTGAGCTTGTTGCACCAATGGTCTAACTTGGTATAAGGCGGCTTCTTATGCTCCTATGTTCACAAATGCCTTTGGAAAGAGGAAACCCTTTACAGTGCATTAGAAGAAAACAAAAGATTGGGCCAGGTGAGCCCATTGCAGGGGCTGCAAGGTGGGGTGATTCCATCGCTGTGGTGCACAACAACTAAAAGGCCAGGTTTCTTTTCGTCACTAGACTAAGGGCTTCTCCACACTTACTTTCTCTGCTGTTTCCAGACATGGTTTGCACTTTAAAGTTCCATGTCCAAGCACCCTTTATTTGCTCATGAGTTTTCCCAGCGAAAACCCGCTCTTTAAAGCTCAATCGGAGCAAATGGCAATCTGCAGAAAACCCAAACTGATGTTTGCTCCGATTGAGCCCTAAAGAGTAGGTTTTTGCAGGGAAAGCTCTGAAGCAAAAAACCCCAATGCTTGGGCATGGAGCTTTAAAGTGTGGACCTATGCCTGGAAAGAGCAGGAATGTTCTCTCTAGGGAAGTTTGCCGGGCGCCTTCATTATACACCTTTAGGCACCAGGAAAAAGCGTTCCTTTTTAACCAGGTCTTTGTTTGATTTGATTGACATCCTATGCCCTTTAAAAAAAAATTGGGGGGGGGGAGTTATTGGGTTGTTGTTTTTGTTTTGATTATATATTTTGTGGTTTTATATTTTGATTTTGTTCTGTGAACTGCCCTGAGACCTCCAGGTATAGAGCGGTATATTAATTCTAATTCTAATAATAATGATGATGATGATGTGTAGATAACCTCCGAAAGTGGTAGCATGCAAAGGATACCTGAAAAGATCCGAAATTGAGATTTAGTTCATATCTTAGTATATTTGAGTATATATTCTTGAGAATAAGCCAGGCCAAAGTCCTTTACATGGGTTAGAAGTTGGGTCCCTGGCCTCTCCAGTAAAATAATATATGCACTTGGTGTTAGATTGCCACCCACATTCAGAATAGAGATTTCTGGGCTAGGTAGATCAACAGTCTTGATATATAATAAGGTACTCATGTTAAAATGTGTGATCAGAGGAGTTCTTTTGGCAAAAAAGTACATCAAGGCTTGTGTCCCCTTGCTGCCCTTCACCTGTTCACAGCAGACAACAGTGCACTTGGCAAACACAACTGCTGTTTAAAATATGAATCAGCCCTGATGGATACAGATCCCATGCTTAATTGAAGTAATCAGATGTTGTAAAGTGATAATTGCATCCCAGGATGACTGTGATCAATGAAATTATCTCATCTTAACCTGCTGTCCGCTATGCTTAGCTAAAGATGTGCTTCTAAAAGGGGGAGAAAAGAAAAGCTTATGTCAAAGACTCCTGCCTATTGCAGGCCACTTTAAAGTAGATGACCGCAGTCCTGACTGGAGGCACTAATTCAAATCTGTTCCCTTCTGCAGCTACGAACAGCAATGATCAATGGGGAAACAGGTGACCTCTCAATGGATGTGAAGGTGCCTGTAGATAAAGGGGTGAGTGTATAATTTCTTGTTTTGGTACCCTGCATTTGGAACAATTGCACAGAATTAAAGCAAATTCACATAAAATCATAAATCTGGCAATAAATGTACAGTTCAAAACAAGAATTTTTAAAAAATAAATAAATAAAAGTCACACATTTAAACTCTTTTTTTAAAAAATCCCTGAAGATTTACCTAAAATGAATCCTATAGCCACAGTCTTTACCAACTAACCAAAATATTACTGAGAAAGTTCTCCAGAAGTTAGGGGAATAAAGAAGACTGAATTGGGAGCAAATAAGATTGCATTATGCTCCCAGGGTTACTGGGACAAAGAAGCAACAATGGCTGTTTTTGAAAAGTCATGTGTCCCAGTCTACCCTGACATGTTGCTATGCACACCCAAAGGAGATCTTCCAGGGCCTATGTCTTCAAGCTTCTACGTAACATGCCCTTCAATCACTACACAATATTATGCAGTTTGATTTCTTTTGACTCTGTATCTGTGCATCACTTACATTAATTTCAAAATTTGCTAATGAAAAATTTACCATGGCCCTCCTTCTGTTTTCTGCCTCACAAAGGACCTGCATAACATTATCACCCCAGGGAAATGGAAGCCATAAGAGGAAACCATATTCTGCTCCAGTGCAGGGCGGTCAAACTAAGTGAACTTTTGAGGGTGCTTCCAGCTTTACATTACTTTACTAATTAACATAATTTTGTTCTTTGCAAGACTTCTTTCAAATCCTATTTAGGATTATTCAGGAGGCAGAACCGCAGTTTTTTGTGAAATTGTATCATTTCTTGCAAATTTGTATCGCTGTAGTTATTTGTCATGAAGCTCCCCTGGTGCAATACAATGTTTCATTTCTAATTGCCTTATGACATTTTGGCGGAATCTAATTAGTTATCCCTTACCTACCATCATGCCTTTTCCTGTTATTGCTCCTTAGAGTTTTCTGTCTTATTATGGATTTTGTTTTGAATATTTTTTTTCAGCGGCCTGCATGTTTCTTTTGCCCTTTTCTGCCCATTTTAACCTTGAGATAGACAATAGTTGTGGGACTTGCTTATTTCTTAATAAACTGTAATTTACATTACGTAGCATGATTATACTCAATTATTACAGGCGCATAAATACAGAATATTATAATTCACGAGAGCCGCTGCCCATCAGTGTCAAAAATACTGAGCTAATGTTATAGAATCCTAGAATTGTAGAGTTGGAAGAGACCCCATGGGTCATCTACTCCAACCCTCTGCAGATGACAGATGGCCATCCTACCTCTACTTAAAAATCTCCAATGAAGGAGAGTCCACAACCTCCCCAGGGAATCTGTTCCACTGTCAAATAGCTCTTACTGTCAGAAATACATTTAGTCGGAATCTCCTTTCTTTTAACTAGAAGCCATTGGTTTGAGTCCTTCCCTCTGGAACAGGAAAAATCAAGCTTGCTCCATCTTCTGTGTGACAGCCCTTTAAATATTTGAAGATGGCTGTCATATCTTCTCTCAGTCTCCTCATATCCAGGCCAAACATACCCACATCCCTCAATTGTTCCTCATCAGGCTTGGTTTCCAGACCCTTTGTCATCTTGGATGCCATCCTCTGCACACATTCCAACTTGTCAATATCCTTCTTAAATTGTGGCCCCCAGAATTGTACATAGTATTCCAGGTGTGGTCTGACCAAGGCAGAATAGAGTGGCGGTACTATTACTTCCCTTAATCTGGGTGCCACAACAATGATGAACAACGGAAGGCAAGAGGTGGGTGGGTGTGCCAAATTTTGGCATCACACAGGGCGCTGCTGGAATTTAAAGGCCCCATGTCCACACACATGCTTTTTTTCCGGGTGTGTGTGCCCTACTGCCGCCTCTGGTTAAACCTCTTGACAGAACATTTCTCCCTGTATTAATATTCTTATGACCTGAGATCTGCTGTAGAGGCAGTCCATACATTAACCATTGTTTAAGATACCTTCAATTCTCCTAAAAGCCAAGTGCAGTAGTTAAAGTGTCAGACCAGGACCTGGGAGACCAGGGTTCAAATCCTCACTCAGCCACAAAGCTCACTGGATAACCTTGGGCCAGTTAGTGCTTCTCAGCCTAACCTTCCTCACAGGGATGTTGTGGGGATTAAATGAGGAGGGGGGAGAGCAATGTATGCCACCTTGAGCTCATTGGGGGGAAATGGTGGGATATAAATGTAATAATAATAATAATAATAATAGACCAATTGTCTTTACCCAGTTTTACTAGCCTTTTTATATCTCCTATACATTTTTCATAGTGGGACGCGGGTGGCGCTGTGGGTAAAACCTCAGTGCCTAGGACTTGCCGATCGTATGGTCGGCAGTTCGAATCCCCGCGGCGGGGTGAGCTCCCGTCTTTTGGTCTCAGCTCCTGCCCACATAGCAGTTCGAAAGCACCCCTAAGTGCAAGTAGATAAATAGGTACCGCTTTATAGAGGGAAGGTAAACGGCATTTCTGTGTGCTGCGCTGGTGCTGGCTCGCCAGAGCAGCTTCGTCACGCTGGCCACGTGACCCGGAAGTGTCTTCGGACAGCGCTGGCTCCCGGCCTCTTAAGTGAGATGAGCGCACAACCCTAGAGTCGGACATGACTGGCCCGTACGGGCAGGGGTACCTTTACCTTTATACATTTTTCATATGTAGGTTGGCAATGCAATTCTTTCAGCTTTTGGATCGGCCATAAATTCAATTAGCTAACGGTATATTTTTCTCTTTCTCTCAGAGCACAGTGAAAAAGCGTTTTAAAGGTTAGCAAAGAAAGGTCCCATGGGAGCTCCTTATTCCATGCCTTTTCTCACCTTCTTCCTTTTCCACACACACACACATTAACTTCAGCCTTTGCTTGCCCTTGTTCTTTGCTCACAGACTTTCAGTCGACTTTCAAGTTACACAAAATAGCTCACTTATCCCTTAGCGTTTATTAATTAAATATTGGAATTGAGATTGCAAGACTCCTTTGTGTAAATCTGTGTGCGTGATATAGAATTTATGTACTTTACCAGTTAACATCAGTACTCAGACAAAAACAACAGGGAAAAGGAAACTGGCAGAGTGGGGAAAATCTGATGAAATCAGGTTTTATCTGTTTCTTTCATAGGCACCCCTGCACTGTATCATGTCCTGCTATAGTCGAGAGTGTCTTGTCACTTTTCGTGTCTGGCAGAAGAGTTACTCAGAAATGCTTTTTAAAAACAAATCTTTTATTACTTACTCCCCGCCCCTTAAAATAAAACTGCGGTATAATTTTCTCTCAGCATTTCAAATGGATATTTCTTAATACAAAACGTTTAATAATGCCTATTTTTATCAAAGTCATTTTTCATTTTCTCTCATTTCCCTACCTTTTTTTTTTTTACTGTTTTCTCTTACTTTTAATATAATGTCTTCTCTTCCTGTCCTATTTTATCTTTGCAATAACCTTGCGAGGTAGGAGACTATGCTAAGAAATACTGACCTGAACACACAAAGCAGCCCCTTGTGTGAAAGGAAGGCACTTCCACTTGCATAAAGGGTGCGTTTCTCATTTTGGGGTTCACCCTCACCTGGAACACATACACATCCCATATAATGCCAGAGGAATTACCAAGTGGCTTTTCAAGAGCTGGCAGGGGCTGCAGGAATGAGGTGGGAAAGCCCTGTTACAATCCTGGCATCTACTACACTTCACAAGTGTATCCTAATGTGGAATGATTCTTGACTAGTTTTAGTGCACTAGAATTTGTCCTTTTTATGCTTCTGGGTGGCGGAACACTTTTATTATTCTTATGCTTTATTCTCTGTTAATGGATTTTAAGTGTTTGGTAAGTTCTGTGTGTTAATATTTTGTAAGTCGCTGTGAGGCGTTTTGTAAAAAGTGATGGACCAATATGTTTTTATGGCAGGGTAGGAATCCCAGAGGAAAATATTTAAAGTGACCCAAATGCAATAAAAGGAATAAGAATCGGACACACAGAGGGAAGCCTTGAATCTTTCACTGTTATAAGTTGAGGTGGGCATTTTCCTTCCCCTGCTCTGCAGGCTGAACATAGGGAAGCCACCTGATTCTGGGCAGCCAACACACAAACCTTCAGGGCTGTTGGGCTGTCCATGCTTGGCCAGTTAATGAAGTCAGCCAAGATATTTTTTAAATGCTCAGCTGGCAGCCAGCAATCTATCTTTGTGATGCATGGACAGTTCTGCCTCGATCCCCCTCAGTGCCTGCTGTCATTGTGCCAGATGGATTTCCAGTACACTGAGGATTAGTGCTTAACGGGCAGGAGGAGGGGCAATGGTGGAGAGAGAGGAGAGAGAGACAGTCTCATGTGACCGCAGTGATAGTGGAAGTGAGCTACAAGGACAGAGACACTGATCCTGCTGCTCTGCTACCTTCTCTCCCATGTCTCCAGTCCCTTTGGTAACTCCATCTAGCCCATCTGTTGAGTTATGGCAGGTCTGGCACAGATAAGGCTCTTTGGAGGGTTTTGCAACACTTGAGGTGTACTGAAGCAGGGCTGGAGCAATCTGCCCACTGATTTTGCTGTCAGTGGTCTTTGCATTCTAATCCTGTCCGCCTCCAGCACATATTGTGTCACTAGTGTGCACCTGCAAGAGAAGTCTGAGCAAGCTGGCAACAGGTTTGAGACCTCACTGTCACAGATAATCCTACTTGGAAAGGGCCCCCCTGTGAGTTAGCAAAGGGGCAAGCATTTGATGCAGGGCTGCTTAATTGGAGGTCTGAGGACTTCCCATGGCAGTTGGTGTGGATGCCTCTAGTCCTGGAGCAAGGTTATATGGATTTAATAACTCATCAGAGTCACTGCTGCAATGAGATCTACTGGGAGGATTCTGCTTCTCTCCCAAAGTAGATCTTAAGTCTCATGAACTAAACTGTCACAATCCCTTCAATGTACTTTATTTTTTTCTGTCCTGAATCTTCCAACTTTCAGCAATTCTAGTGGTGTGACAGTGGGAGGAGTGCTTCTCAGATGCTACCTGCTGCGACCTGTTGGTGCATCACCTAAAAAAAAGCGAAATATGTTTGTGTTTTTCTTCAAATACTATTCAGTTGTTGTTGTTTTTCAATTCAGGTATACCAAATTAATTAATCACTTCTAATCCATATGATTTAAGTTTTCTTTAACCAGGGGGTTGTCCTTGTCTTGAGATTTTTTAATGCATGTATGGAGTGACTCCTGTCTGGTGTTCCAAAAAAGCAACACCCAAGAAAATAATCCTGCTTCTGAATTCCTCCAATAAGAAGACAACACTCTTTAGGTGATGGAGCAGGACCTTTGGAGAGATCCTGCCTATCCTTGTTGAAATGCAGCCGCTATTTGGACATGACCAGTGGTCACATTTAAGAGACAAAACTACACTTCTGGTTGTGATTTCTCTCTCTCTCTTCTTTTCCAGAAACGGGTTCTCTTCCTCACTAACGACTATTTCTTTACTGATATCAGCGGCACACCCTTTAGGTGAGTGGGCTGGTCCTTTAGAGCAAGGGTTGGAAACATGTAGCTTTCCAGATGTTGCTGCACTGCAACTCCCACTGTCCCTGACCACTGGCTATGCCCATGGGGGTTGATACAACCACATTTGGAGGGTCCCCGGATTCCCACCTCTGATTTATACTAATTTAATAACTTTAAAAAGTGACTATAACTTACCTCTGCACCTCTGGAATAAAAGAAAAGGTCATCTAAAATGCAGCACTTGATATCTGGGTGGACTTCAGCTACAGCACATCTCATTTTTTTTTTTAAAAAAGCATTGTCCATGTTTATATGGGCTAGCAGGTAGGAGACATCCGCACAGTCAGACTACTTGCCTTGGCTCACTTGTGGAGACATCTAGGTTGCTTTTAATTAAGCACATGGTAGTCACAATAGTGAGGCTAATGTGAGGAAGACCTGCTTTAGGACTAAATTACATGTTCAGATATATCATGTACTATAGCCCTTCCTGGACTATACCAAATAGAGGTGGAAGATAACATGCTGTCCCTGTACTAAAAATGAAAGCCTGGGCCTCAGAGAGAAGATGGGGTAGAACACTTCATATATTTCAATGAACAGCAGGACTTTGATAAAGGAGAACATAAATACATACATCCAACTCTGATTGCAGTCAAACTGGTATCATCCACACACCAGAGGGAGGCAGCTGCAGGCTTGGGGAAACCATCAAAGTTTGGAAAGTACAAAACATATATTTTTTCAAGTGTTAAGGATTGGGAAATAGCCCAATGAAGAGTGGGTGTGACCAGTGGCCACAAAATGCTAACTGACCTAAGGTGGGGAGTAGGGATGGAAAACTGGGTAGGTTATGAAACAGAGTATCCTGGAAATGGGGATGGGTGGCTGGCTTGAGCAGGATTACTCTATCCTGCAACACTTTGTTGCTGGCCTCACTTGGTCATATATTCTCCCAATGACGTCCCAAAGTGCTACATTCCTAGAAGGGCTGCACCATATGCTGTTACTTTTAAGGACTTAGTTCATTCTCAGGTCCTTTCTAGCCTTAGAGTTCTTTTACTGGTTAGTTGCATTCCTGTAATTTGGAATTTCACAATGTATGTTTAAGTAATGAGAGTTCAATTTAAGTGATGATTCACTACTTAAAAATCAGTTTTTCATGGCAGCATTCAACTTACGCTATCAAAATCCAAGTTTGACATTTTAGAATGTTAATTCAGCAATGTGTAAATGAGGAGAAATTTTCAGTGCAAGTAAGTTGGTGTTTATTCCAGTAGTAGCTCCACCACACCAATATAGGCCTTTGCAAGTCTCCTTGCTGGAAAACATTTTCTCTTTCATCTCTTAATCCACAGTCTGGGAGTCGTTCTATCGCGAGGGCATGGTGAATACATCCTGCTTGGGGACACTTCCGTGGAAGAAGGTAGGATGAATGGCATAGTTTCATCAAGCAATCACAGGGAGAACTGATGGAACATTGCCTTGTTTTAACACAGCTGGGTTCATATCTCAAAACTGTTCTTTCCTTTGCCACACAACACTGCCACATCTCCTAAGTATTTGTTTCCCTGTTTGAATCAGGAGCTTGGCAATAGAAGCCTATTAATTAAATCCCTGAAATACATATTATGGGAACACGTTCCCCAATTTACCCAAATAAAAACTGGTTCATATGTACCTGTAGTGAGGAACTTCAGGCCTGGGAGTGGGATATGGTCTTCCTGGACTCTCTGTCTGACCCCCAGGACCTTTCCTGGGCCACACCCCTTTCTCAGAATGTGGAATTTTAGAACCCATGGTTTTATAACACATCTAAACCATGTGATTCAAACAGGGTGACCTATAAACAGGAAACACGTTGTGATCTAAAGAGGGAAAATAATTTAAACACCCCCACAGCCTGAGCTCACATTCACTGAGGTCTAGAGGTCTCATCTTCACCCCCTGAAAATTCACCCTCCCATTTCAATTCCTGGGGGAAACACGGGATACAACAACATGTTGAACATACAGAGGAATTCATAAGACTGTGAGTAAATGAGTCTTTATTGCACCATTTGCTTTTTGGTTTCAGGTTTACATGATCTGCTGCAGCCAGACTTGACTTTAGCCAATGAATGGTAAGTGGCAGGAATTCTTCTAATTTGGGGGGGACCTGGGCAGGAGACGAACGAGCTGCTGCTTGGCTTTGGGGACTTTACATTGAAGGCCTTGAGAAAACATGGTCCTGGCATCTAAGGGGCCAAAGCTCAGTGGCAGATGACATTTTTGCATGCAGAAGGTCTTGTGTTCAGTCCCTGGAATCTCCAGTTAACGGATCTTAGCAGTGTTGGAGAAAAGGAATTATTTTTGCCTGCTGCCCTGTATGAACCAATGCCCTGTCTTCAGGCAGCTACATTTGTTTATGTAAGTCTGTATCCTGAGGAACAATGTGGATCCCATGAAATAACTGCACTGTGTTATTTTAAATTTTTTGTGAGGAGCCTAACTTTCCTAGATGCTAAATAAACAAACTGCACAACTCCACCCCCTCTTAAATTAGAACTACGTTTTCTCGGGAATCTTTTATTCTTATCAAAACATTCTCTACAGTAGCCCTAATCCAGCTCCATCACTGATATCCTCAAATGATTGATTGTTGAACTGCACCCACTTAGCATGGATATAATTTGTAGCTGAAGTGCGGAGCTATATTTTTGGACCAATTTGATTCAAGTTCTTGTCTTCGCTTCCAGATATCTATGCAGTGATGCATCTTGAGCAAGTGCATAGACCTAGAAACCAAGTAACATTCTTTGTTCCTGATGCACTGATATGGGTGCAAAGGATGGTTTTGATGTTACTTTCTGGACCAATTTTTCAGTCACGGAACATGCCCTAGGGCAGGGGTCAGCAAACTTTTTCAGCAGGGGGCTGGTCCACTGTCCCTCAGACCTTGTGGGGGACTGGACTAGATTTTGGAAAAAAAATGTGAACGAATTCCTGTGCCCCACAAATAACCCAGAGATGCATTTTAAATAGAAGGGCACATTCTACTCACGTAAAAACATTCTGATTCCTGGACTGTCTGCGGGCCGGATTTAGAAGGTGATTGGGCCGAATCCGGCCCCTGGGCCTTAGTTTGCCTACCCATACCCTAGGGCCTAGGGTCTCTATTACTGTGAGTAGTGGACATTTGGGTCCGGAGCTGACAGGTCTTAGCCATGGCAACTGTCTTCACTTCTTAAGTATATACTAGAGATCAGAGATCATGGGAGTTGTTCCAACTGAGGTTTGAGCTCCATCCCAAGCATGCAGATTTGCCAGGACACCTCTTATGAGTGCAGAAAAGTTGTCCAAAGGAACTTCTGAATCACATTTTTGGTCTCTTTCTTTCTAGGATTTATTGCATTACAGATATTGATCCAGATCACAGGAAGCTGAGTCAGTTAGAGGCCGTGATCCGTTTTCTCACAGGAGAAGAAGCTGACCTGGAATGTGAGTTCTGAAATATTACTCCTGAAATACATCCTAACGAGAAGCCTTATTATGATTAGGGATGGGAGAATCTGCCAATTTTGGTTTCTCTCAGTTTCTCGTTTTTCCGCTCTTAAGTTCAGGTCTCCAGATTTGCATTTTTTAAAAAAGTCCTCATGAAGATTCATCAACATTCTAAAGGAACACATTTTTGTATGCAATTTTGCCTCAGTATACACTTTTACAAAGCAATTTTCCATAATATGATGCATTTTTGTGTATTATTTTTACTAATAAGTGCATTTTTATGCACACTACAGTATATGGCTACAGTATTCAGGGCTGGAGAAATGCACTGCAACATTTGCAAAAGTGTGAATTTCAAAGGATGGTTCATGTATTATTTCAGAATGCGTTGATTAGGTAGGTTTGCCTTTAAATGCAAAATGAAATTAATTTCTCCACCATTCCCACGTATGATAGCAAGTTACTTCATCTGTGTGTGACATTGTTGCTATTCAAGAGAGGTCAGATCCCATAACTGCAGAAGTGGAGTACAAAAGCATTAAGCATGAATGAAGCACTGGGGCAGTCAAGATGTTTAACCTGTGTGCCACATCCAAAATCCTTGTCTGATGGAGAGCCACAGTCCTGCCACGTCTTCTTCCACATTCCCTTTTCTGTCTCACCTGAGGATTCCTGCTGTCCAGGGTACAACATCCTGTGAGGTCTATGTGCCCCCACTATATGCTGACGATGTAATCAGCATGGCACCACTGCCTACTCATAATTAATTCTGACCCTGCCTTAGTTTTCAAATTAACTGCAAATTGGAACTGGCAGGTTCAGCCCATGCCTAGGCAGATGGTGACATCCACCTCTTCTCATTAATCTCCCAGCTTTGTTCGGTTAGTCAGAGGCATGCTGCTCACTGAAAATGAAAGTTGAGCTTTTGGCTATCATGGCTTTGATTGCTAGCAACTATTAATGTATCTGTCTCTCTTTATGTATTAACTTAACCTTTGTCTCCCACTGTCACATCTGCCTCCTTCATAGGAACATAGGAAGCTGCCTCATACTGAGTCAGACCAATGGTCCATCTAACTCAGTACTGTATGTGCTCACTGGCAGTGGGTTTCCAGGGTCTCAGGTAGACCTACTTGGAGATGCGAGGGATTGAACCCAGAACCCTCTGTATGGAAGATAGAACCTGTACCACTAAGTTATGATTTCGTCATCTAGCTTCAACCTATCAGCCCAGTAGCCTGCCTTTTCTAGGCAAGGATGTTCTGGAGAGCAAACCTCTCTCCAGAGGCTTGAATGAAGTAGGATGGGAGGTAAATACGCCTCATTAACAAGAAGAAAGTTACTGTGAGTTAAGCCACCTATTTGTTTGAGCCAGACAGGGACATCCAATATGGTACTCTTTAGATGGTGTGGAATTCTAAATTAGAATTCTAAAGCCAAATCTATCAAATTTATACTTTCTTAATCAATATGCTAACCGAATCTTGCAGTTTTTAAACATGCATATATTGGGAGACAGTGTGCATTAAAAATGAATGTATTCGTGAAAATAAAATATAAAATGCATTATATTAGTGGAGATTGTTTGCAAAAATGTGTACATTAATCAAAACTGCATATAAAATGTGTTTTAAGGAGAATTTTTCATTAAAATGCTGGTGAATTTTCATGATGATTGTAAAAATTGCAAAATGTGGAGAGCTAAATAAGTCTCTTTTAGCTGTACTGCACTACTTTTTGTATTTGAATTATTTTTATTGTATTGTTTTGTGTGACTTACTTCAACTGAAAAAGATTTTAAAAAGAAAGAGGTAACTAAACTTAAGACTAGAAAATTGAGAAATGGAAAGAACTGAAATTGACAGATCCTTCTATCCCAAATATTGAATATCAGAAAAGAAAAATGGAAAAATGAGGAGTGGGCAGGGGTGGAATGCCCTTCTTGAGCTCCTTGGAAGGCATAGCTGACTGGTAGGAATCCTGAGCATTAGCACTCTTGCTGAGAGGTGAAGACACTCTGCAACTTGCTATTCTACTCAGGAAAAAAACTTGCATTTTAGCAGTATCTAGAGACTGCAGGTTTAAAAAATATAGATTCTTAAATCAAAATTTTAATTAAGGCTGATGGTCAAAACATATTTATCTGATGCAGATCTTCTTAAAGAAATCAGTGCTCCTTCTTAGCAAATTTGTTTAGGGTACCAACATTGATATGAAATATAGAGATTTTTCTATTTGGGAAATGTTAATATATGAGATAGTTTGCGGGCGCTTTGTACCAAATTCTACAAATGGTGAATAAATACAGATTCCTAGTTCCTAGCATAAAATTAGGAAAAGACCATGCATGCAAACCATGCATTAGGGTTGATAAATGTACACACATATAACAAAAGAAGGCATTCAAAGCGTCATAAAACCTTACTTAGTCTTTGCACTTCGTCTTTCTCCTTTCTCTCTCTTCGTTCTCATGCCCAGGTGATGAAGAATTAGTTCAAGAGGTGCTGTTTGATGCTGTAGTAACAGCACCCATGGAAGCCTACTGGACAACATTAGCACTCAACCTGTCTGAGTAAGTGCATGCTTCATAATTTAAGGCAGGTTTTGCCACCTCTAAACATGTTCTTGCTGAATCCAGGCTAGACTACTTTAATGTGCTCTATGTGGGGCCCATTATTATTATTATTATCATCATCATCATCATCATCATCATCATCTTATACCCCACCTATCTGACTGGGTTGCCCCAGCCACCCTGGGCAGTTTCCAGCATAATAAAAGCACAGCAAAACATCAAACATTAGAAACTTCCTGATACAGGGCTGCCTTCAGATGTCTTCAGAAAATTATGTAGTTATTTATCTGTTTGATATTTGATGGGAGGACATTCCACAGGGCGGGTGCCGCAACTGAGAAGGCCCTCTGCCTGGTTCTCTGTAACTTCACTTCTTACAGTGAGGAAACTGCCAGCAGGCCTTTGGAGCTGGACCTCAGTGAACAGGCTGAATGATGGGGGTGGAGAGTTAGCTTTTCCTCATAGGGAATGATTTATTACAGAAAGAAAATATGAAGGTTGCAGTTCCGCAGGCTAAGAATAGAATCCCATCACCCTCTGTAACACTGGAAAGTGGTGATGGTGGTGACATGTGTGCGGTTATCGCATAGGAACATTGGAAACTGCCTTATGCTGAGTCAGATGAGTCCATCCAGCACAGTATTGTCTGCACTAACTGGCAGCTACTCTCCAGGCCTTCAGAGAACAGCCTTTCTCAGCTCTTCCTGGAGATGGTGGGAACTGAACCTAGGGTCTTTCGTATGCAAAGCCTGTATTCTATGCCTCACTAACCTCAGGTTGTTTGGTGCAAAGTATATTGAACTGGTTCTGCAGAAACCTAATGCTATATATCTTTGTCTCTCTCTTTCTGTGCAACTACATCCAACAGTGAGGCTGAAGGAGGGGTGGATATGGCCTTTATGGGAACTCGGGCTGGTCTTATGAGGAGTGCTCTCTATGTTGGAACTGAGAAACTTTCTAACAGGTGAGTCCTCCGGATGCATATTTCGGAGACATTCCTCCTCCATTGCCCCTCAGTGTAGCTTAGGACGACTGAAATCAGAATGAATGTACTTGGAGTAATCATTCAGCAATGCACAGGAAGTATAATAACCATTCCTTTCCTCTCAACAACTCCTCCTGTCATTGTCAAACCCTGCTACTTAATCTTTTGCAAATACTGAACTCTAAAGGATATCAGTTTACAAACTGATAAAAGTTTCCTTATACTGACTTACCACATAGCTTTTGGGGTTGATTTCAGGATGCATAAAACCAGCAAACATGATGTACATTGATCTACAGAGTCTAGCAGCAGATGGTTGCGGTCTCCCTGGAAAAATCAGGAGCCAACCTAAAACCCACACTACTTTGCTGCATGTTTGTTGATTTTACTTATTACAAAACCAGTCTCAGGAACCCTTGCCTTCCCCTTCAGACTAATCTGAGATCACTTTGGGAATGTGTAAATGTCCCCCAAAGGCTCAGGCTTTATTTTGATTCAGGGCTGACTATTGCTTGGCCCCAGAGCCTGTTTCAAACATTAGGACTCCTTCTCATCCCCCTCTGCAGTGCACAGGAAATTGTGTGGACTGACAAACACGCTTGTCTTGATCCAACCGATGGTTGAGCTTTCACATGGGTATCCCTACCTAGGGCTACTCTAGATGTTCTTTTTATTGCATATTCATGTTTATTTGTGCTCATGTTGCTATCAGTGCAGTCATACACAATTCCACTTTTAATACTGTTTGAAGTTTCACTTGTTTTGGAGCAGTCAATACTGCTTCATTCCCAGTCAGTGCATATCCTGTAACCTCCTGCTGAAACCTCATAACTTTTCAAACCACAAATGTTCTGGGGAGTTTTTGTCCCACTTTTGTTGTGCTATAGCCCCTCAATTAAAAGAAAGCAGAATAAATCCAGCACTAATGCACTATTGTTGCAGAATACACCCACAATAAAACACCAGACGGGTGGGTTCCCCTAATGCGAGGAATGAGAACAAATGAGAGCCACACTTGTGGCTCCTCCCTCAATCCAAAGCCAAGGCTATGTTTGCATAGCCATTTCAGAGAGCCAGGATGAGTGTACCTCTGTTCAGAGCAGCACTTTATATGTTAATCTTTGCTCTACACAGCTGTATACCATCTGTCATCTTACAGACAAAAATAAAGACACTCTGTATATGTGTAACATCCTGCTTTGCTCTCCAAAAGTCAGTGCTTGAAGGCCTTTTCACATTGTTGAAGGTGGTCCTCCAACTTCTGTCTTTATTTAGTCTGCAGTAGCAGATATATGTGTGGGTGTAGGAGATATACTTGCCTGTTGTTGTTATATTTCTATCCTACTATCCCGGGCAGCATAAGAGGTTGCTCCCTTATTTACCCTAGAAATAACCCTGTAAAGTTAGCTGTGAAGTGTAAACCCTGTGAAGGGAGGTGCACTGATAGTCTGGTGTACTGTGTCCAGTTTAGTAGATGGTCAGGCCGATAGTTTGGTGTACTGTGTCCTGTTTAGCCCGGAGAGTGGAAGAATTAGGGGAGACAGGATAGATACTCTCTTCAAATATCTGAAGGACTGTCACGTGGAAGATGGAGCAGGCTTGTTCTCTGTTGCTTCAGAGGGCAGGACTAGAACTAATAGGTAGATGCTGGAAATTGCAGGGAAGCAAGATAAACCCCTATATGACTTTGAAACAAATTGTGTCATGTAGCAGTGGACTGTCCTTCACTGGGGGTGTTCAAGCAGAGGTTGACTGGCCATCTGTCAGTGTCTCTGTACTTGCATCAGGGCTGGCCTAAGACATTTTGGCACCTGAGAGGAACCTCAAAATGGCACACACACCTTGGCCAGGGAAAAAGGGGTGAGTGAAGATCTACACCAGGAACAAGGGGGGAAGTAAATCAACATTAGCAGGCTTTTGAAGTGGGAATCAAAGGCAGTCATGGGAGGAAAAGGGATCTGCTCTGAATTATACCGGGTGGGTGCAGAACCCAGAAGACCCAGAGGGCATCCCCCAACGTTTCCTTCCTAGGGGTGGGAGGAGACCAGGAGAGCCTCCTATTCACTGAGAGGCCACTGTAGAGGTGGCGTGGGAGTGCTGCTGAGGAGGCATCAGATCTGGCCTCCAAGGATTGAGCTGCAGCTATTGTTGCTACTGCTGCTGCAGTGGCAGGTGATACGTTCCTTGGAGACCCCTGTGCGTCCTGCTGCCTGAGGTTGTTGCCTTATAGGTGGCTGGCTCTGACTTGCATCTTCCATTTCAGAACCTGCACAGAGCAGGGGTTTGGGCTACATGGCCTCCAAGATCCCAGCTAACACTATTATAATATGGTGACTGGTCCAGGGCTACCCATTTCATAGTTTCATAGCTGGAGAGGGATGTGAACCTGGATTTTCCTTCTCCTGCAATGTATCCTGCTTAACAGTTCAAAAATACAGTTGTCCTCGACACCCTGTAGTTTACACACATTGCTGTCTGTGCTCATTTACATGCAGGCCATGGTTAGAGTCAAGATGCCTCTGTCCCCACATCTAGATACACTGGGACAGATGCTAACACTTGAAGAATTGCAATGCTGCCCGCTAACAATACTTTTAAAGGCCACTCTGAAAGGCAACACAGGGCAAACAAGGGCAGTGATTTGGGAGCAGAAAATAGGTATTATACCTGGTGAATAGGGACCACGGGACTCTGAGAACAAGGGAAACTGAGTCTTTGTGTCCAAGAGCATGTCTTCCAGGCAAGCTTTATTTTCAGCATCAGTCTTTCCCCCCCAAATAATGTTTTGCCAAAGGCCACAAGGAAATAATTGGCAACCTGCTGGTTCAAATCGCCAGCCTTGTTCCCTTAGTGAAAGGATGCACAGTGTAGCCTCTCAGTGTGTTCTTGCTACATCCATTGTCTGAAGTAACACTACCTTCCTGAGCTAACATGTGACACCTGCTGCTGCTATGATACTCTCATAACCAGATCCCTTCCACTTGCTTGTGGCAATATCTGTTAGTACATGCATGGTGCAGTTGTTAGTAACCGGATGCCTCGGGTAACAGATATTGCTACAGCTGCTCTCACATGAAATGACCAGACATCCTGGCTGGGACAGGAGATGTCCCTCTTTGCAGTGCCTTTACTCTTCTAAATTTATGAACATGGAATTTAGTGGCCTTGCTCAATATCCTGATACATTTTTTAAAAAAATCAGAAGAAAGGACCTGTTCAGGAGGCACATATGTGGCAGCAGCGCACATCTCTATGAGCAAAAATTACAACACTTGGGACTTTTCAGTTTAGAGAAAAGGCGAGTAAGAGGCAACATGATGGAAGCATATAAAATTATGCATGTTTCAGAGAAAGTGGACAGAGAACAATTTTTTTCTCTCTCATAACACTAGAACTCAAAGCCATCCATTGAAGCTGAATGTGGGACGACACAGCACATAGTTAACCTATAGAATTCAATCCCACTGGAGGTGGGCAGTGATGGCCAGCAAGGTGGATGGCTTGAAATGAGGGTTAGACTTTATTTAGACATATTCATGGAGGATAAGGCTATAAATGGTAATTAGCCAGGATGGCTATGCTCTGCCTGCATGGTCCGTGGCAGTATGCTTCTGAAAACCAATTCCTGGAACCCACAGGAGGAAAGTGCTGTTACACTAAGGTCCTGCTTCTAGGCATCTGTTAGGCCACTATGAGAGCAGGAAGCTGGTCTAGATGGGCTATTGGTCTGATCTAGCAGGGTGATTAATTATGTTGTTATCTCTCTAGGGCATGTATATGTATAGATGAATGGAACCTGAATAAGCAGTGTGCTTGCCACTCAGAATGCAACTGCATGGAGAGTACTCCATTGTGGCAATCGGTTTGCATTTATGTATTTGCCAGGTGGATACAAGGAGTTTCCACTGCTCCCATTTCAATGGCTTGCTTTGGGGCAATGGTTACCAATGGTGCGGCGAAAAATCTACACATCTACACTGCAAGAATTTACAAACATCTTGTACAGTGGAGCATGCTCTGCAAAGCAGCACTTGATGCAACCTCCATGCTTTGGTTTTGTCTCTGTGTGTCAGGCTTAACTCCAATTCAGCCCCGTTGAACTGAAAAACAACTAATCATCTTGTCTGCATTCTTACCCTTTACACATTGCACGTGAACAACCCGGCTGTTTTGGTGTGGGCAACAGCTCCATCTGGTGGGGCAAAAGTATTACAATTTGGACTTTCAGCCCAAGGGGCTTAGATTCTGGTAGACTGAGGTCTAGTATCACATGAGATATATGCAGTGGTTGGTTTTATTTTATTTTATTTTTGCTAGGTTTACCATTTTACAAAAAAGCTTTACTTTTAGTCTAATCTGCTTGCTTGGGCTGTTGCTGGATGGGCACAATCTAAATGCAGAAATATGAACTACTGCACCAGCAGTAGGCAGAGAACAACGGACCACATCTAATAATGTGGAAACTCATGTGCATCCCATGTGTCTCCTATATGCAGCAGACTCTAGCCAAATTTCAGCCTGCCCTGCACCACATTGCATCCCAGTGTGTACAACTGCCTACATGCTGGTTTGGTTTTTTGGATTAGGGAAATTTGCTGTGTTGATGGTCCTCAGACAGAAATAGCTATCATACTGCAAATTCTGGATAATCCCACTCAGTGGTTTCATGTAGAAGTGAACCTTGAACCTTGGTGAACTCTGCACTAAAGGCTGCATGGGACCAAACAATATTCCCCCAACACCACCCTCTGAAAATAATCATCCAAGTAGGACTGGAAACATCGCAAGTAGAGCTGCCCACTCTGAACTCAGTCAGCTGCTCCAGAAGAATACCATGGTCTATGGTATCAAAAGCCTCTGAGAATTCAAAGAGAATTAACGGGGACACACTCTCCCTGTCTCTCCTAACAGAGGTCATGCAGGTCATCCAAGAGAGCCTGGTTCTGTCCTGCAGCCACTCAAGGACCTTGCCCAAGAAGAGGAAATTACTGTCTGGTAGTAATTACTTAGGTTTTCTGAATCCAGGAACGGTTTCCTAAGACCTACCACTGCTTCCTTTTAGCAGGCAGGGACCACTCTCTCTCAAGGAGGCATTAATCACCTCCCTAGCCCAGCCAGTTGTCCCTTCCTGTTACTTTTTATTCTCCATGAGGGGCAAGAATACTCGTGGTGTCCCACACCAAACCAAGCACTTTGTCCACAGCCTTATTAACTCATCCAACACAGGACTGGACAGTGTTTTGGACTCCTCTTGGGACTCATCTAATAGTCGAGTCAAGGGCCCAGCAGATATAAGCAATTTTCTCTTTAAAATACATTGCACATGAGTCACAGGGAGGCACTCTTGATACTACCACCTCCTTTGGGCCAAAGTTTAATGTGCCCCACACTACCTAGTAAGATATTTGCTAATGTGATGTTTAATAAGGTTCCATTGTATAATCTGATCCCGCATGGAAAAGCAGAGTGAGTATTACAGAATCATTAATGTCCGATTTCTGTTCGTTCTGGAAACAGGTTACACTCTAAGAAATATCAGGTGCTTGGTGCTGTGAATTGCAAGACTGAAACTGTATTAGTTTTGTCCTATTAAGCATGTTCTTCTAAGGCTCCCAAGTTGGTGCAATAATCAATGTACTTGTCAAGCCTGAGTTAATTGCACCATCTGAAACTGAGATGATGTTCCATGTAGGCCATCTAATGTTGGTGTGTGTGTGTGTGTGTGTGTGTGTGTGTGTGTGTGTACTCCTAAAAGGCCTGGGATCCGAGTATCAGATCAAAACTCAGTAATAGAACACACACTTTGCATTCAGAAGGTCCCAGGTTTATTCTTTGGCATCACCACTTTTTTTTTAAAAAAAGGATCTGGTAACAGGCGATGAGAAAGACCTCTTCCATGAAATACTGTTTCCTGATTGCAGCTGAAGCCCTTCTCAGGGTTCCCTACTTTCAGAAGCTAGGTGGGTTGGCTGTCAGAGACAGGACCTTTTCCATTGTGTTCTAAATATGGAATGCTGTCCTCAAATATACATGCTTAGCATTCAAGTCATTCTCTTTTCAAGGGCTTACAAACATACAAATCACTGTCAATATTTTGTAAGAGAGATTTAAGTGCATACCAGAGATTTAGGTTTGTGCAATTAAAGTGCTCTGATGCAGTGGTGCAACAAATCTACTTTTTAATAAAATTACTTTTTTGCAATGAGGAAAATGCACTAAAGTGTGTGGGATAAATGAAATATTAATGGAAATATATAGAATGACAATGGAGACAAATCAGAATGAATTCAAAATGAATGCTAATTGTCATGTGACCTCCTCATAACAAATGCTCAATAAAGACTGGACATAGTTTAACCTTTGTGTAAGCTTTGTGCAAGCAAATCAGGATGAATGCTCAATAAACAGGTCATCTGGAGGAACCCTCAGACAGCTGGAGGTACAGATAATTGGAACTTCAATGCATATAATAAACATTAGTATCCTGGATACCCAACAGCTTTTGCAACTCAGTATTTGATAAAAGAGTTTCTGCTATATGTTCACATATCAGCATTTTACTGAAGCAAAATGTTTTGGACATTTTGTTCTGATCTCCTTTCTTGATTGCTTTGTGTGCTTTTAAAATAGCAGAGGGCTCTTTATGGGGAAAATGTGGAAATAAACCTTTTTACACAGCCAAAGACCTGCCTGAGAGCTTAACGCGTCCCTCTCTAAATCTCCCCAGGTAGGCACAATTTATATGTCCTAAAGTATTTGCATAGTGTAGCTGTGAGCTGTAAAAGAATAGCTCTGTCCCTCTCTGCAGTGGTTCTGTAATGGGTGATAAAGTCACACTTGTACCAGGGTACAGTATACAGTTCGTTTGGTGTGGTTTTTTAAAAATGCTTCAGGGTCCTTTAAAGCAAGACATGACATACATCGTCGATGTGGTTTGTTTCACCCTGTAGCTGCTGCTGTTATAGTTGCGGTGGCTCATTAGGCATGCTGTTTTGGGGGGTGGAAGGGGAGGCAGTGTGGTGAAAACAGTAACAGAAGATGAATAGGCACTAGTGTAGCATAAAAGGCTAACAGGGCAATCCTATGCATGTTTACCCAGAAATAACCACGTGTTTTTTAAGGGAGGCTTATTCCCAGGTAACTGTGCATAGGGCAAATGCATTAGGAACATAGGAAGCTGCCTTATACCGAGTCAGATGATTGGTCCATCTAGCTCAGTACTGACTACATTGACTGGCAGGGTTTCCAGTCGGGACATTCCCACATCTACCTGGAGATGCCAGGGATTGAACCTGGGACCTTGTGCTTGCAGAGCCGATGCTCTACCACTGAGCTGGGTCCATTATCCTTAAGAGACTAAACCGTTAAAGTGGAAATCACTGTTTCAGTTCATCATCTGCAATATCACACCTCATGTTAGTCGAATGGACCCAAGGAACAGCTAAAGGGAGAGGACAGCAGTGTAAAGGTTTGTAGGGAAGTGGCTCCACTGAACAGAGTCGTCAGCTAACCCTATGAATTAGAGCCCATATGTAGGACATTTTAAAAACAAGTTGAGGATTAAAAGAGGTGGGGAAATCAGCCAACAGAATAAGAAAAATGGAAGCATGCAGGATGTTTGAGTGGACAGAACAGAGGAAAATATAATAAGGGTTCCCCTATATCCCTGTGATTATGGTCAGTAGGAGATACAGCACTGGGTAGAGGGCAAGTCATATGTGAAGAAGAGGATATGGATGTTTGCAGGCCATCTCCTCTTATGACCCTCTCTCTATCTGGTTGCTCTCTTGCCAAGCCATCTGACCAGGTGGTGCTGTTACTTAATGCCAGGTTGGTACGTAATAAGACTATGTTCATTCATGGTTTGATCAAGGATGAGGGAGCCAACCAGGCATGTATTGCTGAGACTTGGGTGAATAAACTGGGTGTAGTTCTTCTGACCCTGTTGTGCCCATTGCAGCACAGCCAAAATTATATTCCAGTTAGTGAGTTTGGAAGGCATATACTGTCTCATTGGGAATCTTCGTTTGAAAGGTGCTAGTAATTCACCCACTGCTATGTTCTCACATGGCACAAAGCATTGGGGAGAGTATTGGTAAACTTATTATACAGGCTGTGCACAAGGCAACCTTGTTTCTCACATTGGTAGTTCAGCACTGAAGCAGATAATAAAATCTGAGGACTACATTGATTATTTTGAAGGAGGCCAGTGACACTGTGTCCTGGAAGTGTTGAGAGCAACCTTTAACAACAAATTTTGCAAAGATATTGACTGAACGTTGCCATTAAATCTGGCCACTTGCTGAAGTGGGGGTATAGGTTGCTTGTAAACACTGGCAGATGCAGTTGGGGTCTCAGTGACCCTAAAGGTTGGATTGGTGAGTTTTGCACAAAATAATAAGAATGGGGCGGGGGATAAATAGTTTTGCTTTATTTCAAAAACAACAACCCCTCCTCTCCTTCAGGTTTGTAAAGGGTTTTTAATTCTGTAGAATTCTATTGACCTCAATGCAATTTGTGGTAATATAAAGGGATGTGAGTGATTTGTTTATTATCAATTAAAATGAATGGGCCTAAATTAGACATGTTTTGTAGTTTCAATTGCTTGCACAAAATGAAGAGGACAGGTCCTAGGCTAAGCTCACCTGTAGGTATAACAAGTAACTAATAACTTTTAACAGCATTTTGCAGGGTCATTTTGACTCCTGTGTATTGCCTAAAGTGCATGGTTTCTCTGTTTCCTTGGTGATTCCCGTTGTGGGTAGCATTGATTCCAAAAACTGTAAGAGTAAAAACATTTATTTTGTCACTAAATTAAAGGAGGAAGGGCTCTGAAACAGCACATGACAATTCACATCCTGTCTTCCTTCAGTACTACCTGGAATGTGGAGTTGTTGAAGACTGATACAGAAGTTTGGTTCACTTTCGCCAACATTTGTTTGACCCCACTTGTCAAAGGAAGGACACACACACACACACACACACACACACACACACACACGGCTGCTGCCCTTGTCTGCATTGCTCACTAACCCCACCTATCCCCTTGCCAACTCTCAACCCCACTCACTCACTTGAACCCTGGGCTTCCTTGGCCCTGTTGTACATGCATGCAAACAAACAAGGAAGCTGGCAGGTGGGTGGTGGTGGTGGCAGCAATGACAGGGAGGATATAGGAAGGCCCACTTGCGTCACCTACCTGTCCTCTTGCTTGCTTGCTTGCTTGCTCTGCCAGTCTTCTCGCTTGTGCTGCTGGCCTGCTGGTTTTTATTTGGTTAAAAACAGCTGCATTTGATGCAGTTTAATGGGCTGTGGAAGATGAGAACGGGATAATTTTTTAAAAAATATGTTCATAATGCTTTGAAGAACATTCTGAAGTACAATAGTAGGCCTTTCAGATGAGGAAAAAAAGAGATGCTTTGCTTTTCTTCTTCCAGGAAGTTCTTGACCCGTGAAGATAAGGAGAGCATCTTCACCATGGACCACTTCCCACTTTGGTACCGCCGAGCAGCTGAACATCCCCCAGGAAGCTTCATTTATAGCATTCCTTTTGAAGACCCTTCAGGTAACTCTGCGTAATTCATGTGTTGTAATACAATTGAAGCCAAATCAGTCAGTAGGCAGCTTCTTAGCTCAAGTGAATGAGTAGAAAATTAGGATATTTTCAACCCTCGCTTTAGCCCACCAGCAGAAAAACAGCAAGCACACACTGGAGGCACAGTCCTTTTGTTTTTGTAGCCATTCAAACATCTTTTAATTGGCCATTGTTACCAATGGGATTTACTCCTAGAGCACACAAGGTTGGATCCAAAGTTAATAGTGTATATAAATATTCAGTTCTAGCTCTCTTTTTTGTGGTCACCTGGAAGACCTGGAACTTGAAATGTTGTTTTAAAATAACTGCTGAGATGGCCATGAAACACAGGAAAAGCCCACAAATCTTTTCTGAAATTTTTATTCCCTCTGTTAATGATGCTAAGGAATGAGTAAAAAAGTCTCAATGGCTTTTTAAAACTTTTCAGCGATGTACACTGAACCTGTGATGGGTACCACAGTGGTAAGCCCCACACCCAACTCATATATGTTTATCTGAAAGCATACATAGGGCCTATATATATACAATTATATGTCTGTTTGGTCCAATTCATATAACCAGAAAGTTTGGAAAAAAAAGTGCACTAACTCTATGCAGACCTTCAAAGGAATCTGCATAAATCAAATGCAGGGATACTTCTAGCTGTGAAATTCTGAGTAGTGTGGGTAGCAGCAAGAACAGATATTGACAGAGCAAGGAGTCTCCGGTTCTGAGGAAGGAGTGTGGAACAAGCCAGGGAGTGGTCCAGTCGGTTCTGAGCAGTAGGAGCAGGTTCTGAAGAAGAAGGCCTCAACTGGGTTTAGCAAGGGAAATGTCTTCACAGAGCTATTGCATCAGTGACTATCATGCCCCACCTCTGCCTGGAGCTCAGAAGGGCCCTTATCCAGAGCATATGTTAGTGCTTACCCCCTACTGAGTAGGACTAAGAGGGAGATGGCCTTGGGCTGCCAAACGATACCGTGCCTCTGGTGATGGCGTTTTGGCAGGTACAGTCGTACCTTGGTTCTTGAACAGAATTTGTTCCGGAAGTCCGTTCGACTTCCGAAACGTTTGAAAACCAAGGTGTGGCTTCCAATTGGCTGCAGTAGCTTCCTGCACTCAAGCGGAAGCCCTGTCAGATGTCTGGCTTCTGAAAAATGTTCAAAAACCCGAACACTTACTTCCAGGTTTTTGGTGCTTGGGAGCCAAAACATACGAGTACCAAGGTCTGTCTTTCAGAGCGTGTTGCCTCCTTGTGGTTGCCTCCTTGTCAGGCTCAGGGTGCAGGAGAACAGGTGGCTCCTGACAGGACTGCATAAAGCTGCCCCCCTTTGTTCATTATTTGAATGCCTTCAGGATGCTACTGTCTTGGGGCAACTGAAGGCATCTCAAAGAGTGGGGCAAGAGGGGATAACTTAAAGGCAAAGCTGGAGTTTAGGTATTTGTGAAGGATTGTGCAAACAAAGGATGTTGTGTGGACTTGAATAAGGGTGTTTACAAAAGTGAACACCTTTGTTGCTTCCTCATAAGTAGGCCAGGCAGGGCAAGGCCCCGCTTGATGTCACCCACTAACAGATTATGAATAAGGACTGCATGACCCAACCCTCAAACACCCTTCTCCTCCTCCAGCACTGGCCATCTTTTACTGCCCAAGCCCAACACAAACTTTACCTGGGTGGAAGGACAGGCAACAGTGGCAGAGGTGCTAGCATGGACACTCCAAGCATCCATTTGTCACACAGACAATGGAGTAGAACAGGCATCCCCAAACTCAGCCCTCCAGATGTTTTGGGACTACAACTCCCATCATCCCTAGCTAACAGGGCTAGTGGTCAGGGATGATGGGAATTGTAGTCCCAAAACATCTGGAGGGCCGAGTTTGGGGGTGCCTGGACTAGAACTACGCTTCCAGACACCCCTTATGGGCAAATGACAATGTTCACATCAGTTTCCACCCCACTTCTCTTGTAAAGTTTATGGGTCCAGGGATGGGCAGGGAAGGTGGCGGCAGTGGAGTGCTTTGTGTACATTAATATGGCATAAGGATTGAGTTCTTTTTGCAGCTCATGCATCTCTAGCACTGTCTTGTTGATGGGAGACTGACACGTTGCTGCCCCTTAACTTCCACATATTCTAATGTCCTGCCAGCACAGGGATCTACATTTGTAGGTTTCAACAGTGCAACCTGCAACAAAAACAAGGAAGAGCAGATTGCGCTTAGGATGTTGATGAATGTTCTGTTATATGTACTAAGGCCTCAGAGCAGAGACACCCTTGGAACTCATGAAGGTTGGACACCAAAAAGGTGGGGCAGTCAGCACTATCCTACCCCCATGAGAACACTTGTATGCATGTCAGACAGGTGGTCAGACCTATTAATCATTGCAATAATTTGAATAGCTGTCAGCATGTTGCAGAGATGAGATGAGGTTATTACTTTGTTTTGATGAGAATGGGGCTTTCATTATTTTGCTCACAAGCTGGGTGGTGTACATTTCATCTCACTTGCTAAATGAAGGCTGTGTTGGTCATCATCAAATCTCACCCTTTTGCCGCAGCGGTGTAGTGATGCAGGATTCTTTCACCATGAAAAATGACATACAGAAGGGTACTTTAAGGCAGCCAAAATTAGCCCAGTGCAGAAGAGGTCTGAGGGAAATTTGTGCCATATGCTTTCATTAATCACACAGCAGGTGAGTCAAAATTACACTAAGGTAATGGAAGGATACAAGGGGGGACTCTCAGCTTTGTGAAGAGGAACTACACATGCCAGTGTATCAATCAGTTACCAATTTGACATGTGTTTGCTCCAAGGTTATACATGGGAAGTTGCCAGCAGAAAGCCTCTTCTCTTCCCTTTCTCCTTCCGGGTCTGGTTATCACTGAATGAAAACACCTGTAGTTGGAGGGGCATATTCATCAGCCAATGCTTTTTCTGACTTCAGGGTTCACTGTTTCAGTGCAAAGTAAAGTTTCAGAAAGTGTTCTCATGGAATCACTTCTGTGGAGGGCGGGGAGGAATAGATGATGTCAATGAACAGCAATGACAACTACCACAAAAGAATGGGGGGAATCTATGTGGTCTGGAAACCACTATGTACTTTTGCTCAACCCTCTTCTGCATTCAGGCACTGTCATCACAATGCACAATGCTTTAGCTGCAAAGCTTTTTTTGGCATTGTAGTGGGAGGGTGGGTGGGTAGAGAAGACAGCAGTTGAGCAAAGAAAACAAGACTGGAAAAAAGAATGTGAACCAGGATGTGAATGTGGTGGAGAGTGGAATGGAGATAAAGAAGCTCAGCCCTTCCCTCCTTCCTTGTTTTCCCCTTTGCGCTTCCTATATCTGTCAGCTATCCTTTATAGAACTGCTGCAATTAGTAAAGCTCTGCTCTGGAAGCCTTGGGGCAGAAATACTAATAAACAATAGCAGGCTAGACAAAGGTTTGCTTGTTTCTTTGTTTTTTAAATATTATTTCCTGTTGACCCAGCCCAGTTCCTGTCAGGCTCCACCCTTGATCTGTCAGGCTCTTCTAGCCCCTGATCATAATCAGGTTCCACTGATTAGCTGTATTAATGTTGTATAATGGGCATACTAATGATGTCAGCTTTCACTCTATGTGTTGCAAGTCCTAGCCTGGCTCTTACCAGCATTTCCAGACTGGTAATTTTTAAATCAAACATTTGCCAACTCTGTTTACCCCAGCTATGATTTAAGAGAAATAATATATAACCAGAATGGGAGGAGGCACTTTTATTCCCACCACACACTCCATATGATACAAACATCTCCAAAAATTAATGTTCCCTTGTTCTAATGTGTTATTTTGGGTAGCTCTTTTGCAAGGGACCAGGACCTGGAAATGAAGGTTTCCTCATGAACAATGTTTGCACTTGGGCCTCCTCTCTCTATTTTTCCTTCAACTTATATGCCTTTTATCTCTGCAGTTTCATCTGTTCCCTTCCCCAAGGGCTTATCCACACTTACCTTTACTCCACTCTTTCCAGGAAGCCTTATTATCTGGCCACCATAAGCCTTGCTTTGGCTTTTGTGGCTCTTGCGCCTTTAAAGTGGCTAAACTGTGGGCCTCAAGATGTTGTTAGACCACAACTCCCATCATCCCTGACTATTGGTTATGTTGCCTGGGGCTTATGGGAGTTGAAGTCCAACATAGGTTCTTTACCCCCTGCTTTAGCAGTTGCTGACCTCATATTTTCTTACTACCTGACATTCTCAAAGCCCTTATAAGATCTCAGGTGATGCCATAGTGTAGTTAAATCCCCACAGCACCTGGTATCTGTTTTCAGCATCGCTGCTACCTCAAACCTAATTAGTTTTTAGCTTAAACTTTGCCACAGAAAAAGTACTTCAGGGTAACAGCTTTGATTTCCTTGAAATGACAATAAACGACAGAGGCTCTGCTCACATTTTCTGTAGTGGAATTGAGGGACAAACCAGATATATTTATGTGCTTGCTGGTTTCACTATAAAGCAGAGTTGAAGAGCTCATCATTAATTGCTGAATATAATGGGGAAGGGGAACAAAATCTGCCCACTTCCCCATACTTTGCTACTTGAACACTTTTCATCAGCTGGCTCACTTCTGAGGTAAGTTAGGACAGGGGTGGGGAACCTCAGACCTGAGGCAGGGCCACATGCAATCCTTGTGTCATCTCCGTCTGTCTCTTGTTTGAACCCCCTCTTCCTAGGCTGCACCTTTCATTGCCCCCTGTCTTTTTGCCTGTCTGGAATGTGCCCTTGAATCCTTATAATGTCTCTGGCCTGTCTGGATGGAGGATACAGAAAGGTGCATGAGTGTGTATTGAAATTAACTTACATTGCAGACATAAAATTTACATTGGTTTCTCTTAGCTCTTTTGCCTCTTACCCTTGCCCACCACTGGCATGTGGCCCTCAGAATGTTGTCCACAAAGGCATGTGGCCCCCAGGCTGAAATAGGTTCCCCACCCTAAGTTACAGTTAGTACGTAAGGTGGGGTGGCAGATGGGGTTTCACTATGTGCTCCATTTAGTGATACTGACCCTACTTTATACACAAACCAGAAATTGCATGTTTAGTGAACTCATGCAGGTGTGTTTTGACCTTGGGTGACAGATATTTGGGGCTGTCCAAAGTCTCTCTCACACACTCATTCTTTAGCAGAACTTAAAATCAGTGTAGGTATGACTAGTCTCTGGGCCCATTTCATAATATTGACCACAGGATCTCCCAACCCTATACAAAGCACTGTTTTGGAACAATAATTTGTGATGGTGTATATAAAAAACAAACACAAACCAATTTATGCAAATGCCTCCCGAGATGATTTGGAAATAAGTGCATAGGACACCTTTTAATGTTAATAACAAGATGCAGAAATTAAACCCACGTGGGATTGGGTTGATGAAAAGCAAGAGGAAGTTGTCGGCAGAAGCGGGTGTGTAGCATATCCAAATTTCACCTCAGTAAACAAATTTTGCAGGGCTTTTTATGTTTTTTTAGTTCAACCTGCCGGACATGCTTGACTAGAATTTGCATTAGGATAAAAGAAACATGTATGAACACTAATAATACTAATGCTAATGCTACTAATAATTTATTTCTTATATCCCGCCCATCTGACTGGGTTACCCCAGCCGCTTTCGGTGGCTTCCAACAAAAATACAGGGGTACCCAAAACAGGGCTGCCTTCAGATGTCACATAGACATCTGTGGACTCCTTCAAACCACTTCAATCTGTTTCCAGACTGTGTGTCAGGGACAAGCTGGTTTTTGAGGTTGCAGGGGAGTACATTTGTCTCCTGCTCCATGTGGTAATGAACATGATATTAGAATGCATATGCCTGTGGGGAGGGAGAATGTCATGCTATTCTTATTAGATCATTTCCCCCTGGAGCTGTAACATGCAAAAGGTAAGGTCAGAAGTTGGAATTAGTGCTGTGTCCAGCAAGTGAACTAAAAGCTCTCATTTCCTTAGGGTTTGTGCTGTATCTATACGTATAACTCTGCAGGAAGTCACGTGGCATTCTGCTGGAGGGTTTTGGTGTCCTTTGTCTGTCCCCAAAACACACAGAAGTGTAGGAGTGTGAGAGAGAGGATTTTTTAATGCCACAAGGATAATGGTTGAGGCATATGAATGCTATCCAGAAGGAGAGTCCTTGAATTGAACAAGTGCTCCCTTAGGTCTGTGCAATGCCCTTCCACAAATCAACTTAATTTCAGGGCTGTTGTAGGTTTTTTGTTGTTTGTTTCAATCTGCACAAAGACTTGAGGCTAAAAATGAATGAAGCTGCAAAGTCATGTTCAGGACACATTGGGCACTGGTGATGGAACCAAGAATAAAAAGCAAATGACAAGTTCTGGAACTGTGGGGGGAGAGAAAGGAAAACCCTTATGTTGGGGCAGAACATTCCGTAAGGCAATATACTGTGAAGGAATAAAAACATGTGTTTGTGTGTGATGTGACCAGAAATCCTGACCTTCAGAATGTCCCTGTTAACACAGAAAATGGAACAGTTGTAAAGCACAAAGAAATATAAACAAGTTTGCCTGCACTTGATTCACAAGCCTAGTTCTCTCAAATAGCAGATGAGGAAGTGAACCTGTTTCATGACTGTAGCACTTCAGACTGCAGGTGGGGCCTGGCATAATTGAATGCACTTCAAGCTAAATGTCAGAGAGAGGAGTTCCATCCTAACTTTTTACCTAATACCGTATTTTTCGCTCTATAACACGCACCCGACCATAACACGCATGTAGTTTTTAGAGGAGGAAAATCCGTAGGCATGCCACCCGTAGGCATTCCCTCCATAACACGCACAGACATTTCCCCTTACTTTCTAGGAGGAAAAAAGTGAGGGTTATGGTGCAAAAAATACGGTAGTTTTCTATGTGTAGGGAATGTTTATGTACTGAGGTGTGTTCAAGCATGTGAGACACCATGTGAAACAGTACTGTCTAGTATTAGGTTGTCCACTCTATCTGTTCTTTGAGAGAACAGGTTCTAATCTACTATTGTGATTTTGGGGCACAGGGGGTTAGACTTTATGCCTGTGTCCCCTTCTAATTCTTGGATCCAGCAAGGAATCAATTGCTGGAATAGCCAGGCCAGCTTTTTGGCAAGGTGATGGCCCCTTAAGTATGGGCCATTCAGGTAACAAATGAAGTGGCTCTGTGCCAGAGAACAAATGGATGAGCCCCTCTTCTTCACCTGGCAGTTGGTTGGAAGGACAATTGTCAGAGGGGTGTGTGGCTGTGCAACACCTCTCCCAAATGCGAGACCACAAATTTCTTTAAAATATTGGATTAATCCAAAATTAAATGACCTTTAGGGCTGTCAAAACAGTTCTTTCAGAATTCAACCATCACCCCTTACAGGGCCAGTTAATCCTATCTGCTCCTTTGGTAGGTCACACATATTTCAAATATCAAAAACACCTGACACGCTGTTGATAAACTGAATATTAACTAACATTTTTCTTCCAGGGTGAATTAATCTAACCACTGAATAAATGGACTGAAATCTTGACTAATTAACGTTTTGTCAGTGTGACAGGAGAAACTATGGAGCATTTTAAGTTGTCTTACTGGGTTAGCTCATGCATGTAGCCCTGCCAGGGAAATATGTCAATGTGAACAACCTCCAGCTTACTTGTATTTGCCTGTAGGAAGTAGTGTGAGTGAATCACATGTATGCCACATGCCACAATTGCAGCAGTCCTTTTTTGTAACTAGGCAAGACATTCACATGGAGGGGATTTGGTGGCAGGGCTGCTCATGGGTCATGCATATCATAGAAATGTACCTGCTACTACCAGAAGTCTACAGGCCTTAACTGCATTTGCTAGGAGCAGCAGCCACTTGAATGAACGTTCCATGGTTGTCCCTAGCAACCACTTGGGCCTATAGACATCCCTCTCGGCTAAAGCCTGTGGTATTTATGACTGTGAAATTTCATTAGGAACATAGTTCACACTGTCCATAGTTTCCTACTCAGGATATTTGGGGTCCCATAGCAGGAAATAGGATGAATGTATCAAGTGATTCATGATGCCTTTTGCTTATAAACTTCCATAGGCAATTTGACAGTTCACTGTATATAAATGTGGAAACAGATGTTTTAGTTGCCATCACAGAGAATCTTCTCTCTGCTACTTTCTGAATGGGAGCACATTCCCAGTTCTTCACATCTTTCTTTAACATGCTGTTTGGAATCTTTATTGGTTTGAAAAATTCAGATATGATTGTAGCTCCCTATTTTTGAAAATTAAGCAATCCTGTTATGCTAATTAAGGGTGATGAGGTCTTGTTATTTCTTGATCAGTAATGCACAGAGCAGCTTCTGAAGATTTTAAGAGACTCAGTTCAGACAAACAGCGGCTGGAGTATTAAAGCTGTATCTCGGCTGTACCATTTCAGATTACAAGGATGGGCAAACATGAATGAATTCTTCCTCATGAAAAACATTTCTACACCTGGATTAATTAATTTATTTTTATTGCTGTGGAAAGTGTTTTAATTTGCTGGTTCAGTATTTTTATTGGCTGTTTTCTTGGGAGGGATCTGATGGCTTTATGGTTGTACTGTCAATATTTTGCCATTTTTATTGTTGCAAGCCACCGTTGCCTGGAAAGTCCCCCTATAAGTATTTTGAGTTAATAAACACAAACACACATAATGGAGATGTCTCTGTGACATCTTAGACATGTGCAGGGACTTTTTAATCTTTGAAGGAGCAATCACTCAGGTGAACCGCCACCTGCAGCCTGGAGTCTTGACACAGGTTTGTGCTGTTTGTATAGATTAAACCTCACCCTTCTCTGTACTGCAGTTTTGTGCTTGATTTGTGAGTGTCAATTCTGAGACCCTCTTCCTTAGGGATACAGGGTCAGGTACTAAATTTGCTTCATTTATGTCTTGACAGAAGGAGGTCTGCCTGAGGCGGTAACTGTGAGCACTTCTGTGGCTGTGACTGTAGGTGGGAAGACGGCAATCGCTGCAGGTAGGAACTTGTTTTAATACACTTGAGGCATAGGGTTGAGGTTAAGGATAGGGAAACACTTCATTTAGTATGAAATTGTCTCTTTTGCAAAGTGGTAGGTGACCCATCACTTGTCACAGAATTTATTGTCTGAAATCCGTCTATTTAAAATTAGGCCTTAGACAAAGTCACGTGTATAGAGTTATTGTCATTTTTGTGTTTGGCAAAACATCATATCTCTTTCTTGCCACTTTTTCTGCACATGCCCACTCACCAAAAAAGTCTGCTAATTTTCAGGACTATAGAGTTCCTGCAAATGCCCTAAAGGGGCATACCTGGGAAAGCTGTACAGTTCTGTGGCAGAAGGACTGGGAAGCAGCCTCTAAAGCCTCACCTGTTTGCTTTTTCAGTTAAAGGTTCCGGGCTCACCCACACTTCCTTTCATGTCACGCTTTCTAGGCACAGGTCTGAGATTTTTAGGTCTGTGTTCAAGCAGTGTGTAGATAGATAGATAGATAGATAGAATCAATCAGGGGTTTTTTTCAGCTGGAACTCTCTGGAACTCAGGTCTGGCACCTCTCAGGTGGGCTCCATTGCCATTGTAAGAGAACAAGGGAGGTGTTCATGGTGAGTTCTGGCACCTATTTTTCTAGAAAAATAGCACTAGGTAGGTAGGTAGATAGATAGGCTCTCTGCTTTCCCTCGGAAAACCCACTGTTTACCACTCAATCTGAACAAATGGCAATTGAGTTTTCCATGAATGATCTCTACACCTTATCAAATGGGCAATTTTCAGAACAAAAATTGAAACCTAAGACTGTTCAGCTTAGCCATGTTAAAAGCTCTCAGTGCTTGTGAATCTGTGATGGCTTAGTCTTTTAAGGATGTACAATGTGTAGTTTGGGGGCATTCATGTAACTTCTTCATGTCCTTGAAGTAGTTTAACTGATGTCTGAGGTTTTGTAATGGTAGCAGTGAGTGGTGAGTTCAGGAGAGAATTGAGTGGAGAGACAGGTGTTTTGGAGAGAATGGAGAGTGAGCGCTGCGAGGTGGCTGGAGGAAAAGGTATTGGCTGATAGTGACATTTCAGAAAATTGCTAAAAGTCAAATGAACAATCGGTCATATGTTTTACTGGTTTGTTTTGTATTTGTAGCATTGAAAGAAGGGAGTTGCATTGTGAGCATATGTGATCTCATGATACTAACGCAGCCTTAGATGCATTTCTTTCTAAGAACTGAAGCACGGAGTTGAGGGAAGAAGGAAGCCAAAGGATGTGAACAGAGACCTCTGGAGAAATCTTACACCTTGCTTAGGACCATGTAAAAAGTGGGCTAGAACCAGATATAGAAGCTTCAGGATCTGGGTGGTCAAGAAGGGGCAGAGCATTAAATATCAATTTTTTATTAGCAATAAGCAGCCTAATATTTGCTTCTGGTTATGTTCTGGACAGAATATAAAAGACAAATATGTCATCTTTGCCTCTGTGTATGTCCCTGAATACTGAGTGTTTTTCTGTACTGCTAGCTCAATGTAGGCTGTGGCCTTTTTTAGGTGGAAACCACATGAAGGGAGCTTCTGCAGTCTAAACCATATATTTCCCAGTGAATTAGGAAGCCTATTTGCTACTGTAATGTACCTAACAGCTTTTGATCACTGTGCAAACATTAACTAAGACATAATTATTAATTATAGTTTAATTGGGGCTATTTTGTCTCCAGAGGTATAAGCCTAGAGTCTCTCGCTGGCTAAATCAGCTCTCTACATATGACAAACATAAATCTGTATAATATGAGGAATTCCTAACCCCACTCTAGATAACGTTACTGACTGTTCTCTCATGTGAGTCAATAACCTGAGGCATTATGCTTCACTAGGGAGAAACTGCTGTAGTTACATCGCAGCTGTTGACAGATTTAAAGTCCCAGTGAAACTGCTGGAATCTGTGTGGGAGTTCTGCTGTCTCCCTGGTCTGTGTATATATGATGTCTCTCTTATTGTGTGACCTTCTCCTCAAGTGAGTTACTTGCTTGGAATCTAATCATAATTCCAAACATGAACAAACTCCAGTTTGTGTATGTGTCCGTGTGCTTTAAATAGTTGATTTTGGTTGCTGCTTTGTATAGGACCATGATCTGCATGCCATGGCTTAAAACTCCAAAGTACTTCATAGATGGATCTGCCCTTCCCAATACAAAGGAGTTCTAAGGCACTGTATTTTGCTGTTCCCCAAACCACCTCTCTGTTTGCATCAAAGGGTCTTTTTTAATCACTCAATAAGTTGAAGACAACCATCAATCTTATGAGCTACGTACACACAGAGGAGTTTCTGACTTATTTTCCCCTGCACAGTACCTGACAACATTTCAAAGTAGCTTGTGACACGGCACAAAGAGGTACAGAAGGGAAGAAAAGTCAGAAGGCCTGCTTCATATTCACAAGCAATTGTGCAGGTTCTGTGCATTTGGCACAAGTGCAGAAAATCCACTGGTCCCAATTTAAAGGGCTTGTTGCAACCCTTCTTCTCACTACATTCTCCATTGGGAGCCATTCGTGCAGACATAGCCTTGTGGGATAGTTAGGTTAACTAACTGCAAATACACGACAACAGGGCTGAATTCCAGCAAAGACCAGGTGCTGAGCAGCCTTTTGGCTTTACCGTTTCTGTTCTCTCCATTTAAGTTAACTGTTGGGAAAGTAGAGGTGGAGGCATTGTAGGTAGCTGTGGTAGTTCAAGCTTATGCACAGATATTTATACAGAAAACTGTATTAGAAGTTTCACAATAATTTCCTTTTAAAACAAAGTTAATTATTCATTATGTCGGTTTGTTTATCCCACCATATAGGGAAAAGCCTAAGTAGGAGTTCATTTTGATTTTAAAGGAGGAATATGCTGTTTTAGAGTTTCTATGCTGTGCCTCATTCCTGTGCTTTGAGCTCACCTGGGATGGGGTTGTGCCAGTGTGAGAGTTTTACTGGAAATGCCTTGCTGATACTTGTGGATTTCCCAAGGAAATATTCCACATCTCCAATCTGCTGGCTTGAATCCCATTCCAGATTTGAAATTGCAGCCGAGGAGTTGGTTTAATCTCTCATACAGCTGACGCTGTTGAGCTTAGAGTTATCCATCCAATGCTCTCCTTACTGGTTTGTCTCTGCATTACTTCTGCTGTTGTGCTTGAAGGGAAAAGAGCCCGTGGCTTTGTCCTAGAGGAGGCTCACAACACCGCAGGACATTTTGAGAGGGGTGCCCATAGATTTTGAGCTACCCCCCCTTTCTCCTAAATCATTTGATAACGTTTTAATTCTACGCAGAATTAGAGCAGCGAGGGGGGTTGCTATAGCAACTGTTTCCTTGTGCCTTTGGTCTGACTCATTTCAGACAATTACTCTCACGCTCCAGGATTCACAGATGTGATAGAGGAAGAGTCATGTGCTAGGCTTTCAACTTTTCACTTTTAATTTCCTCTCCTTCTTTTCACTGGTATTAACTCATGCATGGCTCCAACCCTATTGAAATGTGTGTACACATGTGTGTGCATAGTTCCTCTGTGAAGGGAGCCCACTTCAGTAGCATAAGTTGACACAACTATGAATTCTTGTTGGAATTGTGAACATATTGGGCTCCTGGTGTGTTTGGGCATAGATCTGGGTAACCACCACACATACGCCCGCCCCCCCACCCTATGTTAGGCAGAACCTGGTGCAGCTATCCAGGAGAATATTGTGCTCAATAGTATCAAAATCATCTGAGAGATCAAGAAAAAGCAACAGGGTCACACTTCCCCTCTGTTCCTCTCCTGAATAAGGACCTCTATCAGGGTGACCAAGACAGATTCTGTCCAAAACTGAGCCTGAACCCAAAATGAAATGGGTCAAGATAATCAGTTTCTTCCAAGAGTGTCTGCAACTGGACTGCCATCACCCCCTCAAGCATCTTACCCCAAAAGCAGTATTAGTAGTATTTCTGGTATTCAGAAATAGAGTGACCATGTATCTTGCTTTACAGAAGGCAATCTTTTCCTTGAAGAGCTATCAGACAGCAGTCCTCTGTTTGAAGGAGTTCTGTTTGAATGACTGTCTTGTCCTAATCTGGTTTAAAGATAAAAGTATGCCCTGTGCCAGGGGCAAGTGTCTACAACTACAAGAAAGAAGATTCCACCTAAACATTAGGAAGAACTTCCTGACAGTAAGAGCTGTTCGACAGTGGAATTTGCTGCCAAGGAGTGTGGTGGAGTCTCCTTCTTTGGAGGTCTTTAAGCAGAGGCTTGACAACCATATGTCAGGAGTGCTCTGATGGTGTTTCCTGCTTGGCAGGGGGTTGGACTCGATGGCCCTTGTGGTCTCTTCCAACTCTATGATTCTATGATTCTATGATTCTAAATCCCTGCACTGAATAAAGCCCAAGAGCAATGTATGATGGCACACCAGGGACTGCAAAGACCTGTTTTCGCTGCTTGCCTGGGAGTACAAAAACAGGAGGGTTGTCAAGCACTTGGAAGACCATATCCAGAGATTAGGTGTATTCAGATTTGTATTACGTCTCTGAAACAGGTTCAAAGTAACAAATTCATGTATTCTCTCTGGTTAGTGTATCTGCATGATACCGCTGTTGGTCACATTCACGCTTAACATTTTCAAAAAGTCATGGATGTAGAGTTCTTACATAAGCATCTGGATACTAGGGGTTTTGTGCATTGCCTTGGAAATTGCATGATCTGTGGATCTAATTTGCAGTCAGTTTATAGCTTTTCCCTTTGCGCTTTTGTGATGGGCATATCTGGCTTTCTGGATTCTAATAACTGCACAAACTACTACAATAGTGGAATAATTTTGTAGTGCTTTGTATTGAAATGTGAATCATGGTTGTGCAAGTGAGCCCTGGGCATAGTTATTAGTTCTGTTCCCTCTTTGACACCCTCTCCTCATTTCCGCTCAAAAACCCAACCCATGCTATCTTACGATACCAGTGCATAATGTAAAAACTGCTGACTTCAGTGGCAGTGGGAGCTGGGAAGTGTAATCCTCACAATATGAATTTCCATCACCAGTTACCCAAGAGCCGTTTAACTAGAAATGCCAATGATTGAACATGGGACATAGGCCCTCCCCACAGAGTTATGGTCAGAAGATAGGGAAATGACAGCAGCAGCATGTGGAAAGAGAGTGTGCAGCCCTTACTTTTCTCCTTTTGGAAATTCAGCTGAATTGCTCTTTCTGGCTTCTATATGTCTTCATTCCTGCTGGCAAAGGCTTCAGCAGTCTGTACAGTCTGACATGCAATGAAATGGAGAGCAAAGTAGAGTTGTCCTGTGCCAAGCGCCCTCCTGGTGGAGTTTCTGTACTACTTCCACAAAGTTCTGGAAACGATTCAAGTTCTTCACATTAGGGAGCGTGTGTCTGAAGGAACATATTTTCAATTCCTCATCAAATACACGTAGTTTTCTTCATTTACATCACACCCTTGGCTTACAATACCCTTAAAGGCTAAGTCATTTAGATCCAAACCGGCATCTAAATTTGGACCTGGCGCAAAGGCTCCGCTGTGCCTCTCCATCTCGGATGACCTGGATTTGTGTCAAGAGAAAGAATGGCCAGAGAAAAGCCCCTGCTTGTGGAGAAGAGCTACCTTTTTAGAAGGCAGATGGAATGTGGGGGCTTCGGATCGTCTATGACAGTTGAGAAGTGACAGTTGAGAAGATCAGAGAAAGGAATATCTGAAGAGCAGCTGCTCATGGAGAGGCAAGAGAGAGAGATTATAATGATGAAAGAGACAAAAAAAAAAAAAGGAGGGGAAAGGAGCAATATCGCATGCTGGAAGGGAGAGGTGTGAAAGCATAATTTGCACAGTGCTCCCTAGCCAGTCAGGGGCAGTGGACACAGTCTGTATATGCGTTTTTTACCAATCTAAGGTTGTGAATCGTAGGAAGAGAGCTTGTAAGGTATTAAACGTCCAGGAGCAAGGATCGGTTTTTATGGGCTAACCTGCAGAGGCCATGTGGCACCCTGTTTTGCTACTGTATGAGCAGTTCCTGGTGAGTTAGGAGTGTCAATCCCTTGCCCCCAGCACATGGTCAGTGCATAACAGGATCTTGCTTGGATGCAGCTTGAGTAGGTCTGAAGAATTCTGGAGCACAAGCCAGCCAGTGCATGCCCAGTTCACCAGTTGACGGGGATGCAGATCCAAGGAGCTGTAAAAGTTGCATAGCATAAGGGCACCGTGAACAAGCCCCTAAAAAAGAGGATCACATGGATTAGGATGACAGGTTTAGTGCTGGTATGATGTAGTAAGTTCAGAATGGCTAGATGTCTCTGGGCATGTAACTCTGAATGGAGCACTGTTATGTGAAGGGCCTTGCGCTTAAATTTATTTATTTCATAAAAATTATACACTGCTTGATTGTTTGAAAAACCTCTCAAACCTCAAAGTGGTTTACAAAAAGATAAAACAAGAAAATCAAGAAAATTTACAATACTTTAAAACATACAAAAAGTTAAACTATTAAAAGAGATTAAAATTCATACCAGTGCTCCTAAGCATCTGGCCTAAACAAGAATACAGTACAGTGGTACCTCGGGTTAAGAACTTAATTCATTCTGGACGTCCGTTCTTAACCTGAAACTGTTCTTAACCTGAGGTACCACTTTAGCTAATGGGGCCTCCTGCTGTTGCTGCGCTGCCTCCATGCTATTTCTGTTCTCATCCTGAAGCAAAGTTCTTAACCCAATATACTATTTCTGGGTTAGCAAGTCTGTAACCTGAAGTGTCTGTAATCCGAGGTACTGCTGTATATTTAGCAGGCGCCGAAAAGAATACAGCGAAGGAGCCTGCTGAATATCAATAGGCAGGGAGTTCCAAAGTGTACATGCTACCACACTAAATAATTTAGTTCTTACAAATGCAAAATGGGTATTATGTGGCACCAGTAGTAGTTCCAGTTCCACCTATCAAAGCGGTCAAGAGGGCACATGTGAGGTAAGGCTAACTCATAGGTAAATTAAGGTAGTGATTTGTTGATGACTAGGAAGTCTTGGAGGCAGGGTAAACAACATAATGCCCTGAAGATGTTGCTACGCTACAGTTCCTATCTGCCCTTGGAATGATGGGAATTGCAGTCAAAGAACATCTGGAGCCCAATATGTTTTGAAGTATTAGAAAAATAATAATAAATAAAGAGTTTTGTGGCACTTTAAAGACTTTTATTGTGTGAGCTTTCATGGAGCAGAGTCTGCTTCATCATAGGCATGTTTATCATTAGTTAGGGTGTGTGTGTGCGTGTGTGCGCACATTCATGCTTGATGAGTTTGTCTGCCAACTGAGGATAATTATATATCTCATAAAGTGAACTTAGTGAAAACATATGCCACAATGCATTTGTTAGTCTTTTAAATGCCACAAGAATTTTGTTGTTGCTCCAACAAACTAACCTGGCAACCCCCCTTGGTGCAAGATTCGTAGAGGTGTGGTCCAACCCAAATTAAACAATTGCCTTAGCCTCACTTCTGGTCCCTTCTGTTTCTTTGTGTATTTGAGTATTTCCCCTTTATGTTAGAGAATCTCTTGCGCTCATTCATTCTTGCAGAAAATTTGCAGAGCAGTAGGTTATTTCCACAAACCAAACGTAAAACATGAGTTGCATAGGAAAATACATTCTTTATTATTCTTCTAAAACAACAAGCCAGAAATATAATATACCTTCAGCTGCTTTTTAAAAACTGGTTCTTCCTTAAATTCTAACAGAAAAAAAAGGATTGTATGTGCCATCTGTCCTCCTTTCAAGACCCCCACCCCGAGGAACTGTGCCTACCTCTTGTTTTCTTGGGTTAGTCTGACTGTACCAGGAGCTAAACTTTCCTTGTTTGCTGTATTGACCTACCAGCACAGGAAAGCACATTCTTGTCTATATCCACCTTTACTAAAGGAATTAGGTTGTCCTTCATTATGGCTTTTTGCCAACATTTTTTTTTAAAGGGTAGTCTCTCCTTAGCTGTCAGCTGCTGGCTGCACCTAATAGCCTGGAGCATACTAAGGGAGTTTTCACAAGTGATGTAGAAATTTTTACTTAAACCTCTTGTATGCCAGATTTCTGCAGTGATGTTAATAGGTGCATGCATTATGAATGTTTGCACTGCATCCATTTCTCATTTCTAATTATCTTCCAATCTGTTTTGATCAGGACCAGTCAAGCCCACAGGAGAGCTATGCTGCTTCATTTTCAGTGATGGCACTTTGGCATGTGTTTTCAAAACCAGGCCTACTCATACCTACAGAGAAACAAACATCAGTCTGGTTATTAAAATTAATAGCTGGATAGTTTGAAAGTTATGGAGTATTAGGGCTATTCCCTATGTTAGATCCCATAGTAAGAGAGTTTTCAAGTGGCACATTAATAGGCATTATTTGTGCCATTTGTGAAGTGCCCTGTGGTCTTGTATATACAAATTTTAACACTGATGGCATATCGCTAAACTCCCGAATAATCTCAGCATAACAGTTACACATGCATATACTTCTGATAGTATTTTGGTCTTATACATAGGTAGTTTAGTACAGGTATGCATGCTGATCTCTAACCAGTAGAAAGAGTATACCGATTCTGCTGAAGGGCCCTATTGCTAAGGTATTCATCTTCTTAGTTCTTAGTTCACTTGAACTGAAATGTTATACAAGTAAACATCTTTTTCAAATGGAATAAGTATTATGAAATTGGTAGATCCAAACCCTTTCTTCTTTTGATTATCTATACTGCCCACAGCCAAAGTATATACTTGTAGCAGCCATATAAGAATCAGATGGTCTAAATCTCTGTGTTTTCAACAGGTATATTGTGGTTTTATATGAATGGAAGATGATGGGATGCAAGACATTTTGCATATTTTCTGAGACTTTATAGAGTTTCCTCAACCCTAGTTCAAGAATGCTAAATAATGTAACAAGATCATTCCAGACCTTCTGATTACATCTGAAGGCACAGTTTCCCAGTAGCTTGAAAGAGGACACTTCCTATATTGGCTTATTGCATTCTTAACAGCCCATTTTACTACCCAACTACTCCAGTGTCTTTGGGACCAACATTATCCATCCAACACCCCTACTTTTCTCAACAAACGCTTACTTTGTCCCTTCACTTACTTCCCCTTTTCAGATGTGGATTTCTAAATGTGGAAGTATCAGGGCCAACCCTATGCCATATCAAATGATAAATTGGAATAAAGTTTAAAGTTGTAATTAAACTCACAACATGGAAAACAGAAAATGTAATTGGCAACAAAGGGAAACCTGCCGAAGGTGAGACTAGGGAATGGAAGAGGAAGGGGATTCCCCCCCCCACCTAATTTGCGCTCCTCAATTCTTCTCATCCTCTAAACACACATGCACACATCATTTGTTCTGTGCAATCATGTCATAATTATTTCTTAGAAGTAAAATAGAGATCTATAAATATACAGCTCTGACAAAAATCCAATTTCAAGTATAATTGTGCTGTCCAGTATGTATGTTACAGAGGTACGTTCCTTTGGGAAGATTATAGAGACAGTAAGGTTGGAATTGTATAACCAGCAGGCAGACTGCCAGTGCTAGTTTGTTGGGTATATATGCAGTAGGAGCAATACAGGCATACATACATACATTAGCTAGAGTCTTTAGTAGCCTAGTTTTGCCCATCAGTCTGGGATAAAGCGGAAGTGGAGTTGCACACTTTGAGGGACTACAATACATACATGGTACGTAATGAGAGAAAGAGTCTATCCTCCATTCTTGGAATTTGCCTCTTACCTTAATGCTGACCTTCTGCACAGATCTTAAAATTAGATGCCATAGCCATATCCACCGTTTGGATACCATTTTAAATTGTGTTGTTTTACCATTTTGATGTTTGCTGCCCTGGGCTCCTTTGAGAGGAAAGGTAGGAGATACAAATTTAATAAATGAATGAATCTCATTTCCCACTGTCTCCTCTCTAATGTTCCATGAGAATTTTTTTCCTGCCATGCCTGTCTGTCTGAAGGTTATTCCCTCTTTGGGGATGTGGTAGTTCTTTGCTAATAGGATGGTAGAGGGTTGAATTACTGCTCCCAAGATGTAATCTTGAGTCCTTCACAGTGTTCTTGTTTGCTGACAGGAGATTTAGGGATGAATTAAAGGAAAGTAAGCATTGCTTCTACTCAAACCAGCAGCAACAGTTAAAGAAAGAACTTGAGCTCATTGAAAGGCATAAGAATACGACAAAAGAAGGAAGAATTCTGAAGACCTGCTCCATGCCCAACTAAGGTGATTGTTGGGCTCTGCTCCTGAGTTGCTAGAGAGATACCTTGGAATCTGGGCCAGCTGCCAATTTTTTTTCATGACTGCAAGGATCACAGTATCCACAAAAACTGCGGCTGCACGACCTCTTGTGTCATCTTCCTATCCCAGGAATACCCGCTGTGACGGGCTAGAGCAGGTTACCATGGCAATATGTGCTCTCCCCTGGAGACAGCACTTTATCCCACTTTCAGTGATATAAAATGAGTCCTTATGTTGGTTCCCTCCTCCCTGCCATCAGTTTGAAAAGAAATGAGGCTAATGTGATATGCTTTGAGCTTGGGAAAGATACCCTGCATAAGAATTCATGTGTGTTCAGTGTGTATGTGCACATGCTTGTGCTCATGTATGCATCTGTGTGTTCCTTGAGTGTATGTGTGTATTATATGCATGGATGCTGCAGAGAATATTAATGCTACTCTCTCTGTTTTTGAGTAGGGCTCTTGCATGGCTGCTTACATGCACCAGTGTCATTCCTACATGCCTATATCAGTAGAGTGTTTGCATGAAGAGCTGACCAACATTGACCCTGAACAGCATCTCCTCTCTCTACATTTTACACTGATACTCCTTGATGTCTTATTCATGGCTCTAAATCATTTTGTCCAATTCTCCCCATCTGACCCACACCTACAGTGTGTATTGTTTCCATAAAACCACTTCAATACTCCTCCCCACCACTACCCAAGTCCTCAAAATACTCTTTCTAAGGAGATCAGAAAGGCTGTTCTCCTCTTAAATCCCTTCCAGAGACCCACTTCTGCCACAAAGACTATAAGAGCCTTTCAGATTAATTCTCTAATATCCCAGAAAAAATGTTTTCCCTTTTGGAGGATACACATTAGCCTTCCCAAAGTAACTCTCCTTTTAATAGTCACGACCCATCCTTCCTTTATTTCACCTTTGCTTCTTCTTCAAATACTTTTTAATGTCCTTCATTGCAGGGATCATAAATTATCATCCATATCAGGCAGTGGCTGGCACACTTTATAGCGCTCTACAAATAGTAATCTACAGATGGTATGCAAAGGAAAGAGGTGTGTATATGAATAAGTCTGTGTATATATGTGGGTGATCAGCCTATGTTAATATTTTTATTTGTCTGCACCCTTTGTTGTGTAGACTAGACTACACAACAGAGTGAGTATGCGCAATGCGTATTTTTTATGTAAAAGGATATTAATTCCTTTGTAATGTTAAAAACAGGAAAGTCAAATTCCCTGTGGATATTGTGCACTCAGTTACAGGCCTTTCATCAGTTCTGGGCTGGCTGTGAACTGGGTTTTTCTGAATATACAGCTAATGGGAAGGAGTAGATTGTCATGCAGTAATATCAGTGACCCAACCTGTGAAGTTTAGACACTTTCACAGGAGTTGTCTTAGTGCCTTTGGCTGCTTGATTTGTTGGTAAAAGATTCTGTGGTAGTATGGGAGTTTCTGAAGGAGTCAGGAACTGAAGCAGAGGCAAGATAGTGCTGGGTTGGCTGAACTTCCCCATAAATGAGCATCTGTGGGGAGTCTTGTGCAAAGAGGAAAAATGATAAGCACTTGAGGTCTGACTACAGTTTATTCACTTGGAAGTACATGAGGACAGAGGCAAGTGAGAGGGACTTGAACCCAGAGCCAGGTGTTCTGAACCCAGAAGCATGTTTTACTAATTGGATGAATGGAACAGCAGCACAGTCCATCTGTATGTCTTGGAAGATGTGGAAAGGCCCAAGCCATAGGCCTCTCATATCCTGTTCTCCTCTGCCACTAATTTCCAATAAGGTATTCATGCCACAGAGGAAATCTGCTTTTGTTCCTCATGTTCGCCTTCTGTGTCACCCATTAATGGCTGCCTCTTCTTCAGCTCCCGATGGTACTTAGCCATGAGAGATGCATAGATACAGCCATATGCTGCTGCCACTACCATCATAATACACACGATGCCACAAACCACCCCAGCTATGATGACTGTGCCAATGGCTCGGCGCACACTGACAGGCCGGTATCTTTGTTTCTGGGGGCAACCCACACTGGGATCCTCTTCTGCTTCAGGAGTTGTTGTTTTAGGCTTGGGAGCAGTCGGGGCTCCCTTACTGCAAGGAGGACCAATATTGTCCAGTACGGTAGAGCTGTTCTCATCCTCCAGCTGGGAACAGTAGTTAAACATCTCCATGGGCACCATGCGCATATCTTTCCCCCGTAGCTCCTTAGGCAGGGTACATGCCAGTTGGTCTATCTTTCCTCCTGTCCCATAAGAAAAAAGAAGCACATTCAGTACCTTATTTTGGTATCAGATCACATCATGCTCAGAGCAATAATTCATTTCAATGCAGCTGCTGTGGCTGAGCACTTAAATATACAGGGATCGTTCCCTCTTCCCGGGGTGTAGCTTATGTCATATGCTGAGAGTTTCTAGGAGCTGCAGGTGAGAGCTGAGTGCAGGTTGGGGACCAAAGGTGGACAAACTACCCCAGAAGGAGCATGATGGTAGTACCCCTCCCCTAACACCCCAGGTGGGGGTAGCTGATGGATTTCAAACCCTTGGTGAGTTAGGGACTCCCCCTGTATGCAAAGACAGACTCCAAAGCGGATGAGACCAATAGTGGAACCAATGATCAAGAAGGCAGTTTCTGTATGTGCTGTAGAGGGAAGTGAGGGGCAGATGGGACTCATCAACCTAGGAAGATAGCCCATCTAGAAGTAAAACTGTGATCCTAAGCCTCTGCTGCCTTGTAGGATATCTTCGGAAGAAGAAAAAGCTAAGTAGTAAACCCTACAAATCCAGTGTGGAATCCCTAAAATGGTTGGATGGCACCTTGTACACCTCTGACATCACCTGCAGCCAAGTTGGTGCTCTGCTCTCCTTTGGACCACATCAGTGAGGCCCAGGACCTCCATATATACTGCCTAGGCTTGCACCCCAGGAAGGTCACTTAGGTGCTGCTAATGCAGCAGTTTGATTTCACCTCCCAGGGGCTCACTCCATTGTCTCTTTAGACAGATGGATGCCAACAACAAAGCCACCCACCCACCCCTTCTTTAACTGAGCATTTGGCCATTTTGAGTCAAGAAATGTGTTACACGGAGAACATTCTGTTTGGAAACGGAAGCATTTTTCTAGGTGACAAGTGTGAGACCCAAGGCAGTCTCAAGTTATGGGGATAATTGTCTTTGTGGAATATGCTGAAAAACACCAGCTTAGCTATTCTTTTTCCACAGCCTTTTAACCACCAGCAGTGTTGATAGTGCATAACTGATGTCACTGAGATTTTGCCCATGAAACTCAGAAGCCTTCATAGGCTGAAACTTCTAGTAGACTTCTAGAGTCCTCTAAATAACGTGTGGCTAAACAAGAGTCCCCTATATCCATCAGCAAAACAGATATTGATTGCTACCCTAAGAGATCCTGCTACCTTTAGCCCTTTATTGCTTTCTGTTTCAACACAATGTAAGAAGAATGTCCTATACATTGCTGCTGCTTTTTTCCTGTCTGCTAACACTTTATAACAATGTTTAACTTGCCCTTGGCCCAAAATCAGACTCACAAGGTGAATTGGAAAAAGAATTTGAACAACAATCAATGAGATTACTAAGGGAGAGAGAGAGGAGAGAGAGAGAGAGGAACTTGCCCTGTATCAAAAAGGGTAGCCAACAATTAAAGCTCTTGCTTTTAGCTCAGGTTATAGTGTTTCAGCAGTTAGAAATATTTAACATTTTCCATCAGTAATAACAACATACTACAGTTAATTGACTCAAAGGTTACTGTTAATTAACACCTCATCATTGACATATATGCTGCTGAGCCATTTTTCACCCAGATGGGAGAACGTAGATATAAAATTATGGTTGCCTGGGCACTGGCTCTATTGAAACAGTGAAATCCCCATTGAGAGAGCAGAGGTCAAAGTCCACTGTGGGAATCTTGCACATAATTGGTAGTACTAAGGTCAAAATCCAAACTGCGCAATACGACCACTGACCTTCCCTCTGCTTTGTTTGGTGTTTAGCACCAGTGAAATTGCCCTATCAAGGAAAATATCTGAATGCATTCTGTAATTCATTTTGCATTCTAGCAACTACACGTTCCCCTGATCTTTTTCCCACTGTAGTGATTTGCAGCCAGTGAATTCGGAAACTCCAAAATGATCAGATGGGCTTGACCCCTTCCTCATCTTGACCCCTTCAATTATATCCTCTTCTGAAAGTTTGGACAACTGTCAGCATTTGCAAAGAGAAATTTGGATGAGAAGATAACCTGCAACTCCAACTACAACATACGACTTTGTAACATAATACGGCAGGATTATAATGCATAGTGACCATTCTCCATATCTGAGAATTAGAATTTAGGTCAGCCTGATCAGTCCAACTTCTCTCTCTTTTCTGTCTAGCTGCTCCTTTTCAGCCCTTTATAGCCAGGAAAGACTAGGAGTGCATAACCTTCAATATTGAGATTTGGACCTCTCTCAGTGGTACCTACCTCTGTAAGAGAACCATTCCATCCAGTATTTGAAATCTCTCAGGTTGCAGTCACATTCCCAGGGGTTGTCTCCCACTTGCAACTGTCGCAGGCTAACTAAAGGCTCAAAGGTCACCCTGTCCAAATTCTGCAGGCGATTTGACCTGAGGGAAAGCCAACGGAGAGAGGGCAGGTCATCAAAGATGCCTGATGGGATTTGAGCAAGCCCATTGATGGAGAGGTCCAGCTGACGCAGAAGAACAGTGTTCTGCAGAAGATCTTTATCCAGGCTCCTGATGCTGTTGTTCCTCAGCTGTAGTTCAGTGAGGTTTATTAGATCTCTGAAAATGTTCTCAGGAAGTTGGTCTAAGAAGTTGTTGGAAAGATCCAGTCTCTGGAGGGCAGAGAAATTGGAAAAAGTTTGTTCTGGCAAAATGCTGAGTTGGTTGTTGAGGAAAAGGAAGGTCCTGGTATTTGTAGGAATGTCCAAGGGGATTGATGAAAGGCCCAAGCCACTGCAGTCCACCTCTAGAGTACCACTGTTGCATTTGCAAAGGGAGGGACAAGCAATGAGGGACTCTGCTGCACAGAATGAAAGCCAACAGGCAAGCACTGCAAAAGAAAAGAGGGAGAAAGAACATGTATTAAAACATCATCATTGGTAGACTGTATGCACAGTTTCACTTAAGATTTTTGCCTTCCTTTGCAGCCAGATGCAGAATGTCTTCTCATGTCTAGTGAGAAGAATCTACCTTGTGCCTCATGCCCAGTTGGTATGACCCTATAGAATATAGCTTCTTAATAATCTCAGTTCTCTTAATAGTCTGTGATTAGAATGATAACCAAATGAGCTTCCTCATGGATGAATCCTTGTACTGCCAGATGGGTTCCCACAGTGTGAACTTCCTTTTAGCCTTTTATGAGCTAGCAGGGCTAAGGAATAAACATTCTTACAGTATGGTGGGGGAGAAAGGTCAGCATATTCCCAGAGGGCTCTGCTGCCTGATTCCAGTGTGCTTCAATATAATAGATACAATAAAGCCAAGCATGATGGAAGAACAACTCAGAGCTAGAATAGAAAATTGCTAACTCTTTCTAAATTATCAGAATAGTTTTGATAATACTGTATTTAATTGGACACCTTTAAGTTGTTACTTAGAAAGCAAATTATCAATTCATTGTGTTTTCTTAAGAACAGGATTTGTGGTGGACAGAGATGATTTTGACCCCAGTACAAATTTTAAGGTATTTAGCATTTTGCAGCCAATGTCCAAAGACCCTGGTTACACATGAACTACTAAAATCCATGCTACATATCTAAGACCTAAATAATGAAGCCTGAAAGAGAAACCTTGCACAATTTTCTGAAGGTCAACAAAAAAGCACTCAAAGGATGAAGTAAAGCAGGCAATACGTTTGAAAGGTGTGTTCCCCCAAAGAAAATGCCCTTCCATTTGCTTCCTTCCGTGGAATGAAAGAATCTTAAAACTAGATGGTTTTACCTGATTTAAATAACTTAAAGGTGAATAAATGTTCCCAAAGTCAGCAGCCCTTGATCTACAGTTGGAAAAAAGCATTGCAAACTGCTTTCATTTTCTAAGCACATCATACATTTTGGATTTGGGTTAAATCCAAAACCAATGAATATGCATATGGACCTGAATACTGATACCTAATTCAAGGGCTAAATCCAAATCTTATACCTGTTTCCCACACAGTCTTTGGTATTAAGTAATGTGGTATTTGTTGAACCATTTCAGGTTCCAAACAAAGTCTGTAATCTGAAGGATTCTTAATAAGTTTCTTCCTCTCAGTTAAGTGAATTGACATCTATACAGCAGATGCTGATTCAAGTTTCTACCCCAACTCTCCTAACAAAAGTTAAGCAATAGGTGGTGAGGGTGGGGGTGTTCTGTGGCCTCACAGTAGCCTTTCTACTAAGAAGAGGCCAGGGTCAATAGCATAGATGTTACAATGGATGCCATGAACCCAGAAAACAGATCCTGTTGGCACCAGAGTTGGTATTCTCTGTCTAGAGGTATTTAATTCCACTCAGAGTATCTCATTCTATGGATGTAGGATGATGCTTGAAAGAACAAGAGGGAAGGGAAAGTGACATGAATTGTGCAAGTGATCTTGCTTTTCTTGGATGCTTGACTGAAGTACCATATTAATTATACAGTGATATCTGTGATGATGAGAGCACATTTAGCTGCTTTGTGTACAGGGAAAGGTGAGAATGTATCAGGTAAGGCTATATAGGTGACACTCTTCTATGTCTGTTTTAGCAAATGCCATCCTTTCTGCTCTAACCCCTAGTTGAGCACCTCTGGGAAACCATCATTAGTACTGCTACCCCTACCAGACATCTGGGTGCATAATTTCCTGAGAATTTTAATTTACACCACAACTCTACTACTATAATGATGGCTGAGAGAGGCAAGGGGACAATGTTACATGTTTTCCTGAAGGAAACTCCAACAATATCTACTAGGCAAAAATGTAAGGTCATGGTGTGGTTAGTTAGGGATACAGGTATGGTTACTCAGGTCTCAAAAGGCAGTGTGCCTGTGAATGCTCAGCAGAACAGGTAGGAATTTTTTGTCTCATGAAAAGTAACATTAACTACTAAACAATAGTCTAAGTGAAATATTCAGCATACTGTATGATCTTATGTCAAGAAAAGGTAATGTTACTTTGTGAGATGTTCAGGACTGTAGTAAGATGATCCAGGAATATAAGATTAGGTCTGGGCTCAGTGGCGTTTAGAGTAAATAATTTATAATGGCAATCTAGGAAGCAAGGGTGTATAACAAAGGCAAGGCTCTTAGGCAAAAGGTAATAATTTCCTCTGTAAATATCATCGGCATCTTGTGTTCTGACCCCTAGTCTTTCTTTTTGGTGTGAGTCTATACCCCCTGCCTAGCTTAGCTGCATGTATCCTCATTAACAAAAATAACTCTCTTCATAACTCACTGCAGATATGGCTTGGTGGTTCCACTGGAGTACACTTAGACTGAAGTCCTATACTTGCTTATCCAGGAATAGTTCCCACTGAACTCAATGGGATTTACTTCTAAGTAGGTCTGCATAGGTTTGTGCTGTTAGCCTACCTCAAACTTCTATTGTTCCTGCTTTATCATATCCACATTTTTTAAAGCTCTGGAGCTAATGCCCCAGCAGGGATTGTTCACTAAGAAGACGAACAATGTGAGCTCTTTTGGAAACTATTAGTGGGAAAGAAATGTTGGTGTGTGCATGCAAATATTACAAGAAACACATCAACATACCACTGCTTCCACTCCCCCCCCCCGGTGCATGGCTTAATTCAACTTCTTGAACCTCATATTGTAAGAATCATCGCAATGAGTAGTTTAATGGAATTGGGCCAATATAGGCTGCTTCACAAATGACACTATATGGACTTTGACATTTGTAAAGCTTGTGAATATAGTTAATGTGGTCTGTAACATAGGAAAGAGCAACTTAAACTTTAAGTATAGTCCTTTGCAATGTGACTATGACAATTGAATAGCCTGGTCAACGTATGACATGACTATCATGAACTGAAATGGTTTTGAGATGTGCATCACAGGTCCTCACATCATTAATTTTTCCCTGTGAGTGTTTGGCCTTCTCTGTACTGCAAAATAATGGGTGTTATATTTTTAAGAGGGCAAAAATATTAACTTTTGTGGGTTGTTGTGATACCAACATATACAGGACTGACTCTGGGAGGTGATAAAGGTTCCTTTGCATATTGGGCATCCTTCAGGCATTAAGAGCAAGTTGGTACCCACTCTTTTACCACTCTCAAGCCTGTTCAAATCACAACCTCTAACCACTAATTATTATTATCTGCAACATGTGAAAGCACCGTTGCTTCTTCCTTTGGCATTACACTTCTTGTCATTAGTAGGGGGGGAAATCTGAGCACTACACTCACTACTGAAATAAAAACACTCTCCCTTCCCCTCACTGGAGAAATAGGGGACAGCCTCCTGCTTAGCAAACAACCTGGGCAGTACTTACAGCTAGTTTTTCTCCATCTCAGGGAAAGCCTGTTGCTCCACCAGTAGCCTCCACTCAGAGACAGCATGATGGTTACTGTTTTCCCCGTGGTGTCTTGTGCCTGCCAGCCAGGCTGGCACACTTTCTTGCAGGAATGAACAGCAGTCTGATGAATCTAGAAGGTAAAAGCAGAACAAAAGAGCACATGGCTATCAGGGGTCTAACAGAATCATATATTGGTCTGGGAGAAACCTCACTGAAATTAACTGGCTTTACTATCAGGCAAGGTGAGACATCTTTAGTAAAATTTTTAAAATAAAAAATAAATAAAATAAAATGTGCTCACTGAGGATTGGCAGAGGGAAAAGCATCTCCAAAATTCTGCTAGGTATGTGTAGGGAAGTTGGAGCAATTTTTCTGGGAAATCTGAATGCTCAGAGTAGGCATGGTGCCATCTTGGAAGTGCTTCTCAACTGCTGGTGAAGGGGAAGGCCAAAAAGATGAGATGAGGTGGCTGGCAGGGGAGTGTAGAAAAAAGGCTGAAAGAACTCTGCCAACCCATAGATATAAGAAAACCACATTTTAATGGACCTTAATCAGAAAGCAATATTAGATAATGAACAAGGATTGTTCATTGCTTTGAAATTGGCTATATCAGTGCAGGTGTACTGGAGTTTTTTAGCAGAGAAATGCATAAAGGTAAATGGGAGGGGTTTAAATTGCATCATTAATTACTAATCACATAACAAATGATATCCAATTTGTGTGTCCAACATTCCTTGTCGCCACACATAAAGTGCAATGAATTGCATTTACGAAATATTGCAGTTTTGATAGCAGAAAAAATGCAATGTTGCTACACCAAAAGAGTAAACTTGAGGGAAGATGTGCAGATTATGTGCAACAAACAAGAAACAATTCTGGAGGAACTTGCACAAAAAGGCCTGAAGTAGCCTCTTTCCACTCCATGTCTGGCAGTATTGATTCAATGCAATCCCTCTTCTGCTCTGTGGGGAAAAACATTGCTCCCTCTAGGAAACTCTTGAATCCTCCCTGTGCCTGCTTTACATGTTTCCTGTGTGTGTTAAGTTCAGAGCAGAACTAATAAATCACACATGGAACTGCTTGTTGGAGGTTCCTTGCTAGCTAGGTTGAGGACATCCTCCTAATCATCACCCCACTTTCCCCACTGCAAATGCTGTCCGATGCCCACACACCCCTAAGACATATAAACATTCCCAATTAATAAATGGTACCATCATGGCTAAATGTAGTAGAAATACATTGTATAGAGTCATGGTTGCCTCAGTTAGTTTGCAACAAGAGTGTCAGTTTTAAGCCTGTTCAGAAGCTAAATCTGACCTGAACATCCCGCCTCTAATCCCAGATGTGTGTAACTTCTCACTGGCGAGAGGAAGCCATTCTTCATGTGCTTAGAGACACCCTAGAAGCTGGTTCACAGTGCAGTTCAGTGGTAGAGCATATGCTTTGCATGTAAAAGGTTCCAGGTTCAAACCCTAGCATTTCCAGGTGGGACTGTGAAAGACTCCTCTCTGGAACCTTGTGGCCAGTAAGTGTAGATGACAATGAGATAGATGGAGAGCGGTCTGGTGGTATACATTTCCTATGCTCACCATCTGATGACCACAGCATCAAGTGATGACATGCATGTGTGACTTGGGCTGTTGAAGGTTTAACATCACAGACCTTTCATGCCACTTCATATACAATCCTGTTAATTAGTTCAGATAGTCATCTGATTTTCAGGTGTATGAGCATAGCTGTCAACGTTTTCCTTTTTTTTAAGGGGAATTCCCTTATTCCGAATAGGATTCCTCTCAAGAAAAGGGGAAAGTTGACAGCTATGATCAAGAGATGCACATGCACAGGCTTGTGTGAACCAGTGCTAGGATTACTTTATTCAATCCAAGGCTACTTCACATGTCCCCAGCATTAGGAAGAAGTTGGAAGACTAGACCTGGTGAACCGCAAATGTATCGCCTAGCCTACCAATTTCTGTGTAGTCAGCTGTGGTGCTGCACTGAAATCAGGGCTTCAGAACCCATTGGGAGAAAATAAGTACATAAAATGCATACAGTCATGCCCCTAGGGACATGCTTGGAGCTCTTTTGTGCCGCTAAGCTTCCCTTCCCCCTCATCCCTTCTGGGTGACAAAGCTGGGGAGATGCCTGCAACAGGAGTTCCCATCTCCAATTTTGAGGGGAGAGTGCTGGTGGTTTATACAGATTTAATTTTGCAGCAGCTGAAGAGCAAACAAATGAAAGCAGAGGTATGGGGGGGTGCAGGAATTACATTTTAATCTAAAGGAAGTGTCTGTATGTCAGAGGAGGTGAGCATCCTAATTAGAAACCCCCAAGATAATCAGTTTTATCCCCTGGTGATTATAATGAGCCACCATGACAACAGGTTCTCCCCCTGCCCTTTAGCTACCAAAGGCAGGGGCAGGAGGGGTCACTGTTTCTGGGAAGCGTCATTTACCGCTCCTCCTGCTGCTTTTTCAGATTTATTCAGGGGGAAGCTTTGCAGCCCACCCACTATTGGCTCAGAAAGGGCGAGAATGCCCACTAAAATCCGGCTTCTCCTCCCTCCTCCCTCTTTTCCCAGTTCCTCCCCGCCTGCTCTTGGAAAATGTTATGTCTCCCTTTTGGCTTTATTTTTAGATTTGTATAATATGCCCGAAGCTCAGTCCGTGTCCATCATTTTCCTTTCCTCCTCCCTCCCCTCATTCATTTATTTTGATGGGCAATCAAATCCTCCCAAAGGCTCTTAAAATCACACAGCACAGAGGGCGAGAGGATTTGGTGTGATTCGTGAAAGCTGTTGAGAGAGATAATCTGACACGAGGATGCCGAGGTGAAAGATATTAAGAGCGTTTACAAAATATCTGCCTGCCCCCCCACCCCACAAAACACACACACAAACCACATTCCAAAAAAGAGAGAGAGAGTTGGAATCTCTCCTTGCACTTCCTTGCAAAAGGGAAAGCCTCAAACCCCTTTGCGCCTGCCAGAGCTCAGGGCTCCCACCCCAGTGCTTTTAACCAGCCGCTGGAGCATCCTCTGGATATATTCCTTCCCTCTCCCCCTTTTTGCCAAGACACAGCAGGAGCACTTACCTGGAGATGCTCTGCTTATCAGCCTGGGCTCTGGCCAAATTCCACCTTCTTTCCTCTCTTTCTCTGCCTCCTTGACTCCCAGCAAAGAGGTTTGCTCCTCTCCGAGTCTGTGTCCTATTTAACTCCCCTACCCCACAGGAACCAGCAGCAGAGTTAAGCTGACAGCCACAGAGACTTAGCAGGCTGCGCTGGATGGCTGGGCTGGAGAGTTGATCAGTTTCAAATCCTGTTGTGGAATGATCCTGTCCTTCCCTCCCTGAGGTATTAGGAACTGCCTGCCACTCTCTTTGCCTCTCTCATTCCCACCCCCATCGCTCAGCCTGGTTTTGCTCTACAGCTGCTGCTCTGATGTTATCAACAATCCACCTGTACGGCTGGGCTCAAGTACAACCAAAGAGACGTACACCTTTCAAAAGGACAACTTAACAATGCTGCTACCTGATTGTGCTGAGGACGTGAGGGCAGAAAACGTATTTCTTTAAAAAAGAAAGAAAAAAGAAGCACTTGAGCTTGCCTGGGAGCCATGCCAGTCTTTAACCTCAAAACTCTTTCCCTGACTCCTATGTAAATTGCCTGTTGTTCTTACTTAGGGCTGGTTTGCACATATCCACATTTCTCGTGGCATCGTGATGGCTTGTCTGTGTGAATGGGCTGTCACAGATAACACATCTCGGTTGCATCCTTCCTATTACCCACACAACACCTTGAACACAATGTTTTTCTTTGGAATGTCAGTTCACACAGCTAATATTTATCAGTCAAGTGCAAAAACAAAAAACAAAAAAACAGGTGATGTGCAGGAATTGAAGAAAAGGCATTTTGCATGTTTACTGAGGCACTGTTCTTACTTCATATGCCCCAAGGCTGTGTACTAGCATTAAATACGGGTTCCAGAGCTAAGGTCTGATGAATCTTGGCTCAAATTAAGCCACGTGGAGAGCTTTAGCTGCCCGCCCCAGCCACTGAACCCTGAAATCTGTGTTCAATGCCATGACCTAGATGGAAATCTATGAAGAAATAACAGCAAAGAAGTTGCTTCTGAGCATCTGCAAAGTGCATTTCCTATACCTTTGAATCATCACAAAAGTCATCACATTCTTTCTCTTTCCCTCTCCCTCCCTCCCTCCCTCCCTCCCTCCCTCTTTCCATATGTGTGGGCATCCCTGTGTGTGCTTCTAGATTAGAGGATTTGACCAATTTGAGTACCATCCCCTTTTAAGAAACTTTTTCCTGAAAGAGGCTGCCTTTAAAAAAATAAAATGTTAAGATCTATTTCAACATCAAGATTAACTACAACAGAAACATTTTCTGAAACGCATTATACATAATTAGCAATCATTTGGGAATGATAATATTCCCTTATTTTAATTAATAGACTCTTACATCCATCATCAATTTCATCTATCACTCATGATTACTATTATTATACTACTTTGAAAAAGTCTGCATGTAGAGTTAATAGATCATATCCTCACCATATATTTAAAGCATTTTTAAAGTACATGATTTTCACCAAAGAATCCTGGGAACTGTAGTTGCTAAGGTCCTTGGAATTGTAGCTCTCAGAAGGGTAAAATCAGGCAAAATATAACCAATATTATTATTTTTTATTAGTCTGAGAAGTAATTGTGCTTTGGTTTGGGAGTTAAAGATCTATTTAATATTCTTGTTTTACCAACATCATTCAGACGCCTCGTCAAAATGTATCTATTGGAAGAAAAATACCTTTAATTATTTTAGTTGTTTCTTTCCAGAAACCTAGAGTCTTTGTGCTCTTAACAATAGCATGAGAGAGAGAAATTCAACAAGCACACCCTTTTTCTAGATCAGTGAGGGAAACTGTGTCTGTTGAATTCCTGCTCATCTCACGAACTGAAGGCAAGTTGGGATAGCTGACATGATACCCTCCAGATGATGTTGCATTTAAAGTCTCATTAGCCCCAGCCAGCATGGTCAATGGTCAGGGCTAATGGGAGGGCACCATGTTCACTCCCTATGAGTTAAAAGGAACAGATCCATTGTCAGAGAAAAAATGAGAGGTAGCAATTCTAGTCCTCACCCTAAAGCATCTTCTGTACCACTGCTCTTCGGTTTGTGGGTCAGGAGGGACCCACAAGTGTGTCATGAGCAACTTGATCTCGGGTGGGTCACAGCAGAATCATAACCGCCATTTTCTTTTTTCTGTATGGGATTTTTGTAAGGAAAAGTGGGGGACAATGCATAAAAGAGGATTGTAGCAGGTACACCTTGGTCGCATTTACAATGCATATTGCATTTACCAAGGTTTCCTTTTCTATACTTTCCTGATACCTGGCAAATGAGAAGCAAGCACAGGAAGATGAATATGTATGATTAGAGAACTAGGTCCCATGTTGTAAGTTTCAGTTAAAGATGGGTCTTGGGTTTGAAAAGGACTGCTACTCTTCATAATTCTCCTCTCCCTTTGGGGAAGGACTGTGGTTCAGTGGTAGAGCATCTCCTTTGCAAGCTGAAGGTCCCATGTTCAATCCTTGGTGTTTCCAAGTCTCAGTGTATATAGCAGGGGTGGCCAACTCCCAAGATCACCCCCATTTTGGGGGGTTCAGGTCAAAGTTGTTGAGCTTCTTTTAGGAAGGAAAGCCCTGTTTTGGGTGGTTCAGGTCAACATTTTAGGGGAGCCAAGGTTGTTGAGCTTCTTTGGGGGGAGCCAGTGATCTACCACAGACGTCCGGTGATCTACCGGTAGATCACAATCTACCTGTTGGACGTGCCTGGTATATAGTATTGAGTTAGATGGACCAATGGTCTGAATCACTATAAGGCAGCTTCCCATGTTCCTGTGTTCGCTGGTGTGGGTTTTCAGATTAAACCACGCAGAGCATGTGGTAAAGTACATCTGACCCTCATTGGGATTTGAATGTCTAGATTAGATATTAGGTTCTGATTAATCAAAGCTAACGCTGCTGCTGCTATTTATTAATCACCTTCCACATATATGTCTCAAGGTGATGTATAAAATATAAGCAAAAAGGGAGAGCAAAATAATTACAAACATCACAGAAAATAACAGCAGTCTTTTTAAAAAAAATAAATCCCACAAATAAACATGCAGATAGATACCCCTGGCAGCATGAATTACACACTCCAAAACGTGGGATTGTGGCTTTAAAGCCCTAACCTGTTTTGCTATCTCAAATGGTTGAGCATGTAGTTAAGTATTACTGTGCAGTGACATTTAAGTGTGTAGTCACATGTCCCTGAACAGACACAGGGTATCAATCTGGAAAAAGTTATGTACAGCGTAAGACTGAAATCATAAACATCTTATGTACCCTCCCTTAAAAGAAATGGGATTTATTTCTGAATAAATGAACTCGGCTTAGATTTATCTGTGTGGGCATAGGTGTGTGTGGAGCCCAGTAGTGGAGTTTATAACACATGCACAAACTTTCCTCCACATATTTCTATCAGTATAATGTAATGTCTATATTTGTCAACACTGATATCATAATCTTCACTTATTCTAGTTTCTGTGCTTCATCATATCTAGTCTCTGGACTCTCTCTGGATTCCTCTTTCCTGAATATAAAAATGGTCAGATCCCTTTGACCTGTGGTTTGTCTTAGCACAGCATATTTGAATTTTGGCTGCCAAGTGTATTAAAAAGTCAACTCCACTCCCTTCCTCTCAGTCTCAACAATTTTAGATATTAGAGATATTCAAAATGTTAGGTTGGCTGCTGTGGGCACCCTAGCTAATAACTGTTCACATTTGTGTCCTTCATGAATTCCTAGAGTCATCAATCATTCTCAGTTACATTATTGACCTCTACTGCCTCTGGTTTTGCAAGTAAACTTTGTTCTCTGTGTTAGTGTTCCATTTTCAATTATTAAAAATAAACATATTGAAAATATTTTACAGTTTTTAACCTTTTGTGCCCTTGCAATATCTCCATTGGGTAAATCTCTCCCATTGTCTGATCCAGTGAGCCTATAAACCTTCAGGGATTTACACACAAGCTGGAAGTGCAAATCAGTTTGATACACACACACACACACACACACACACACACACACGTACGTGTGTATGTGTGTAACACAAAATGAATAATGCCTCATAGATAAAACAGGCATGAAACAAAGCCACTCTTGCACTCATCTCTCACCTGTAGTTCCTAGAAGCTGTCAGTGTGCAGCAGGAGCCACACCTCGGAAAATCGCTTCGACTGGCTGGCTAAACCAGGTGAGGGTAGCTGATGGGTCTCAAACCCTTGGTGAGTTAGGGATTCCCCCTGCATGCAAAGACAGCTTCCAGCAGTTTGAGTGGACAAGACCAATAGTGGGTCCAACTGTCCAAAAGGTGGCTTCTGTCTTGTGGGATATCTTTAGGAGAAGAAAAGGATGAGGAGTAAACCCTACACAAATCCAGAGTGGAGTCCCTAAGACAGTTGGATGGCACCTTGTACAACTTCTGGCATCTCCTGCAGCCTAGCTGGTGCCAAACATATTGCTCTGATTGCCTTTGGACCACATCAGCGAGGCCGAGAGGTGGGTCCAGGGCCATCACACACACTGCCCAGGCTTGCACCTCAGGGAGGTTACTTAGCTGCTGCTAACAGAGCAATTTGACTTCACTTCCAGTGACATACTCCATTGTCTCTTGAGACTGACGGGTGCCAACAGAAACAACAAAAGATAACCAGATAACCAGGAGCTCTGTGTTCAAAGTGGCATTATATTAGCCTCCAAAATTACAGCAGTAAACGGAATTTGTCAAGGGTGCCGAGTGTATGTCTGTTAGACTAGAGAAATGTAGCTCATAAGGACTGGAGCATATGCCAATATCACAGAGTGCTTGAGAGCTTATTCACACACATCAGTGAAATCTTTCTCAGTTGCTGTAGCCTTTTAAGAATTCTGCTGAAGAGTTTGGCAAGTGATAGAGGATGCTTTAAGGAGATTATATCCCAGTCATATTCTTTCTCTCTTTTTCTCCTTCTCTTTCCCTTTCTTCCTCCCATGCATATACAGACATTTTCAAACTTCTCTGAATTTTGCAATAGAATTCTCGGTTCAAAAACATACCAATAAATGTATTAAAAATAAATCTTTTGATTTAAAAAGGAATATTTTAGGGTAAAATGCACACAAAAATGTATCTTGTGAAAAAATAGACATTAGAAACAATAGACATTTTAATGAGGTTTTAAATAATTACAGATTGAGGTGGAAACATGATGGAATAGAATGACAAATGACAAAATGGACCCTGACAAAGAACCAGGCTTTATCCACCTCAACTCTGGAGCAATGTTATGTCAGGGCTTCAGAGACATTGTGGGGAAATTAAAATGAAGCCACTCAGAGGAGTGTTGAGTTCAAGTGGCTACAGACAGCATTTTTAGTCAGTGGCTAGGTAAACAGCCGTCCTGAGGGCTCAGGCCATTGGCAACTGGCCAACAGCATTAACTGTGTCTAAGCATTGGTATTCAATTATTGGATCATGATCTAGATTCTATGTGTGCTACCTGGTGCTAGTTTAGGACATCAGCTTGTCTAGAGCCCTCTCTTTCATTTTTTTAAATATAACATATCCTTCTCATTCCAAAGAGGAGGAAATGTGCAGATAGCATTCTGTCCAATATAAGAATAATGTTCTCTTCTGCCTTGCAGCCAGCAAGGGGAAACTACTGTTTAGGGAAGTTTTAAATGTTTGATGTTTTGTTGTTGCTGTTGTGGTTGTTGTGGTTGTTATTTATTAATAATATTCTGTTGGGAGCCGCCCAGAGTGGCTGGGGAAACCCAGCCAGATGGGCGGGGTATAAATAATAAGTTGTTGTTGTAGTTGTTGTTGTTACTGTTGTGATAGACGTCAATTGACCAGTGGGGAAGCAGAGCTGAATCATGGTGGAAAACAATGTGATTTGAAATAAAATTCTCCTAGAGTAGCAATATATTCCCATAATTAAAACTACTCAGTATCCCTTTCTCCATCTCTGATCATTGACTGTACTGACTGAGGCTGATGCATGTTTTAGTCCAGAACACATGGAGAGCACCAAGTTGGGGAAGATAGAGATTTTGGTTCAGAAAGGTGGGACTGTTCAATAGGTAGTGGCGTCCTTGTGGACCAAAATTTCCTACAAGGAATCAGTCCAATGTGTTAGGCTTCTTTATGCCCCTTCCAGATTTATGTGCTACACTTTCAATATTTCAAGTGTGTGGAAATAAGTAATATAGTCTGGTCCCCGTCCCCATTGACCCGTGCAGTATTTTATATTGTGGTCCAGTCTAAAGAATATGGCCAAGGATACTTTAAAACCTTTGTGGTAGGGTTAAGATTCACACTTCTCTTGCTTGTATGATATATGTTTCTCTGGTGGAGCTTGTGGGATGCGTTGCATGCAGCACAATTGGTGAAATGATTGGGATATGGATGGACAACTAGAAAAGAGGTACATAGTTCATTTTAAAATCCAAGTCAAAGTATCTGGTTTGTAATTATTTTGAAGGCTGACTGAAATCTGTTACTCCGTACTACAGGTGTATGCAATTACAACCAACTTTTTACTCTGCTAATTATGAAGCCATCACATTTCCTCCTGACCAAGGCTATGCTTTACAAACACAGGGCTCATCCACACTTAGTTTTTGCCCCACACTTTCTAGGTACAGGTTTGTTCTTTAAAGCTTCATATCTGAGCACTCCCCCCCCCCCGACCTAATGCTTTCCCCAGGAAAACTTGCCATTTAACGCTGAGTCAGAACAAATGGCAATTCAGGTTATCTGTGGATTACTGTTTGTTCCGATTTAGCAGTAAAGAGTGGGATTTTACAGGGAAAGTGCTCCCCCCCCGAAAAAAACACACACTCTGACACAGAGCTTTAAAAAGTGGACCTATGCCTAGAAATGTGGCACAAAAGGAAGTCTGGATGGTTCCTAAAGAGAGATGGCTTTGTTTTTGGGGCATAACTGCAGAAGGGTCATGATTTAGGAGGGCAGTGAATAAGCTAAAATGGTCACATTTTCTCCTTTTGCGTGACTGAGGAGCAGGTGCATGTACGTTGAAGCAGCAGAAGCAGGGGACAGTAGGACTCAGAAGCCTGCCATGTCTGTCCCCAGCAGAATTTGTTGGGCTCTCAGACTCAGAAAGGAAATGGAGGCAGAACAAATGAGAAAGACCACTCTTTCGTGGCATGAGCCAACTTCCCCAGTTTTTGCGGCATGTGCCAGGAGCAAATGCACAACTGTTAGAGGAAAATGCTAAGTGAATGTGCTAGATTTGCATAATTAGTTAGCAGTTTGCATAATGTGCAAGTTAGGCTTTCCAGATTTGGGGGGCTGGGGTGCAGCAACCCCAAGTATATCATCTCGCATTAAAGGGTACATGAATGGTGGGTTCCATTTGGCATGGTGGATCATAAGTTCTGCAGGCCTGGCTTAGTTGCATCAGTTGCTTGCTGGGGAAGCGTAGCAGTCACCGTGACAGTTCTAGTGCTAATGCAGAATTTGTTTTCCATAATACTGGGCTCTGTGAAGTTGC